TCAGCTCCCGTCCATGATTTCACATGCGTCGAGTGCTGGGGGGGCTGGCGCCCAATCGCAGCGGGAGGCGCTGCCCCCCTCGACGCATCGGTACCTGTGGTGATCCAAACACCAGCTGCATGGGAGCTCAGGGATTAGCTATGCAAAAAGGCGTCTCATGACACTCCCACCGCGCTAATCCTGCCTTTAGTTTGAGGTTGGACTGATCTAGCTTCAACGGCCCATCCCCTGTGTTGTGTTCGGTCTGGAACGGCCCTCCGATGGACTGTCGCGCACAGAGTTCTCGCTGGGCCCGTCTGTGTCTGTCTGTGTCTTTTGCTGACCATGGTTTCTTCGTCCACTTCAGGGTTGATCTACGCCGTAAGTTGTCATGGGGGAACAGCCGTCGTCTGAGGGAAAAGAAGCTCTGGCATATTGCCACAATAGGCAGGGTAGGCCGCACCACACCACATCTCTGAGACCGGACCACTCGGGCCTCACAATGGGTGGCGCTGCTCGCTTGTCGCCTACCCAGGCTTTGCATCTGCTGTGTTCGCCTCACAACCGCAGCTGGCTGATGAGGCTTCCTGTCTCGCCAGATGTGTCTAAGACATGAATGGGTTGAGTCACCCGAATATCGCAGCTTATCAGCACGCTCCCGAACGCACATTCTCAAGCCGCAGAGAAACAGTGAGACTTGCAGAGAGAGAGGAATGCTATGTCACGGGTACGCGTTCCAGCCCATGAGGACGAGGGATGAGGCATGAGGGATGCTTTCAGCTGTCAGGCCAGTATGTACGGTGCTATATGCACAATTCTGTTGTCCAAGGTTTCCTCTCCTGCTGATTGACTGCCTCGCTTTGTCACTGATCAGAAGCAACTTTCTTGGACATGATGATCCCGGTGATTGCTGCAGCTTGGCTTGCGGCTACCAAAGTAACAGCAGGTCCTTCCGACGTGCCTGATGCAGGCCATCTCGCTTCCTTGCGTGTAGTGTTCCGGTGCGAGATTGCTTTAGATGAAGTGGAAGAGGGCTGGCCGGCACAAAGATGCGGATCTCGCACGTTGGCTTTTCCCCCGTTGTGATCTCTTTCTTCTTCGGAGATTTCAGTTTGGGTTGAGCGGCGTTCGAGCTCCGGTTCGTAGGGCTGACACTGGGGGAAAGCCTCCTGGAGCCACCGTTGCAGCTGATCAACTCTTCGGGAACACCTTGCTAGCCCGGTCCCTTTGATCATGACTCGGCCGTGAGCGAACGCCCACCGCCTCAAAACGCGGACGGCCCTGACCTTGTATACGTCGTAGTTGTGCGGACCCAAGCAGCCTGGCGGGCACGCTGAGCCCGATCACCAGCAGCGGCGTCGGAGGTTTCTATCAGAAGCCAGCAGGACGGACCGTCTGACGACGCTTAGGATTGTCTCACGCGAACCTTCTGCTCCCTGCATTATTCAATCACATCGCGGACGGGGGCTACTTATGCTACACAGCATTCCGCCGGATAGACCCGACAGGGACGCTCAGACTCAGCCGTGCTTGGCGCTAGGGAAAAAAAGAAACATCGTGAGCCTTCGTTCCTTGACCGTGTGTATTACCTGGACATCGTTCCTCTGTCAAGCCACGTTGTGCAAGGTCCTTAAATAGCTCCAGCAATGGCATGTGATCGTGGGCTCCGGCGGCGGTGGGGCTTTCCCAACATAGATCGGTAGGCCGCAGGTCAGGTACAAGATCTCACACCTTTCGATTTTTCGGTGAGCCATGGGCACCCACGTAATGATTGGAGAAAGGCTCACCTTGGTCTGGCGCCTTGCCCCTGATTCCAGATCCCAACGCTGCAGCCAGCCTGAGAAGATATTGGTGCTTCATGGTGGCTATGTGGTGACCCATCCCTGGTTCATCAAATATTAGCTGGGACCTCAATGTGGCTGCCATGCGCGTCCCAACAACAAGTAAGTCATTCTCAATGTGCCAGGTGTAACCTGGCGGTACCATGGCCTGCTAAGCAGTCGAAGGGCCCACCAGACACAGAATCTTCCCTTCTTGGTCGGTGAGTCAGCAGAGCCTTCGTCTGGCAGCTTCTCAAGCGATGGCAGGGCCATCTAGTGTACCAGGAGTGTGTGTTACCAAGAGTGAGTTTGCCTGCGTCGGATTGACCCGGTGGCTCGCAGAAGCACATGTCTGGTGTCCTCGCACGCCCAGACTCAGATGGTAGCATCAGTGTCACTGATCTGATTTGATGGTATGCCATTTGCATTGGGCCAACTTTTCAGTGGTCAGTCAGTATGCTGTATACAGGCTACAGTTTGTGTTATCAAAATAGGCGCGGATCCAGAGCCACTGGACCGGATATCGAGCATCGATGAAACATCCATTCACGGCCCAACAGCTCGGACATAACCTTGTTTGCTGTGGAATCGCGGCCGCCGGAACAAGTGCCTGGGAGCTCAAAGCTATGGCGCACATCGTTGTGGTGCGGCCAACAAGCTATCCGAGCTCTTGATCGGTACAGCTGGGTGGCACCACGTCGATGGCCATTATACCGAACCCGCCGGCTGTAAGTGGCCCGTCACAAATGACAGAAATTGACAGAGGCGGCCTGCAGGGCGAGGTTAGCCACCCACGTCTCCTCTCGTGACGTCTACGACCATGCACCGTCGTAATGGGCGCCCAAGAATTGGTGTTTAGACTGCAGACAGCGCACGCAACAAAGCAGCATCACAGCTCGGAAAGCTGCACGCCTTTTTGTCAGCATGCCCTACTGCTTACCCGCCACCGTTTGGGCTGATCTGCCGTGCAGGTGGGTGCGAGGACGAACGGCTCTTGCAGGCGTGCCTGGACAGTCCCACATCTCACCACCACCCAGTGGTCTGCGCAGTCAGGAGCCAGGCGAGCGGTAGCGCCTTACAAACCTCACGTGTCGACCCGATCGAGCGACGTGCAGGGGACTGGTCACCCACCCTCGCCTTCTGCGGGCGGTCCCGTGCAGGCCCAGAAAGAGGGTTTGATGGGCAATGTCATGCATAGTTTGCTGGCTATTGAATGCTGTTATAGTGGATCAGTGCTTTCCCTGCTGGGAAGTCCTCTCTGGATCCAGGCGTCCTATAGGACCAGCTTTATGGATGCTCTCGTAGCACACGCCACACAAGCGAGCTCCATTTGCGGCTGCGTTGGGTTCTATATGGCTTGTCTTGGAATTCTGTCACGACAACAACTCACCGGTGTGCAGAGGTATGCATGGAAAGATAGGTACAGAGGAAGATCATGTTCTCTATGCAAGCACGTCTGAGCAGACTCTGTCACCTGATGCAAGCGAGCAGTGTCGCATTTGAAGAGCCAGCTTTTGAATATCAATCCCTCACGCCGGGTGCGTTATAATTTGGAAGGACTTCCCAGACCGGCATAATTCGACGCTCGGTACATCAAAGGAGGACTTCAACGGTTCATGGAATGATCCGATATCAAGCTCGGGTACGAAGCTGATAGGTTTTGCACGCGAGGCGATAAAAGTACGCTTCAAGCAAATAAGCTTTCGGATATTAGCCTGAGGCAACGTCGGAGACATATTGTTGAATCGATATGCAGTTTACCGCGCGTCCTCCGTCTGGTAGCAGTCACGAGTGGTACTGCAATTCTTGCATGATTGACTGCCCCTGGCATGTTTTGGTTCATCTTGAATACCACTGGAGTAGTTCTAGAACCATTATGATCCATGGCGGCAGTTTTATAATGGGTATCGGTTACCCAGACCCGTAAAGAAGTTTTTCGGTGAGCACTTATCCGGCCGCTCACTATGTCACCAACAAGCTGAACTGTATTCAAAGCCGAGGAATCTACTCAAAATCTACAATTCTGTTCTCCGATTGAAATTGTGGTGAAACTTCCTACTATCTCGTATCTTCTGATCCAGTCGCTTATGGTGCCAAAGCTATCATAAGTGTGGCTGCTGTTCAGCGGCCCACACGGAAGACATGGCAGATTCCTCATGTATTTATAAGCGCGGAGGTCTGTGCACATGTATAATTCAGTATCCTGTCATAGAAAGCTATGTCATCAGTATGGAAGCTCAAAAAACCATTGTTGCGCAATACATGGTCAAACTTTTAGGCTTTCGCGGGCCAAGAAGATAAAACCGGAGCGATTTCGATGTTCTGGAGACCAAGTTTGTAGCCATTTCTTGAGAAACTTTGTTGATAGACTGTGAGCAGCCGCTTGTGCACCCAAGGTCATTAAAACTTTACTCGATGAGACCCTAAGTGAAACACAATCAAGGCGAACAAATCCAAACATCACCCACTCGAGTTCCAACGCGTCTACCAAGCCTGGCCGTGGATTTAGAAAGCCTTCAATTTGTTATTTGAGCTTAGGTCTAGAACATGTTAATATTCGAGTTTGGCCCCGAGGAAACATTTGGGAATATCATATTTTGTGCTATACCTTTTCAGACGTTCACTGATTTATTCGAGCGGTTCGCGATTCGCCAGCTGCCGTACGTTGAGCATCATTACTAAGGGAAAGAATCAGGGAACTGGTTAGAAAGCGAAAAGAATCGATGGCGTTGAAGCCCGCAAGTACAAGCTGCTTCTACGGTCACTAGGCGTAGTCGACATCGCAGTCGAATATTTCTGTCGCTTGCCATTGCTATTCCAACCCAATTTAGATCATACTGAGATTCCAGCCAAAGGCTACTGCGTATAGGAAATAGCAGGAGCTGAGCACATACGGTATGAACGCGCGGCGAACAAATTTCACGGCCACGTTCATCCATGCCAGCCAATCGATAGACTTCGAAACACATCTCAATAGTGATTCAATGCCAGCATTTATTATATACAGGAATAGATTATTCGTTCATGGTTGTCTGGAATTCTAATCTGCAGTTGTGCAGACGCCTCGGTCCTCTACTTCGATACGCGAGCCAGGGTTATCTCCAGGGGCTATTTTGAGAGTGCTAGCATGAAATCTTGTCCTCTGATAGCTAGAATGCTCCCCGATATCTCCAGTTTGTTCGCAGGTTTCGCTACTCATGTTCAGGCCTCGCGCCTGGCCGAGCTAAGTGTCGGAGACGCTCTCCTCACGATGTCGCCCTTGCCGCCGAGCCTCTTCGGCGCGATGTACCTGTCTTTCTGCTCGATGTCGACCGATATCTTCTTGAACACGCACCTCTACTGGTCGGTTCTCACGCATTCTGAACTCTTGTTCGTGACGACGAGCTTGTTGTTCACGTAGTCTCTGGCGTTCGCGCAAATCCACTTCCCGCTGGCGATCAACTTCCTCGTCTGAGAAGTAGTCTCCTGACGCGTGCGAAGGGCCCGAGGACACGCGCACTATTGGTACGCTCGGCCGTGGCGGCACGACAAACGCGGCTGCGGGTCGCCGTCGCCGGAAAGGAGGGACCCGGTATTCTTCTCCATACTCCATGTGTGGCATTGGCGGTGGTACTTCGTCGCCGTATTCGCCGTAGTCGCCGTATGCGCCATATTCTCCGTATGGACTGTTCCTCACCGGAAGCCTGTGGGTGGTGACTGGCGGTCGACCAGGTGGCGAAGGGGGGCGAGGAGGTTGACTAGATGAAGGTCCATGCCCGTATCCGTGACCAGACATTCGAATTTCGATCGGTTTTGTGTACATATGAGGCCCTGGGGGCTTTGGTACTGGATCATGTGGAGGGCTGTCATCATCTGGTCCCTTTGGCCGCCTATATCCAGAGCCCTGGTATGGTAACTTGTGCAAGAAATCTCTCAGATCATCCTGCGACTTTCTATGTCCTAATGCCTGGATAGATGAGAATGCCCAGAGACAGATGGCGATGCTGATGCACAAAACTGCAGATGCAGATATGAGAAACCAAACAGGGTCTGAGTCGACAATACTGAACACAGCCTTGTGTGATAGGCAATCAGTTCTCAGCATTGCAGGCTACACAAAGGCTGCGAGACATTACTTACTGCTACAAATGCAATAGGAGTGAAGAGTACGGTAAGTGCTGTGAACAACATCATGATCCAGTTCAGTCTTTCGCCAGAAAGACTGAACTCCTGTTCCGAGTTGCCATGTTATCAGAAGAAAGAGACTATTATGTCAGTGAAAGACGAAACATACCAATTCCAATGCTGCTTTGAATCTTTCAGAAAGAATTTGATACTTGGTTTCAAAATCGTTCAGATCTTTCTGGAGAGTCTTCAGTTCCTCTGAAAGGGCATGTGTCGTGGCCCACAGCGGGTCTAATGCGATTTGGCCAGTAAGCAATCGGCCAGAGCAAAGCAGGTTTCGGATTGGAGGCTCTCACAGCTCAGGTTTCTTGGGTCTCCGTTGAGTTTTTGAATGTTGGCAAGCGTTGTCCTATGCACGAGGATGTCTTCTTGACAGTAAGACATGTGCATGAGAGATTGATTCAAGCGAAAACTCCGCGAGAAAACACTAGACCTTCTCTTCTCGTGATCAGAAACCTATTGGGTCGTGGCTTAGTATCTACTGAATCCTTCCTTCGTATTCATGTGTGATTTCTGGAAGGCACTTACGACTTTCATATAAATCTCTTGATACTGATAGAAAAATGTTGTGAAACTGTTGAAACACTCATACAATGCTACGTAGATAAACAGTGGTTGTGTTTTCAGAGCGTCGAAGAGTAATTCTGAGTGACGTCTGTTGAAAAAATCCTTCAGACGTGAGGCAAAATCGCGCACATGACGGTCCTCAGCCCGAAAGACAAGGACTATCAAAGAAGAGGCGACTAATCGAGGTCCAAGCCTTATATCCCCAAGCCTACTGTCCTTGTGACAAATCCAGGTTCCTACCGTTGTCTCGCTCTTTGTGTCTCCTAGAGTCAGTGAGCAATAGATGTCAGTTACTGAACCTCTTGAATATGGAGCTGTTTGATGTGTGAAGTTCGTGATTATGATACATACTCGTGATTCGATCATCATTGACGGCTGCTAAACCCCCTTCATATCTTCCGAGGCGACCACCGAGGCCACGGAGCCTCAGGCACGACCATATGTCGAGTGGGTCACTGTCTGGTCGTTGTGACACAATTTCCTCTGGTGGCTGATAAACCCCAACCTGGCCAACGTCCCAAGTCATCTTGTTTGGGAATTTTCTACCCATAAACTGGGTTTCGATCGCTCTCACCGCCTGTTCATCGTCGTGCTGCACGACGCTACATGCCGAGAAGCCTTTGTCAGCAAGCTTAGCTCAAACGTGGGGATGAAAGTAGAAGACAGAGCACAGAATTAGCTTACAGAACCACCACGCCATTGTACTCATCACGGCCTGGGGCTGCCTCGGGAACTGGAAGGGGAAAGCTTCTACCTGCACGTTCAACTTTGCAATACCCTGGGCCTTCGCGCCTGAGGTCGTCGCGCAGGAGAAGCGATATCCCCAGCATCTTGCCCAACTTCTTAAAATACTAGGTTGCGCACTAGCGGCATATATGGAAATAAGCCAACAGAGTCAATCCCACGTATAATGGAAGATTGGCAAGAGGTCTTCTTATAAGACTTAGCGACCTATGAACGACAGGCATTCGCGAAGCAGGCAGAGAAAAATTCAATCCAGCCGTATGGTTACCCGGCTCGGCGTTGATTGCTTATCAATTTCAGCCTCTTCAAGAGCTGACGCCGGCAAGTCCATGTGCATTCTCGTGCAGCCACTCTAATGCCATCTGGGCAGGAGGGTGGTGTCACCGGTCCAATAGTAGCTATGAGGAGGGTTAGGATCCATATGGCAGCCAATGATTGTATGCGAGGCTCTGAAGCTCGCCGGTAGTGTACGCCAGGCCCATAAGCACTTGTGAGCGGGGAAATACAACTTTAAAGGCCCATGTAGAAAGCTGAGCATGTTATTACACCGAGGTGTGTAGGGATTAGTGCGCGCCGAGGCTTTACGGACCGATTGAAAAGACCAATGCCTAGGTATATGACGTGGACGATCTCTTAGAAAAACCTTATACGATTTTATAAGATTGCAGGAATTTTAAATAGAAAATCATGGATGGCCGCGAACTTCCAGTGTCTCTGTGGTTACAGGTGAATATGCCAACACCGAATAACAATCCGAACCCTGACATGGGATCTGCCGTATCAGGTTCCAGGATCCCATCTTATGCTACGTTTGTTGCCGAGCTTAGTTAAAGCCTTACGGTAGTGAAGTCGAGACATCTCAAGTATTCAAAGCCCTTGAAATCGTGTCGCCAAGTTTGACTGGAGCATACAATGCTCTGCAACAAATCACAATGAGCACAGTAGTAAGAAATTCGTGGTACTATCTTACTTGTATGTTTGCCTGCATCGGACTACAGGATCTGCCCTTGTCTTTGTTTCCTGGTACACTCAAATGCTTGCTTATGGTCTCAATGGTCACCACAACTCTATATATGCTATCAGTTTTTCAAGCTTGAGTTGTCTACTATCGTCCCGAGGTTAACTAAATCCTGTGGCCCTTGATACGAGATCATATCCCATGTTTACCGAAGCTTCACGAAACCAACATCTTTAAAGCTCGAGAAGAGGTTCATGAAACTGATATCCCTATAGTGCGAGCCAAAACTTCACCATAGCCCTAAGACGCCACGCGAGGCTCGCAATCTTAACCAGAATGCCCTACCAAAAAATAACTCGAGAGTAAGAGTAGCTCCAATTAGTTACTTAAGCAGCCATGGGCTCTGGTCTCAGCGCGTCGTGGCGACCTATTTGAAGACCAGCATAGACCGTCGAGATCGAAGCATCGTGCCATAAGGAAATTACCTCCCTCGGCCAACAGCTCCATCTGGGCCAAGTGGATGGGTGCTTGGTCCGCGGTGATACTTGCCCAGACTAAAAATAGCAGACTCCACTGACATGTTTGACCATTGACTGCATATGACTCGATGAACTTTTGTTCGTTTCGGTGGCCTCTACTGAAGGGATATTGAGCTAGTGCTTAAGGCGGCCTAACAAATAATGGGTACCGCTTATTTTAGTCGTGAGTAATCGGAGTGGTTCGGCAGACATGCTGGCCTACCGCGCCTGAAACCGATCGACCGCTTTGCCGTTGATTCTGCCGAATATGCCTGTTCACGGCCGGAGGAACGGAAGGAGTCCGAATGATTCTCTTGCGAGATTGAGACCATGACTCAACGACGTTGCCAGTAATTTCGGTACCAAAGCCTCGCGACAGGACTGACAAAGCACTCCAAGCCTGCTGTTGTGGTGTAGATCGTTCTTCTATACCCATTCACGGTGAAGAGAGGCGGTTTGAAGCGAAGCGGTGACACAATAAACTTTGAGTTTTCACCCGGACAGACTCTTGCAGGTTGACAGTCATGAATTGTGCCCTGGTTCTATACCAGGCGCCATTAAAATTAACACAGAGAATGAGATTGCGCCCAAGGAACTTTCGAAGCCTGGACGTGCTATCAGGCTTACTTATAGACATCGCCAAAGAGCCAGTTCCGCCCCAAAAACGCGTCGCAAAATGTGCTTGCGGCATCTCTGCGCATGAAGGCACATCGATATGTGCTCATGCAACCTGCGCCAAGCACGGCACACAGAACGTCGTAGGGCTGGGTGATCGCCCGTGCCCGTGAATTGACTGGATGAACGAGCCGCTTCATATAAGGTCTCTCTCTGTGTAACAACGAAATATAGCCCGCCTATATATTGGATTCTATAGACCCGTGAAGCGCGCGAGTATCGAGCCTGCCGCTCGGCTAAGACACGTCAGAGGACTATAACTTTAGCATACATACCACAATGACTTGGTCGTAGCCCATGGCCGGCGAAATGCATCCTGTATTTTCCATAGAAGCTTAGCGGTGGCAGGAATCCAGGCAGTCTGCTCTCGCTCGACAACGACACAATCGCGACAAATTCACGCAGATTCTCCAAGCAAAGCGACACTCGTCGCATACACAAGGCCCAGTCGGACTGCCCTGGAGGACCCGTTGCCTCGACCTCCGAGACAATCCCGTCGGCACACCCAGCTGACAGCGACAGGTCGAACTGGGAGAGGTCAATGACGCCTACACAGGCCGTCACTTTCGACATGTCAATAAAGACGTACGATTTCCAGCTCAGGATCGCGCGCGCGCCAGATCCGAGAGATCTCGGTGCTGCCCTGACGCTTGTCTAGCCCCCGGCGTGGCGAGCCCACACGCACGCAAGCACCGCAACTACACCTTGCGGTAGTGTCCCATCGATCCTCCATTGCGTGCAGAAGCGTCCACTTGGCCGCATGCGCCTTGAAACCGAGCTTATCTCGAGCTTGCGCTCTCCCTGTGGCGAACATGGCAGTACTTCCCCAGACAGGCGTGGGATGGACCGCGCCCCCACTGGGCGAGCATGAACGATTGTCGATGTATCATCGCGTGTGGTGACAGAGCGATGCCGCTTTCGACACCGCCTTGGAGAACCGGTACGAATAGCTACCCTGAGACGAGATGGTGTGCCTGCGTCACATCTGTCTCATGGCTCCTAGAGACGGGAACATCCGCAGTTGACGTGGCACGGCGGCAGTCTCTGATGCGGGGCGCCGGAGGGTCTGGAGCCGGCTGCTGAGAGTCGGGCAGTGGGAACTTCCGCTGGCATATTTGACGGCGGTAAGGCAAGCTGAGATGTGTGGGTAGATTCAACTTTGAGTAAGTAGGATGTTAGTCTGCGTTGAAAGGGGCGACTATTGCGATGATACTATCCACATTGCATGGACTGTAGCTGGTCATTTCGACCGCGGGGTGATGGAGTATCAGTCCCCATCAGGACGCAAGCTGCAGGTTTGACCCGTCAGTTTCGCGCCCTCCCACGCGCTTGTGAGTTGTGATCTTTTCACCTGCTGGAAAAGGGGCGCACTGCCCGTTAGATCGACACGGCCAGTCCAGGGGTTTCTCGGGAGCGAAAGTATGCAGCTGCAGCCGGACTGTCATTCCGCTCAGCCGGTTCTTCTTATCCAGGTTGGGATCTCACCGGCTGAGATCTCGCTAATCTGATTCTCGCTGCAAGGGGTGGCTGCCATAAGCTCGCTCCGTCATCGCCAGTTGAGCACCCTGTTTTGTGCTCGGCGACGTGTCGGAACAAGTTGATCGACCCGTGGGCACGAGCCCTTGCCAGTGACTCGATTTGCTGGATGGCTCAAGTGTTCCTAGCCAAGACTCTGGGGCTGGCGGAGATAATGTTCAGTTGGTTGTAGAGCCAGGTCGTTGGAAAGCCACATTGATGTCGGTGTGCTTCATGACGTTGGCCCTATACAGCCATTTTCTTGGATGCCAATACGAGGCAACCCTCACGCCAGCCAGGAGGCCTGATGGGGTGTCAGAAAGACCTCAGCTTCTTTCCTATTAGCGTCAGGACGGGTCAGGGGGCGACTGCCGGGGAAAACAGACCAGCTGTTTGTGGAAAAGAGCCGCAGGTAATCGTACGTTGAAAATGGCCGCGTGCGTCGATCGCCGACCTGTCTGCTGGAGCAGAGCAATCGACGTTGATAAAACCCGGTCCAAGAAACGTCGGCCCGCACCCTCCAGCAGGTGTACTGCGTACCTGATGCAAAGTGCGGACGGAAAGCCAGATCATGCCTGCATCATCCGGAGTCGAGAACTGATGAATCTAAAAGCTGTACCGGATTGTGGGTCCCGAGCAGGCACGCAGGCAGCCTACGCACAGGGGGAGAATTGAGAAGTGACAGGAGCTTGTCAAAGTCGGGTTGGAATCGCGAGCGAGATTGGCGCTGGGACTGGGGCTGACCCACCGGTGCAAGATATTGACAATCTGATTAATGACCGATGTTGACTGCCCGATTCCTCAAGCACCTGGGTTTCCCGGAGATCACTCAGCGGCATGAGCTCGACTGGTCGTCTTCGACATGTCGTTATTATGCGGTCGGGCATGTTTCCTCGACGGACACCGGCCTCTTTAGACCTAGTCCAATTGGTAGTGTATACAGTAGGTCATGTTCCGAGTGCGCCACGGCTTTTCAAGTTGGAGACTCGCGTGCAGCAGGATGGGGTCAATTGAGTGCCGAAACTCTCATGTGACCTAATTGTCTGAGTCCGTACTGTGTAACGAGGGAGCCGCTGAACGTCTGTGCTTTTAGAGGACTCGACAAGTTCCCGAGGCTTCCCGCTGTTGGCGCCAGCCTTGGGGCGCTCGAGGACAGAGCAACCTTGATGGTGAAATGAAACCTTGGACGAAGCAAGGCAAGGCGAAGCGGGCTCAGCGGGACGGGTCGTGGCGGGAACCGCCGCCAGTTGCTCCTCAGCACAGAGGTTTAGAGAAACAGCCTGTTTGCCGACGGAAAGAAGCACAGCTCCCACTTCCCTACCCCGATCCGGGGCTGCAGAGAACAAACGATCGCTCGTTCCCAAGCTTCCATTCTAATTTATCTGAGGCCATATAGATGGATGGCCTTGCCTCATCGCGAGAAGCCTCGGCCGATACGCCGTTTTTCAACCCGATGGCATCGTCCTCCGGGGGTTCGATGCATCCCGAGGATCTCGGCAGATCTGGACAAAGCAGCTTCTGGACAAGGACGCATTGTACAGCTTGATGTACTCCTTTAGTCCCGAACATGCTCCAAGAATACTGCAAGAGTGTCATCGGTCCAGCTGCTGATCCCCCCGTTTCAGTTGCATCTCGTCACGGGAAAGGTCTTGCCCCCACGCGTTGTTTTTCAGTCGTTTAGTCATTGCTTTGATTCTCGTGACGCAGCTACTGGGATGACAGCTCCAGGAGGACGGTCCTTTATCGATAGCATGGACACAGTGACAGTCGTACGTGCACTGGCTCTTTGCTGGCGTGGAGGGTGACCATGACGCAGAGAGGCCTTTGACAGGGCGAGACCTTGATCATTGCAACCACGTGTGCGTGTGCCTCGGTGCGGAGGATTTCGGTGAGTGACGTTGCTCAAGGCGGCGTTGTCGTCTTAACCATGTAACAACGGCGCCGTCGAAGCTGGTCAACGCTTTTTGGCGGGTGGGTGGAACCCAGCACTGGGTATTATTACTGCGAGCGAGCGGTAGTAGTCGGGGGAGCCACAGGAGCCACAGGAGCCAGCAGAAGAGGACTGATTGATAGGGCCGGTTGGGGTCCCAAGAGGCTTGTCCCTGTCCATTTCTTTGCAGAGTATCCAATGAAATGGGGCCTTCCCGATCAGATCGTCCGATATTCCAGAACACCGGGAATGAGCGCAAACAAGGTTACAAGGCGCCGAATAGGAAAGCTAGGCCCTGCTAGGAAGCACGGTCGGGCCCAACCCACCACCATTTCTAGAGTGTACCATAGTAAGCGGCCGCCTAGGAAATGCCGAGTCTCACCCCGGGGCGTCTGCTGGTAAGAACAGGGTCTGCCACTTTTGAATCACATCACATCACGGCGGCACAAGTCGAGATTTCCCTTGTAGCAGGCTCAGATTCCCAACAATGCATTGGACTCGATGTAGTGACCGGAACTGTGGCAGATTTTTTTTCCGAAAAGGGTCGAGAGTCGAATAATATCGCACGTGTTACGGTCATGAGTGTGTCGGATTGTGAGTAAGTGTGTGTGCGTGCTCGCGCCCGCGCGTGCATGGCCCTATCAAAGGTCATGATTGCAGGAATAATCAAGGCAGATTTGAGTCTAGTTGAAGAGTTCGAGTCATCCTTCAATCGTCTTGGACAAGTCTGATGCTTGACACGGTGAGACAGACACGAGGGACTGCTTTGTGTCTCGGGGTTGCGCCTCGTTGATCGCGCTTCACAGCCGTGTGACGAGGACATAACATCGAAACAGTCTATTGATTGATGTTCTCTTCGGCAGAATTCGCTTGCGTGATGACTTGGGATGGATGCAGATACAGTACGAGCGTGGCAGCATCTGCTTGAGACAGTTTTGATGGGCAGGGCCAGCGACCAACCACCACAGGAGTGATCGGGCAGCGGAAAGGCTGAGCCGGAACCTGGTCAATCACTCATGCGAGCATTGACAGCACCATGCCTATTGTTGTGTGACTTTCCTGCTCCTTTTTCTGCGTTCGCATACCGACGCAGTGACCCGCTCGCCACTAGCATCGCGGATGCAATGCGCCCAGAACCACTCACTGCCAACTCATTGATGATGGCTCAGAAAGCCGTCATATGCAGCCGTTTTGTTGCGCAGGTGCTCTATCGGCCTCGCGCTTCCGTCAAATTTGGAGTCCGTAGGTGAAGTTGCTCCCTGCATCTTGTCCGGTGTGTGAGTGGTGTGTGTGGCATGGACCGGAACACAGTCGACTGCGTCCGAGCCGGGGGAACGGCGCAAGGTGTTTTCAGGGGTGAGTTACGGGCCAGGCATGTCGCGACCCGGTCTACATGTACATGATGCGCCTAGAAATTCGCGTATCAAGCGAGTCTTGTTGAAAAGTTGACAGGTCAGACGGGTGGAGATCTGAAAAGCGGCGGGGGAAGTGAAGAAGGACCCGGTGGATGCACGTGTGTGCCACAAGATGCTGCCGCAGCCCAGAGCGCGTGGAAGAAGCCGCTCAGGGGCTCGACGACAGATTTCAAGAAACCATAGCAGCTGTTTGAGGAGTAATGACAGCTGGTGTACACAGTACGCGCATCGGGCATTCCGGAACGAATCTCTGCTTGCCGCGCTGCAAGATGTCTGTCTGACGGGTGACCGATGGGTCACTATCGCAACGATCGAGCCCTAGAGCACCATGCAGAGAGGAGAACATTAGTAGAATACGTATCGTGATACACAAGCGACTCAGATCCGTGGGAATAGCTCTCACCAGGGTGCTTTGGCCGCATCGAGTAATTGACCGCTGTGGAGTGCTCGAGGACAGGATCAAACCAATGCGATAACAACAGGACCAACAACAAGAACTAGTTCCTCCGACAGACTGAGACTTCTGCGACTTCAGTGCGCAGTCTACTGTAGGCGGGCGGACCTGAAAGCCACCCAAATCGAACAGAGCTACCTGGTCCTGTCGTCACCACAAGCGCGCCAGGCCTTGACATCAGGTCAGGCTCGGGGACTACTTATCCCTTGCTTTAATTTGACCAGCATAATACGAATGCCCGACTCAGCCTCAAACGTCAAGGTCGTTCTAGTATGTGCCCCAAAGAACGAGTCCATTTGTGGAAACGAGCATAGACCGTAGGATATTCCCGGGGTGCTTCCAAAGGCCAGCCGAGAAGCGGCAGGAGACAAAAAAAAAGAGGCGCGCCAGCAGAGACATGCAGCTCTAGACGCTGTACCCCCAAGCCCGTTCGAGCCCCGTCTGGAGGACGTTGAAGTTGTTGTGAGAGGTGTTGTGCGACTAGACCACCAGGACGGTGCAAGAAGGGCGCTTCTTGTGGCTTGCTGTCAGTCGAGTCGGGAGTATGTGGTGATACTCTACGCTGCGGCGTTGTGGAACGGTTTGGCTTGGGTAGTGTATGGCTCTTCTTTCCCCATATCTCTCTCTATGTCTCCCTCTGTCTCTCTTCCCCCTCCGATGATGATGGAGAATGACACAAATGGCGGTCCAAATCAAGACCATTGTCCATGCTATAGTGCAGTGCAGTGCAGTGCGGTGCAGTGCGGTGCGATGCGGTGCGGTGCGAGGTGAAGCGATGGCGACGCGATGCGATGCGATGCGATGCGCTACGCTTCCCTATGCTGCTCTGTGCTCTGCCTTGCGATGTGATACCAGCCTCTCTGGACGATGGCCCTGTCGAGGGCTAATGCAAGCAATTTTAGAGTCTCCAGGAGCAGATGTCGCAATCACATTCGCTGGGGTGGGATGCTGTACTTCGAGTGGCTCGCTGTATGGACATGGGGAGGTACGTACATGCGGGCCATGTCAAGATGTAGGCAGTGTACAGTATCTACAGTAGATACTGCGCATGTCGAGGTGGTGCTTGATGACGGGTGACCTCGATCATCCAGATCAAGGGTGGTGAGTGAGAGAGGTGAGGATGAGGGCAAGGGTGGGCGAGGCGCAGATCAGTGGGGAGATGGCAGGCCAGCCAGCAGGCAGGGGAGTGAGTGGTGTACACACACTACTTCCTGTACTGCGGTACGTACCCTGGGTGGGTGGAGGGGGGTGTGGGCGTAGTGGGCGCAGAGGGCGCAGAATGGCAGCAGAGGTCCAGAAGGGGACCGTCAAAAACACCAAGGGCAAGGAACCCCAGTTGCGCCGTGGAGCCGCGGTCGAGACATCGCGACTGTGGCACCCGCACCTTCGCAAGCATCTGCAGTCTGGTCGACTGCCCTCCACTTTAAGGCGTTTTAGCGCCTCCGAAAGACCCTTGTCGCCGAACTCAACCGGCTGCCACACCTTTTTTTCGACGTCGTTCTTGAGCTCCAAGGACAGAGTTGAGGGCATTTTGACGGCCACCAAAATCTGAATGTCTGCACTTCTCTCCCCTGTCTGCTGTCTCCTTTTTGACAGCTATCACACTGCTTGTCTGACCGTTTTGACAGCGCCTGCCAGCTCCAACCTTGAACGTTGCCACGATCAGGGCAATTATCAATCTCCTTGCAAGGTTCTGTCTGTCTGTCTGTCTTGTCTTGTCTGTCCGTCTGTCAGTACATCACTTGGCTGGCCAGCCCAGTCAGTCAGTCAGTCAGTCTCTCAGCCAGCCAGCCAGCCAGCCATCCTTCCATCCGGTCAGTCATCCAGCCAGTCACCCAGCCAGCTATCTGCTGTCTGCCTGCTCATGACGACAGCACTGTCTCCCTGTCTCAGGTCGGCCCAGGTCTTGCCTGGTCTGGATGAATAGCAGACAGACAGACAGACATGCTTCCATTCCAATCCGAGGCTCGTGGCACTGTCTAGCTCGCCTGCCCTCTCTCTTTCTCTCTTTCCCTCTCTCCTCGCCCACAGTGTCATCCGTCGGCAGCGCCTGTCGTTGATGCAAGCTCGGTGATCGAAGGCTAGGCAGGGAAATCTCGCAGCTAGATCATGCATCCTCGTGAGTGTGCTCTGTGCTCCGAGCCCTGTGCCCCTGTGCCCCCTGTGCTCTGGGCTCTGAGCGCAGCTGTCTGTCTGCCGAAGCCTTACCCTCAGCTCCATCGGTGCCACATCCTGGTCCGCCTTCACACCACATCACAGCCTAGTTGAAACTATCCCTGCCCAACCGACACGCCTGCCTGAGCTGCCCAGCGGCAGAGGAGAGCAGAAGCAGTGGGGGTGGCTCCTCTCCACCACCATGTACGTTGTGTACGTGTGTGTGCGTGTGCGTGTGTGTGTGTGTGTGTGTGTGTGGTGTGTAATGTGTACTGTTATGTGTGTGTGTGTGCTCTGTGCTGAAGGTACCCTACAGCGTACCACAGTACAATAGTACATCCTTCCCAAGCCTCTCTCCCCGTGTGCATGTGTGTGTGTGTGTCTTGGTAGCATGGCATGGGGGAGGGGTGTGTGTCCCAGGGTAGGGGCCCGGGTGGTGGATTTTTGCCCAAGTGTGCAAGGTACCTCACCCCGGTCCGGTGTCCATCGCGTCCAGGGCCTGTGGAGAGCCCATATATCATCATGTATGTCTGGATGAATGTATCTATGTATGTGACAGGCTTCCCAATCTCCTCCTGCACGAGCAGAGATCTCCGAAGTGGCATGGCAATTACCATCGCCTGGATATCCCAGATCGTCCCGCAGCACCCCGGCTGCACATCACACATCCATCCACCCTCTGTCCCACTCCGACTATATGATATAGCTTCTTTCTCCTCCTCAGGCCTTCCCAAACATCACCAAGCCTCCCGTGTGTGCTTCTTCTTCTGCCAACAAACAGAACAATATACCACGGTCTCTACTGCCCACCAGGCCGCCCGTAAACACTCAGTTCGCCAGCTCAACTTCCCAACATCTCTATTTACATACAGTTAAACTCGTCCGCAATTTTACTCCCTCACTTGTCCTTTTGACCTGCCCCTGCCTATTTGACAGACACGACCGAGTCACCAGGACACGAAGTATACTATCTCGCCAGCCAAAGACCTGCACATTCTCCCGAGTCCGGAACACCTGAGACTGTTTCTGCCAGGCCGCGGCAAGGTTCCTGCTTTAACCAGCAGGACCTGATATCTCGATCACAATGCCGCCTTACCAGCAACATCCGGCTCCACAAAGCTGGGACCGCTGGCCTCAACACCAGTCCAGCTCCGACTATGTGATGATGGACAACATGGTAGGCTACGACACCAGGACACTGCCATCCTCAGCACCGCTTCAACGACCCGTCATGGCTCCGCAGTACGTGATGGGCAATTCGTACGCAGACAGCCCAGTAACTCCAATGTCGGCTTCAAACTACCCCGGACCCTCCCAGTTCAGCGATTACGGCTCCTACAACCAACCTTCACCTTCCTTGACCTCTCCATTTCAGCAACACCCCGACCGATTTTCACACCGACCCATGGCACCACCTACACCACCATTGGACCCAGACAGCCATTCCATCTACTCCAGGGACGGCCAAGCATCATACGGCTCCAGGGACACAAGCCGGAGGTCATCAACGAAGCCAGTGACAGTGGTCAAGACAGAGGACGTCAACGGTACAAAGGAGTCCAAGACCATCGAGCCATTCAAAAAAGAGGATGGATCACTTCAGTGGATGTCAAACGAGAAATTCGATTGCCTCCTCAGGATGATTCCAAAAGCTTTGAATCTGGGTGACCAGAAGGAGGAGGAAGAAGAAGAAGAAGAGAAGCCGGCCGAGTGCATCGTAGCCCCGGTTGCGAAAAAGGTATGATACCATGATGTGCCATTAGCAGCCGAAGAGCGCACGCTCACCATGATGTGCTTAGGAACCCGACACCAAGGCACCACTCAAGAAATACAAGTGCGAATTTGCAGGCTGCAATCGAAGTTTCGCGCAGAAGGCTCCATTCAAAACCCATATGGATACCCACAAAGGGATCAAAACACACGTGAGCTAAGCATTATTCTTCGATTTCCGGAACACATCGTGATTGACCGATCAACAGCAATGCGACATCTGCGGAATTTGGGTATCACAGGCAGGAAATCTGCAGGTAGGCACCCCCTTTCACCACTCGACCGAGCCGGTAGGTCGGGAGCCAACATGTACGGAATAAATTTTAACAAAGCTCGGTAGACACACAAACGCTGCCACACAGACGAGAAGCCATTTGCATGCGGAATATGTGGCAGACTATTCAAGCAAAGGGGAAATGTCAAGCCGCATATCGAGAATGTTCATGAGAAGAAGAACAAGGTCGTCTGCAACTTCCCACGCTGCGGCAAAGACTTCACGACGATAGGCAACATGAAGGTTCGTGCTGATCTCTAGTAAGAACGGGTCATTTGACCTCGGGCAAATGTACTAACAATGTCGTCCGTATTATGTAGAATCATATTGGGAAAGTACACAAAGCAGTCCTCGACGAACTGCTGTACAAAATGGAGAACTGGAACGAGAACGACAAGCTTGATGACACATGGGTCAAGCTTTTCCAGGAGTACCGGGTAATCTTCAAGAACAGCAACAAGGGTATCAAGGGCAGAGGCCACAAGGAGGGCAAGACACTTAAGCACGAACAGAATGCGGTCAGGAACAGGATCAACGTGAGGCGAGAGACCCAACAGATGACACCAGTGAGCCCAGAGCCAATCCATGTTGGTGCTGTTGCCCACAACAGGTCGCAATACTATGAACATCATCAGCAAAGCCAACCACCATTCCACGGCCTACCCCTACCTGCACAGCCGCAGGCCCAGACACCGTTCCACGGTCTTCCTCTACCTGCTCAGCAGCAGCAGCCGACTCCACATTACACACCCATCTCAATGCACGCCCCACAAACCCAACCATACCACACCCTCCCTACGCCCATGGGGAGCAACATGGGATGGACACCACAGTACCAATAGATGTGAAAGTTTCTGCCCTTGCCAAAGCGCTTGGACAAAACAAAGGCGCATTTCACGGGGAGTTCCAAGGGCCAAGACGGATACATGGATACGACGGATATACGGACTCATGGACATGAACAAGTGCGACGCAGTCGCATCGAGATGATTTGACAATACCAACAACAACAACAACAATGGCGTCGGGGAGGGTGTGTAGAAAAAAGGCAAATCGGACAAAAGGACGGAAACCGGAAGGGGAACGGACACACAACACACATTTACAAACAACGGTGCTGGGCGTTCAATCATGACTTACAAGAGTTACCAAGAACGGGGAGATCAAAAGTGAGTTCGGCAAGGGAAAACGGGACAGAATTCACACAAGCCCCGGCTACTAGGCCAGGCCGGCGTACACGTGGATCGATTTCCTTTTGCTCTGGCGCGGCTGCCTACATGATCTTTCCACGCAACATTTGCTATTCTTTCCCTGCATCTTCTCCTATCTACTTCTCAAACCCGCACATAAACACAGCATGTACAACAACGCTCTCCTCGTACTGAAGGGGGCCTGCGTTTTGAACCCACATCATGTACACTCTCCAGCAAGGCATTGTAGCCTCTTTTTACTCTCTATTTTCTTGGTTTCGATCTGGGGTTTTCATGTCTGTTCCTGATTTTCTCACTGTTCTGGCAACTCGATACCAATATCGTTACGACATGATTGCCTCAGACCATCTATATAAACACATACACGGGGAAACGGAGCGCGCGAGGCTAAAAAAATCGGAAGGGGGAGGGGGTAGGGGGCGCGATCATGGATAGGCATGGCACCGGATTTCCCTGGGCCCAGGAGGGCGAAACCTGGAGCCCAAAACTGTTAGGCATCCCAGCAATCTGGGACAAGAAGATAACGAGCGTCGCGTTGTCAATACTGTGTAATGTATCTTGTCGTCAGAATTGACAAAGGGACCTCATTCCCAGAACTTTTGAAGAGAATGACTCTCGCGTTCCCAACCAGCTAGAATTGGAACATTTCTGACAGTACCGTGATATTGACACTGAAATTGGGAAAGCCACCTTTCGGGAAATGTCATACTCGATAAATTGGATGGAAATGATGGAACAGGTTTGCTGTAAGGGGGGCCCGAGGAAACCACTTTCCAGCTGAGCCATGTTCTATCAAATCTCACAAGACAGCGTTACCGAAGGATGCGATTGGCTTTTTGCTAATCAATAGGCACTCAAATCTGCACACCAATTGCAAATACTTGGGGCTGGCTAGATCGTAAAGCGGCCTCAATGAACTTCGAGAAAACTCAGAAACTCCTATTAATTCTGATTCAGAACAGCGGTCATCACTAGCTGTATTGCTATAGAGACTATCACTTGCATCAGGAATCATGTCTCGGTTCTATTCCCTTCCAACCAGGACGGAGACCCCTCCAGATAGGAGACGAGAGAGGGAAAACACGGAGAAAACGCCCGCCCACAGATAGACAGATAGACAAACACGATTTCAGATTACTTGACTGACAGCTTGCATGGCCCCCAGACAGCCCACATCTCCCATCTACGATAGGCGAGGTGTGGGGGACTCGTCGGCTGCGGCCGTGCAGGAGGAAAGCGATAGATCGAGGTGTGTGCCGCTGTCCGTCAGGCACACACACACCTCTTGGGAATTCCCCGTTTCTGACCACCCCTCCCCCCCCTACCCACTCACCCACACCAATTCTGCCTCGGGGCCCCTCCAGCCTTCCATCCGCCTGTAACTCTGACGTGCAATTACCGTGCAAGCAAGGCACACCGTTGCAGAGAATGCCTGAATGCCTGGGACGGCCGCCCTGCCCAGCAGCTTGGGCAAAGCTTCTGCCACACCGGTCACAGTCATGTGCACCACACAGAGGCGACGGATCGGGCGGCATTGAGAGGGGAAGATGGCGCGAGGGATCAGTGGTTCCATCGACAGGATCCCATGTGACATGTTCTGCTTAGATCTCAGAGATGCGTCAAAGGCGGAGGGCAAATGACATGACACCTCGGAGGCAACAGAAGGAGGCATGCCGTGTCATGGCAAATCGCTCCCCCTTTCGTGCTGTGCATACGGCGTGTGCTACGCAGCACAGACATTCTAGACGAAGATGAGGAGGGCCAGTGCCAGATCGGCAAAGACGTCTGTCTGCAAGATTGATTTGCGATAAGGTAGGTAGGTATGTCGTCCAAGGGGGTGGGCGAAACAGCTGACCAGGGGTCAGGCCTTACACAGAAGATTAAGTACGTACTCAGCTCTTCAAGACCCAAGTAGAGGAGACTTTGAAGGTCTCATCGGCCAATAGACTACGCCTGTTGCCCCTTCAGCTGCCTGCTTGTTTTGCCCGCCCGCCTAATCTGTACTCTGCATGAGCATATACGTGGGCGGGCGATCAAGAACGAGATCCTGCACGCCGTCATAATGAACATGTGAAAGTAAAAAAAAAAGGGGGGGCAAGTGATCTTCGAGAAGCTCCTCACCGCCGTCAGGAACATGAGTTTTTTTTTCCTACCCAGAGAGGCAAGAAAAGATTGTGGACGCAAGATCTGAAAAGCAAACTGCAGCAACCCAATGCAATGCGATGCGACCGCATCGCTGGTGAAAAACGACAACGCACACACACAGTTCGTTCAACCCGCGGCGGCCTGTTTTCACGGCCCGGGGATGGATACACAAACCACGCAGGTCTCACCGCCGCGTCTATGTAGGTATAATATGTATCTGCAAGTTTGTAAATCGTCGGACGTGCGCTTGATTCCCAGCAAACCTTGAAGAACCATGATGCTGGCCTGCAGCAACAGCAGCAGCTGTGGCAGCAGGACGAGTCCCTGACGGGCTGCGGCCAATACGACGGAGGTCAAAAATAGAACTACACCAACAAGGTCAGACATACATACATAGACTACACACACACACACATATACATACATATTGTACATACTTACAACGTAGTCTACATGACAACCAGGGTCCCAAGACAACACTCAGCAGTACCGACCCACAAGCCGGGATCTGCGCGGGGAATTAGACAAACGCCACAAGACCTCGTCTATCTCGGAGGATATGGACACGAAAGGCAGCGGCGGGCCAGGCCGCCGAGATTGAAGGAGGTCCACGCAGCTGCAATGCCCACAGCAGACAGATATCCAGCCCTGGCTGGCAGCAAAGTGCCTGCTTGGGCACAGTAGCAGGTTGGGCATCCACCCCACGCACTCTGCCCCCAGCACGCACATACACATACACATACATATACACATACATACACAGCACATATACATATATCCACATAGACGCAGACGCACACACATAAACAGCCAGCGGCCGCGATATCGCGACGCCTCCCAGCGCACGGTGACGGAGTTTGAGCTGGTCGATCCGGGGAAATTCTCTTGATTCAGAATCGGTCGGCAAGCTCCGCACACCCACCCAACTACAGGCAGGGCGCCCAGTGGCCTGACTTGCATGCATGCGAGCGAGGCCGGACCTCTGGGGTGAGGTGGGCAAACAGACACCCGGGTTCCCGGCCCCCAACAACCGGGACACCAGCCACACACGGGCCAGGAAATAATCCCACACTCTTTATTCCCCCGACCCCCTTGGTTCCCACACCACGCCCCCGTGTGCCGCCCTCGCCCTCCGACGTAATAAGCCAATTGCTCGAGCCTCCTGTCCTTGTCTCTCGGGGACCTGGCCTGGGGTGCGGGGGACCTACTGAGACGCGGGCTGCTGGGGTCCCCAATACGAGCGAGAACGGTCCAGTCCTGTCCAGTCCTGTCCTTGTCGTGACAAACTCCCATCCATATCCACCCACCCCACCCCATCCATCCGACCTCGTCACCTCAGCCTTAGCCGCATCGGGGCCCTCCCCACTGGCCCACTCGTAGAAGATAGCTCCATCGCCTTGCGTCGAACCACGGGGGGGAGAGAGCGCAAGCCCACAGACTGCGCGTGCAGTATGCACCGGCGGTGCCCAAGACCCTTTGGAAGCCCGGCCAAGACATATCGGGGCGCACGGAAGAGCTGAGGAGCGTCTTCCGGAGCAGGCATTATCGCTGGCGCGAACCACGGCATGGCAGCTAGGGCCCTGCGGGCACCTGGACGGAACGGAGAGGGGCGAACAGCCTTCTCCTGAGGCCAAGCGAAGCAATGCATGGGGCCCTGACTGACTGTTTCTTGACGTGGAAGTTAGAGGTAGAAGAAGAAACAAAACTCGTTGCGTGGAGTGCTGTCATGAATGTTCCGGCCGAATATTCGCCCCACCCCCTTCGGGGCTGTCTTCCCTCTCTCTGAGGAGGCTTGCGCGGGCTTCCCTTAGCCTACCCCCCGTGCAGAGTCGAGACGAAGAGAATGTTGTCACCGCCCTGGATCTCGTATGATTCCTCGCCCTCTAGCTCCCAGTCCGCGTCGTTTATCAAGACAAGGATTCCCGGGCGGCTGGTGGGAGATGAACACAAGGCTTGAGCGTTAGCCCCCTCGAGTCTGTCTTTCTCTCTCGTTTAAAGGAGGGTGTAAATGTATCAAGGTAGACCTTGCAGGTGTAGAAGAAGAAAAAAATGCGAGACATATCGAGGCAGCCAGCGAGTGAGAGACACTGCGGAACGACTGGGGGAGGTGTCAGGAAGGGAGGGGGGAGGAGTACGTACATGTGGTTGTCCAAGACGAAGAGCTCCTTCCTGCTGTCCTTCATGACGTGCTGGCAGAGATGATCGATGAGGAAGGCGATGGTGACGGGCTTGCTGTCCTTGTCATGGGCGGGGAGGGTGAGCTTGTGTTGCCGTTGATCAGCGAACAGCATCTCGAGACCGCCCCTGAGGCGAGTAAGTTAGCACAGAACACATTTCCTTCCCCCCTTCTCTCTGCTGGGCCGCTGTTCGTTCGTCGCTGCTCCTCCGTTCTTCATCAAGATGGCCATGCCCTCTAGAAAACACGAGCACAGTCAGACCGCACGATCTGGGTGCGACAGCAGGCCGTAACCTTCCATGGGTCTTCTGAGGACTGAGACTGTCATACTCCAGTGAGGGTCTCATTCATGCGCTTGCCCGCGTGCCATTGCCTTGGGGTCGTGACCGCTGATTTAGCCGTCTTTGGTGTTACCCCTTGGGTTACATCCCGGCGACTCGAGAATGGCATGCAATTGTGGCATGGTCTTTTCAAGAATGCTATGGTTGGCAGCTTTGCCATGGCCCCCGAGAACGTGCTGGTTGGTTGGTTGGTGGAATGGTGTGGGTTGAGTGAAGACGACTGAGAACAGCGACAGGGCAACTCACGAGAACTCAACGTTGATGGCCAACATTGGTGTTTCCTTCTCAACAGTCGTCTCGGCCATCGTGAGTGAAAAAGGAGCTGTCTTTGGTATGGAGTAGTCGCTTGTGCGTATGGTCGGTGCACAGTCTTTTGCGGCTCTGCGGGCGTCAAGTGGTAGCGAAAGTTTATTTTTGAGTTGTGCTAGGTTCTGATACTGTACGGCCAGTCTGGGGTGTTCCTGACAGAAACGGGCACAGTGCGTCGTTGGGGCACAGTGCCACCAAAAATTCGGAGTCCCAAATTATCGCCAGCACCTTCAGTCATCGGATGGAATACAGTCGAGATACACAGGACGAAGAAGCCATTTTGAAATACTTAGTTGCCTTAAGAAATCGTCAATATTCACAGTCATTTGACTTACTGTATGGTACACCATTCTCAAAAGGCAGTTCATTATTTTTCCGCCTGAATTTTGACCGCTTTGTCGTCCGAAATCAAGTGCTCTCACTGCCTACTATTTCCATCTCACACACAACTGATCATGTTCAAGAGGTCATGACTTATTACTCAATAGGCGCCAACCGGCAGACAGCCGCTTCAGACTGGGCTGATTGCTACGGCGGTGTCGTGGCATTCGGTGCAGATGTCAACCTTGCACTATGGCGGCCATCAGACCAGAAAGTCTGGCATCCCAGGACACCTGCACACAAAGGACTGGTCAAGGCCGTCAAGTTTCTGCCGGCAAGGCCGAAAGACCAATCTGCTCACATAGTCAGCGGCGGCGACGACAAGTGCATCAAGCTGTGGAGCCTCGACCTTGCCAGCGGTGAGGTCGACGGCATTCAGACTGTGGAGGATCACACAGCCGCGATAAACTGCATCGCGACACTGAAGGCAGGCTGGACTGGAGGAGATGAGGCAGGGACGATATTTGTCACAGGAGCCGCTGATGCGACAGTCAAGATCTGGACATTCGAAGGTTCAGGCATCAGGGTCCTGCAGACCATCCAGCTATCCCCCAAATACCTCCCCCTAGCCCTCGCCGTGAGCCCCCTAGGGAACGATGGGAAGACATATATGATCGCATCCGCTGGGACCAAGGACACCATTCAGATATTTACAGGGACTTTCAGCCATAATCACTCCGAATTCCGCCTCCAGGCCACCTTGTCTGGCCACGAGGGCTGGATACGCTCTCTCGATTTCACCCCAGAGACACCCGACAACCCAGGCAGCGACCTCCTCCTCGCCTCGGCCAGCCAGGACAAGTACGTCCGGCTCTGGCGCGTCCACCAAGGGCAGGATCTCCCCGCCCAAGCGGCCACCGCGTCGGACCCCACCGTCGGCGCATACCTGCCTGGGAGGTCGCCGAGCAACAAGGCGTACCGGTTCAAGACCGACGAAGCAGACTACTCGGTGACTTTCGAGGCCCTGCTGTTCAACCACGACGACTGGATCTACAGCGCCAGGTGGAGCCGGAGCGAGCAGGGGGTCCTACGACTCCTGTCCGCCTCGGCGGACAACTCCCTCGTGATCTGGGAGTGCGATCCCAGCTCCGGCATCTGGGTGCCCGACGTGCGGCTGGGCGAGATCTCGCGGGAGAAAGGCGCCACCACCGCCACGGGCAGCATCGGCGGCTTCTGGACGGGCCTCTGGTCCCCGAGCGGGTCCGCCATCCTCACCATCGGGCGGACGGGCTCCTGGCGCCGCTGGGACTGGAACGCGGAGACCTGCACCTGGGACCAGGGCGTCGCCGTCTCCGGGCACACAAAGGCCGTCACGGGCCTGGCGTGGGCACGGTCCGGCGACTACCTGCTGTCCACCAGCTCGGACCAGACGACGCGCCTCCACGCGCGGTGGACCGGCGACGGCCGCTGGTACGAGATGGCGCGCCCGCAGATCCACGGCTACGACCTGAACTGCGTCGACGTGCTGGGCGAGTCGCTGTTCGTGTCCGGGGCCGACGAGAAGCTGATGCGCGTGTTCAAGAAGCCCCGGGCCGTGGCCAAGATGCTGCGCGCGGTCGCGGGCATCGGCGGCACGACCCAGGGCGGGGCGGAAGAGGACGATGATGACATGCCTGAGGCGGCCAACATGCCGGTCCTTGGGCTCTCGAACAAAGCCACTGTCGATGCCGACGGCGCCACTGAAGAGGAAGCGGCGGCGGCAAATCCGGAGAAGGACCGCGGCGCCATCGACCCGGCAAGCATCGTGCGCCGGTCCGCGCTGGACATCGCGCACCCGCCGCTGGAGGAGTCGCTGTCGCGGCACACGCTGTGGCCCGAGGTCGAGAAGCTGTACGGGCACGGCTACGAGATCAGCTGCCTGGCGGCGAGCCACGACGGGCGGCTGGTGGCCAGCGCGTGCCGGGCGTCCTCGCTGAACCACGCCGTCATCCGCATCTTCGAGACGGAGCGCTGGACGGAGCTGCGTCCGCCGCTTGCTGTGCATACCTCGACTATCTTCCGGCTGCGATTCAGCAGCGACGACCGGTTTCTGCTGAGTGTGGGCAAGGATAGGCGGTGGACTGTCTTCAAGAGGGATGATGGTGAGTCCCAGAAGGACAGTGATATGTGCTACAAGCAGTTTCAGACCGACGACAAGGGCCACAAGAGGATGGTCCTAGATGCGGCGTGGGGACCGGTGATGCCGGACTTGCCAGGCAGGAGGATATTCGCCACAGCCAGTAGGGACAAGTCCTTCATCGTGTGGGCCGCGGAAATGAGCGACACCGAGGCGACAGAGGCTGGAGAAGGGGCTGATAAATTCCACAAGCTCCAGAGCGTGTCCCTGGAAGACCCGATCACCGCCATCGACTTCTTGCCCCGGCCATACAAGGGGAAATACGCGGTCTTAGCCGTCGGAACTGAGAAGGGACATGTCCGCACGTATCTCTGGGACGTTGCTGAAGGCTCCGGGGTACCATTCCCTCCAAAGCCTTCAAGCGAACACATGACTCTGTAAGTCTTTTCTGTTCCACCATTTCCTAACCTTTCCTTTTTCGTATTCCCGCCCATCCTCCTTTCACTTCCTGGCCCACGTTGCTCTGACTCCCTCGACGGACGCTAATCGCTCATGAGCAGACTCGAGCTCGCCAAGCCTATACGGCAGCTTGCGTGGCGGCCGGGTCACGAGGAGGAGGCCGAGCTCGCGGTGGCAGGCGAGGACGGCTCCGTCAGGATCTGTAGTATAGGCGTTGAAGTTCCCCAGGCGACATGAAGGCTCAATGATGGGAGGTGACTTGGAGCCATTTGGAAGGAATACCTTGATGCTTGGACATATCGCCAGCGAGTATGGCAATGATATCCTGCGAACTCGGTTACTTGACGGCCAAAATGGATATTAGAAGGGACAAAGAGATTTGGCTGTGAGCACTCCCAGATGACGGCAGGGCATGTCAGATCCAACCTTACTACGAGATATCCACGTCTTACAGTGAGCATCCAAGGACAAGATGTACGCCGAGCTTGTTGGAACAAGTATAAGCGTATTACAGCATTCCATTCGTAACATATGGCCCTGAGACCATGATCTAAACATTAAGTACCATATCTATGTCACGCCGTGCCATGCCATGCCATGCAGCGGCTGTGCTGCGTTCTAGCGGTATATCATATTTCCATGCGATATATCCAGAAGGCGATTCACAGCAATTCCCATCCCAGCAACGCCAAAAGCCCAAAGCAAGACGAGGGCTGACATTCGCAGATACTGCCAACTTCCCAGGCAATGGCAACCCATCACCATCATCACACCGTCTAACCTTTTGCTCGGATCTCTGGGAGCGGTGAGCCTCGATCGCTCCCACAAAGTATCGCACGCAGCCAAACCCCGGGTAGATCACCGCAGTCACACACTTTTCAATGCGCGCGACGACCCAGCACGCACTAGCACCCGGCTTCCACCACTCACACCACAGTCCAGGCACAAGCAGCAAGGCCGCCCTATAGCTCGACCTTGCCGACGCCCTCCGCGACGGCCCTGGCGGTCTCGGTGGCGATGGCCTTGGCGGTGGGGGTGGTGGCGGCGACGTGCTGGGCGAGGGAGCGGGCGGTCTCGCGGGCGGCCTCGACGGCCGAGTCGCCGTGGATGTAGAACCAGGCGCGGCCGGCGAGGAACATGATGTGGTGCGGCAGGTAGAGGATGGTGGCGATGGCGGTCAGGGAGAAGAGGAGGAAGACGACAGACCCTGTTGTTGTTGTTGGGCTGGTTAGCAAAGGGGGAAAAGTAGACGGAGGAGGTAGGATGGTGGGGTCTGGGAGTGGGAGTGGGAGTGGGAGGAGGACGGAGGTGATGGAAGGGGGGAGGGGAGCGGGCGTACAGAAGATGAACTTCTCGAGCGGCGTGAAGATGTAGACGCTATATGTCACCTCCACTTGGTAGACCTTCAATGAGAGCCACTTTGTGAGGGATTGGTAGGGGGAGACGGAGGAGGAGGATGATGATGAAGCCATTGTGATCGACTTGGTCTTGCGATTCTGGATCCGCAAGGTGTTTGCTGTCGTAATCGAGGATGACGTGGTGCTGGCAGAAGTGAGAGTCGTCTTGGACCGGCTGGTTTGGTGATTAAGGATTCGGCGGCGGTAGACAGAGGACAGGAATCCGAGGGTGCAGTCGTCGAGTGAACAGTTCTAGTATTTACACATCGTCGAGGGTTCGTTTTGCAGCATGAATCTGGTCAGGAGTGATTCTCGACGATCCAATTGGAGTGGGTGTCTTTCGCCTTGGGGTTACGTGCAAGCCTGAGCACAATAATTCGGTGACGAAGGAAATAATCTAGGAGAAAGTCTATCCTGTCCAGCCGATCGATTCGCATGGAGGATCGAAGCCTCGCATTGAAAGCAAAAACCCGTCCCCTGGACCCGGCGTCCCAAATTCCCTCCCCAGGCGTGCCAGGGCCGCAATCTAAAGGGACGCGAGCCGGGGGGTCCGCGGTCGCGCTCCGTCAGCAGCTCTCTGAGTGGCCCACGCAGGCCCCCTGTCGTCCACCACCTCACCTCTCTGCCTCGCCCTCCGTCACCAAAGTCGGTCAGGCCCCACCGCGCCGAGCCGAACCCTTGTCGTCGAACACCCTGCCTTGGGCCCCGTCACTGACGCCAACACCACCCTCGTCAGCCTTGCCTGTGTCTACTTGTTACTAACTGCACTACGATGCCGACGGGACAGGACAGCCGAGTCAAGCAATGTGGTGGTTGAAGCCTCTCGCCCCTGCTGGCTTTGCACGTACCAGCCATGGCCTCCTGAGGCGCACGATCGCGGGGAGCAACTGCAGTAGTAGCAGTAGCAGTAGCAGTAGCACCAGCGTATTCACTGCAGCAGCTCCCTTCTCGACGACATCCAGCGACCACAAGGGCGCAACCCGGTACCCACCGCGGCCCAAGCCACCGCCAGACCACGAGTTCACAGAGGTCTACCTAAAGGGAAGCGGCCCAGGCGGCCAGAAGATCGTACGTCTGTCTGCCTTTCTGTTTCTTTGCCCACTCAATTTCCCAATTATTAACCTAGTTGTGCTTTTGTCGTCCTTCACCTCTAACACTTCCCCTCGAAACAGAACAAGACCAACTCGGCCGTCCAGCTCAAGCACATCCCCACCGGCATAGTGGTCAAGTGCCAGGACACGCGCTCGCGCGAGCAGAACCGCAAGCTGGCCCGCGAGCACCTGGCCGAGAAGATCGACGACCTGCTCAACGGCGACCAGAGCCGCTCCGCCGTCGTCGCCAGGCTCAAGGCCCGCAAGAAGTCCAGCGCCGCCAAGAAGAGCAGGAGGAAGCATCGTGATTCTGCCGAAGAGAAGCAGCAGGGGGAGCACGACGAGGACGATGAGGCTCCTCTAGGCTCGGGAGAGGCCGATGAGGCGGCCCAGCATGATGATACCCCGCGACGAACTGTCAAGGTCCAGGAGATAAGGGTCTGATAGCAAATTCTGTATATTACACAACCCATGCCGAAATAAACCAGAGGGAAAAACGGCCAGGTGTCAGTTCAATTTGGTGACATGTCACATGAGCGTTGATTACTCGGACTTGGGTAATCTTCACTGTATTGCTCTAAAAACACCTCGACCTCTGCTCACGCTCCACGAAGGGACTATTTCATCCATATGGGCAGGAAAACAATAAAGGGGGGGTTTTGATCAGCCTCGATTGTACGTTGTTGTTCGCCCCTCTATGCACAACCAATTAAGAAACCAAAGGCCATCGTTTTCCGCCACCGGGACAGCCGGGGCGCCACCCAACTGTCAACCATGACCAAAACTTTTCGTAAGTATGAGACTCGACAAGCGCGCGTGCGCAGCGTGGGCTCTTCATCGTGGCCGATCTGGTCGAGACGGTCGCAAGCTCGAGATCAACTGGTCTTATTCGTCTTCTTGAGTTGCTGGCAAGTTGTTAGCGGGCTGTATCGAGGTAGACGGACTCTGGCGCGACCATGGAGGCTAAGCTTACCTTAGAAGCACTTGCGGTGGACGATGGAAGGACCGCTCTCGTCGTACTCCTGCTTGGAGATCCACATCTGCTGGAAGGTAGACAGGGAAGCCAAAATGGATCCACCGATCCAGACGGAGTACTTTCGCTCGGGAGGAGCAATGATCTTGACCTTCATGGAGGATGGTGCAAGAGCAGTGATCTCCTTCTGCATACGGTCGGACAGACCGGGGTACATGGTGGTACCACCAGACTATGGGTTAAATGTTAGCGATTTTTCCGGGATCCGGGTTAATCAAAAAAGTGTCAAAAAACGTACCATGACGATGTTGCCGTACAGGTCCTTACGGACATCGACATCACACTTCATGATAGAGTTGAAAGTGGTGACGTGGATACCACCGCTCTCAAGACCCAGCACAGAAGGCTGGAACAGAGCCTCAGGAGCACGGAACCGCTCGTTTCCGATGGTGATGACCTGACCGTCGGGAAGCTCGTAGGACTTCTCCAGGCTGGAGGACTGAGCAGCGGTCTGGATCTCCTGCTCGAAGTCGAGGGCGACGTAGCAGAGCTTCTCCTTGATGTCACGGACGATTTCTCGCTCGGCGGTGGTGGAGAAGGAGTAACCACGCTCAGCCAGGATCTTCATGAGGTAGTCGGTCAAATCACGACCAGCCATGTCGACACGGGCAATGGCGTGGGGCAGAGCGAAACCCTCGTAGATGGGGACAACGTGGGTAACACCATCACCGGAGTCGAGCACGATACCGGTGGTACGACCGGAAGCGTACAGGGACAGGACGGCCTGGATGGAGACGTAGAAGGCGGGGGCGTTGAAGGTCTCGAAGACAATCTGGGTCATCTTCTCTCGGTTGGACTTGGGGTTGATGGGGGCCTCAGTCAACAGGACCGGGTGCTCCTCAGGAGCGACACGGAGCTCGTTGTAGAAGGTGTGGTGCCAAATCTTCTCCATGTCGTCCCAGTTGGTGACGACACCGTGCTCAATGGGGTATCGCAGAGTCAGGATACCACGCTTGGACTGCGCCTCATCACCGACATAGGAGTCCTTCTGACCCATACCAATCATGATACTGTGGTTTTCATTAGAATCGCCTCGAATTGTTTGTATATTCTCGAGGAAGGATATTTACCCATGGTGGCGAGGACGACCGACGATGGAAGCTGGCGAGTTCGTTAGTTTTCAGGGTCTTTTGCGGGCGTTGCGCCGTTATCTCCAACGCAGGGGTAGCTGGAGCACGGCGGGCGCTGACAAGGGCGAGCGGGAGCGGGGTGACTTACGGAAAACAGCTCGGGGAGCATCGTCACCGGCGAAACCGGCCTTGCACATACCCGAACTGGACTCATGTTAGAATATTGTGCTTTTTAAAGTGCTAGAAATCGACACCGTTGATGCGATTTGGATAGACGAGGCTGGCTCCAACTCGCACGACCTCGGGGGAGATGTCGGTGAGGGCCATCAGCCGAGAGAGGGGGTTCTCTGGTGGCAGGCGGTCTTACCCATTGTCGATGACGAGAGCTGCAACTTCTTCTGCAGATTGGGAATGTATGTTAGCGATGCTCGAGCTGAGACGAGTGAATGGCTCTTAATGGCCTTGTCCTGCCACTGATTGTGGTGGTGGCAGTAGCAGGCTGGCGGTGTTTATTGCGCTGTGCGCGTGGCGGGAGCAGAGACAAAAGATGTGGCCAACTTACCCTCCATGGTGACAGATTACGTAGTAAAAAGAGTGGTAGATTTGGAATTAGGGACTCGAGATAAAGACGAGGAAGAAAGAAGGCAAGTGAAGTCCGGACGAAGTGGTGATCGAACGGAGAGCAGGTTGTTGGTGTCGAGGAGTGTTTATGTCGCTGACGACAGGAAGAGTTTGGGTTGCAGATGGTGGTGGTTGGGTTGATAAAGGGGGAGGTCCAGGTCGGAGTGAGAGCTACGGTGGCACTTTACGTTGAGATTTGAAGTGGGAAAGAAGCCATCGCACAGGCCGGGCCAGATAAAGTGGGGGTGGCCAGGAGGAAAGGTTGATGCGACCCTGTCAGTGGCTGCACCGCAATCAGCCTACCACTGGAACGGGGAACAAGTGGGCTCCGCCTAGGAGAGGAGACGGGGGGACAGGGGGTTAGCAGCCAACTCACTGCGTCCCAATTTGAAGCCACCTGGGCTATTGTGCGCTGACAGCTAGACAGATAGACAGACAGACTGACTAACTGACAGACAGCCTGATGAATCCGTCCGTGACTTTGGGTTCTACACAGTACAAGGGCAGTCAGACTGTCATATAGGAATAGGAGAGGGTGTGATGAGTTGTGTGTACGGAGCACATGTACATCTCCCTGCATACATGTAGGTGATGCTGGGCCGTATCTACAGTACACGCTGGCAACGGCCCTCAACGATTGTCGGTGTGGCTGGTTGTCTGTCAATCACTCGTTCAGTCAAGTCAGTCCGTCAGTCCTCCCTCACTTCAACACATGCCATGCTGGTGTGCGCATATACGTATACGAATCGACAGCAGCCAGCCGTATCCCCCCCGGAACAAAGAGGCTGGGTATGCAGATTACCTCTACAAATGAACCTGGCTACGAGTACGGGCTGAACTTGAGTGTGGAAGCTTGCTTGATATGTCTAGCTCCCACCACTCTGCACTGTACTCACTGCATTGCACACAGCTATACAGCATGCGACAGCATCGACAGACGCCGGTGTCTATCCGTGAGGCCTCAACACCTATAACAGCCCGCCACTTGTTGTTTCGAGGGCATGGTGAAACAAGGCGCATGGTTACGACCATTATCCGTATGAAACGGTATAGACAGTGATAGATACGTTATGAGATGAACACCTGCAGGCGAGGAATGACGCCCCTCCTCCTCTTCGCAAGCTAATCACACATCCTAACATCCCGTCGGTTCAGTTCGATACTGTGTACCCACGATAGACGAGCTGTTTGTTACGGATATATGCTGTCTCGCCCCGTCGTGGGGATGACGTACGGTCCATGTGAATAAGCTTCAGCCTATCTGTGCATATGTGATCTACCCAGGATCAAGGCATGACGGCCTGTTCGGCATGAACTCGTCGTCTGATGCCGAGGGCTCAGTGGGATGGCTGCCAAGCCGAAGTCGTCGTCAATTCAGGATGTCTAGTCAGGCCGGGCTGAGTTTAGGATGAGGTTGATTGCGCAAGCAGGGGCGAGACGCCTCTCTCTTTGCTGACGGCTGCCGCCATAAGCGCCCTTTTAGACCTCCATAGTCCTCCTCACAAGAAGCTAGAGTGGCCATGTTTCAAGGCTGTGTGTTACATGGCATGGCTGGGATGACCAGGCTTGGACGAGAAGCTCGACCGGAACATTGCATTGCCAGGGTCCTCGAGCGCACCAGGGCACGTTCAGACTCGAGGACACACGACACAGCATCATGCACAAGTAGCTGGTCCCAAGGCCAAAATGTCCTGCACAAGACTGTCGTTCCAGCCAGATCCATCGTTCGCTTCCTTTACATGTCTGCGATGAGGCTCGCCATCTGGTGCCATGCGCGTGTGCTGGCCCCAAAAAGGGGCTGTCGTTGGTTACTTACTGCTTTGAGGTGGCCGATGGCGGGGCATTCAATTTGGCGGGGTTCCCGAAGCTCCAGATTTGGCTTCTAGAAAGAGGACCCCTGGCAGTGAGCGGCAACGGTCGATGGGGCAGGGCGTGCTCAGCTTCGAGACAGGCGAGGCAGAACAAATATTAGTGTCCCATGCCGAAAGATGGACATCAATTCCGCGGCTGGGCTTCCTTCTTGCAGATCGCCATCACTGCGAGACCCGCGGCAATTGGCATGTCATGTCTTTTTTCGTGGGAAAAAGAAACACGGCACTGCATTCCCAAATGCCAGCCACGCCAGCGTCTACTGTTACTTGACAGACAGCAAGGATGGTCCTGCGCTAGGCCGTAAACGTGCAGGAATTTTCGAGAAGCTTCCCGAAAAAAGGCATCAATCCAAACAATTTTGAGAGAGCTCTACATCACCGGGATCAAGAGCTCCTCAAACATCAAAACTGTGCCGATCGCCATAGTAGACGTGCCATTTCCCATCTCAATCTCTTAACATATCCTGATCGTCTCTCGTCGCCAGGAGCAAGCCTCTCCCAAAAGCACAATCTCGGTTCAAGATCCAGTCAATCCAGATCAACCATTCCCCCGATCCGAACGAAACCAGACCAAAAGAAGCCAGATCCAATCTCACACCCCCCCAACATGGAAAAGAACCTAAATGAGCTCCTGAAATGGAGCATCGAGGCCCAGACCGCCGGTAACAAGAACGGGGCCGGGGCCCAGAACCCCACCGCCATCACTGCCGCAGACGCGCCCGCGGACGGGAACACGACCGCAACCACCACCACCACCAGCAGCCAGGCGCCCGCCACAAAAAGCGACCTGAACCCAGAAGTCCTCGCCGCCCTGCTAGGCGGGCCCTCAGACGCCGACCTGATGCGGCAGTCGATGGCGGTGATCAGCGCGACGTCGGACCCGGAGGTGACGCTGGAGCACCGGCTGACGGCGTTCGACAACCTGGAGCAGCTGATCGAGTCGCTGGACAACGCCAACAACCTGGGGCCCTTGGGCCTGTGGACGCCGCTGCTGGCGACGCTGGCCGACGCCGAGCCCGAGGTGCGCAAGTACGCCGCCTGGGTCGTCGGCACCGCCGTCCAGAACAACGAGCCGAGCCAGGAGCGCCTGCTGGCCATGGGCGGGCTGCCTGGGCTGGTCAAGATGGCGCTGGCCGGCGAGGAGCGCGAGGACGTCCGCCGCAAGGCCGTGTATGCCCTCAGCTCTGCTACCAGGAACTATCAGCCCGCCATGGACGTCGTCGCTGCTGAGCTGGACAAGGGGGGGCATCAGCTGGCCGGCCCGGGCAAGGTCGATGCTACGAACATGGATGCTGTGGACGCAGTCATGGACGGGCTGAAGGAGCAGGTGAAGAAGGACGCTGCGAAGGCTTCCGCTTAGGCGAGAGAGTCTGAGCATGTGTCATGCTGGTTGGGATGGATGGGAATACCACGGGATTCATCAACGGTTCATGCATGGACGGCGTTAGAGGCGTTGCGGCGGACTATGCCTTATAGATATGAAAATGGACATGGACACGGTCGACCGGGGCCACAAGGAAAATAGATCTTTGGTAATGAGACATGCCATTTTGATGCCACCAGGTATCTCTGCCTGTTCCTTTCCATGATATGTGACATGAGGCTTTACAGTTTATAATACAGCGAGACAGTGGTTCTGCATGTAGTCCAACAATCTCACGCTCATTCATCATCCGAGATAAGAATTAGGCCGCGGTGCCTCACTTGAAATCGCCGTCAAAGGGAACACCCAGAGCCTGCATGAGCAAGCGGGCGTGTCGGTTAGACTTGGCAGTGGTCTGGACGTTGACTCGACATCCAGGGATCATCTAGACACACAAGAACAGTCAGCACACGACGGTTTCATCCCACGCCAATCCAATGGCCAGCCCACAAGGCAGCTCACCTTCGCCGGGTAGGCGTCATAGTTGACCTGGATCTCAGGGAACAGCGCAAACTCGTCTGGCTGGAACCCCCACGACAGGTTTCCGGACTCATCGCCGGTGGAGCCGGGGATGCCGGGCCACTCCTTGATCTTGGGGAAGACGAGGTGGACCATCTTGTCCATGAGCTCGTACGCCTGCTCGCCCCAGACGGTGACCTTGACGCCGGCGACCTGGCCCTTGCTGACGCCGAACTGCGACACGCCGTGCTTGACGCGCGTGACCTCGGTGCGCGCCCCGGTGACCGCCTGCAGCGCCGCCCGCGCCGCCAGCAGGTACGTCGGCTCGCGCACGGCCAGCGGCTCGTACGTCGACAGCGTGATGGCCAGCAGCTCCGGCACCGTGCGGAAGTCCATGTTGCGCTCCACCGGCCGCAGCGCCCCCGTGCTGCCGCGCGGCCCCCGCAGCGGCCGGTTCTTGTGGTACGGCGACGAGTCGTCCCACGCCCGCAGCCGCTGCCCGATCGGCCCCTTGGCTGTCCCCGGCGGCGTGTGCTCGTACGTCAGCGTCAGCAGGTCCGGCGCGACCGTGCTCTGCCATGTTTCCTTGAGCCGTGGGAAGTAGAACGGCCCGGCTTGGAAGTCGCGTGCGATGGGGTCGGAGGATGGCGGGGACTGTACGGGGTGGAGGTCGCCGCGGCGGAATTTGGGTGGGTGGTACTGGTATCTGGGGGAGGGACAGTTAGCAGGTGCCGACGGCGAGGGAGCAGTTTCTTGGGCGTAGGGCATCAGTGTCGCACCTATTGCTGGGGAGCTGGAATTTCCTCTCTACTGCTCGTTTCTTGGGGTTTCTGAACTCCTCTATTTGCTCGGGCGTCGGGCCGGGGGCTAATTGTGTTGAATCCGAGTCGAGATCGCGATATACTGCTGGTGTCTCGGCCGGCGCTGCAGCGGCAGCTTCTGCTGAGTACCATCTCCGTGGACAGAGCGGCCTTGATTGCCGCGATATCTGTGAGACTCGTAGTTGCCGCAGTGGACGGACGGATTCCCTCCAGCTGGCCATCTTGATCGGGTTGTGTCGTTGTTCAATGGGCTGGCGGAGCTATGTCAAGTCGGGCGTGCCGTAGTTGAAGCTCCAAAATTTTTGGAATAGTCGATGCTCTGACGCACGGGCCACCTTTGTAAAGCCGACATCCCCTTCCCCAAAATGGTGGGCTTGAGCAAGCAGCTGTGTCGAATAAAACTTATAGCCAGAATCTCGCAGTCCATTCTTTCTATTCGCAGGAGTACCTTCATATCCATTCAAAGTGTTACTGGTCACAATTGCCGTGGGTGTTTCAATCATCTGTAACGTGAAGATCGAGCGTGCCTGAATTAAACTCCTCGCTCCCCCCCTTGCTCAAAGACGCATGCGCCATGCCGTAGCTTGTAATATAACCACACCAAGTCATGGGTTGCCTCGCCCAATCTCTACGTATAATCGAGCACCCCAGCGCCCGCCCTCACCATCTAACTTTGCCACATATGCTCGCTTAGCTCCAGCAGCTTCTCCGCCATGTTCCTCTTGGCTGCGTTGACATTACCCCGTTCCGCACTCGCCATCAGTTCGCTGTAGCACAGCTCAATCAGCGCCTTGAGCTCGTCGTACGTGAACCGGTCCGGGTCCCTTCCGATCGGCACATTGTTCTCCTCAGCAGCTCTCGCGGCGTCCTCCTTCGCCTTGGCGACGATGGCATCGGCGCCCTCGTCAAAGAGCGCCCAGTAGTTGGCGGCTCGGGCCATGTCCACGCCAGCCTCAATGTTCTTGAGGTTCTGTTGCAGCACCAGAATGTTCAGCTGCATCCGCCCTGAGCCGCGAGCGTTGATCGGCGCCACCATTGACGCGTTGGCGATGAGGAACGAATTGATGAGCAAGCCCAGACCGGTGCGGATGAACGAGACCTCGCGCTCGCGCAAGAAGCGCACGACTGTCTCGTCGTAGGCAAGCAGCTCCGAGTTGAGGTTGAGAATGGTTGGGTCGGGCTCTTTGACATCCTGGTCAAGCAGGTATGGCGCCGTTTTGGGGTCTAGAGCTACCCGCAGGGAGTAGGCGATGCGGCAGCGCGCTTCCATGTGTAAATTCAGCAACGCAGTAGCGGCTAGCTCTTCGTAAGACGAGACAATGCCGTCGAAGGATCTGTAGGTACTTGTCAGCATAGGTTGTCCGAGGCAGTACGAATCTGAGAGATCTTACTGGACTGTTTCCAGCGTCATCGGAAGGAACACAGGTCCATCCTCAGCGGTCGCCTTGCTAGGGTCATTAAGTAGAGTCCACCTCCGCTTCTCCGGTTTGGGTATACTTGAGCGATTGGAATCCGTGTCATTTCGCGTGATATGCCTGAGCGAAGACACCTTTACAGAGAGCCACTTCATACTGGTGTACAGCAGACACAACGAAGAGATCGTGTCTCTATCCGAAATAATGTCACTGAGCTTAAGGGGCTTCTCGTTCGTCTCCGTGATCAGTAACGCGACCTCCTTATCCAGTAGATCTGGATCCAATGTATCGGCTGTCCAGAGTTTTTGTATGGTGTCATGGATCTCGCCACTCTCAGTAGCCATGACGGCAGACGAACGGAGTGCTTGGTTTGTCGTAGCACCCTCCTGTGTTTTGGTGACCAGCGTCTTGTACCACCCAAAACACCGGTCATAGTACCTCATCATCTGCGTGATGATCAACGCACTGAGTGCCTGGTCATGCGGGATCGTGTCCAACATCCTGCAGAATGCCGTGACAACCGCAAAAAAGTCTGTGGCTCCTTTGAACACTGGCCTTTTCGCCACTTGGTTCCAATTGCCGTCTTGCTGGAAAGCATCTGCTTCGCCAAACACGGTATCGCTCAGCTTTCCTAGGGTTTCGTCCAATTGGGGCTGGAAAACATTGACCAAGAAGTTGTCGAGGAAAGTCGTCAGAGTGCTAGTCGCCAGATCTGATCCCGGTGGTACAATGTTCTTGAGCCTGCCCAGGAAAACCAAAGTCGGTGGTAACAACAGGCTCATGTTGAAGACGTTCGGCTCGACGAGTGACTTGTAGGTCCCGTTTTGCTCACGGCCACCATACGCCGGAACAGCGCTCTTTCTAGCGTCGATCTTCCCGGATTTCTTGTCACCCTTGCCCTTTACCAACCCAGCAGTCAAGCCAGGAACCGCTTGCTCGATGGTCTGATTCAGCTGTTCAAACTCCGTTGTAAGGTCTACTGCCTTAGGATCCCCTTCAGTGAACTTGAACAAGTGCTCCCTATGCGCATCTATCACGCCATTTGTTGTGCCCGGTCTGGGTGTGTTGAATTGGTAGATGTCCGCGTCTGTGGTCACATAGTTATGTAGTAGTGACCGTATCTCGTTTTGGTATAAGTTCCACAACTCTTTGAAGCTTCCAAGCAACGCGGCATTGTTGCCGCCGCCCTCCCGGCGAATTAACGCTTTAATTGATTCGTGGAAAAGACGATGACCCTCCGCTATCGCCTCGAACTTTCCGTACAGCGTCCACAGCAGATCGTATATCACATCTGCCCTCATCTGTGTTTCTCTGTTGTTGTAGATGTGCATCCCACCTGAGCTAGAGGACACACCCCGCAGTGAGCTGGGATGTTTGTGATCCATCTCGTTGATCGTGTCATTAACGACGTTGAACAGCTCGACCGGCAAACGCTGCTTGATAGTGTCGACGGCAGTTTCCAGGCGGCCTAACTTGTTCAGCGCCTCGACTAAGAGGGCCACGTACGAGAACGTGTCAGACTCTGGATTCCTGCCGGGATCCTCCTGTACTTGGCTGTCGAAATCCATGTTGTTCAAAACCTCGAAGAACGGAACTACAGCTCCTGATTCGGTGATGTCGTCACGAAAGGCTCCTTGAGTCTTGGCCAAGTTTTGCCATCTCTCCTGACAGTACGGGCTCTTCAGATACAAGTGCTCGTGCAGCTCCTCCACGAGGATGTCCATCAACGCCGTCTCCTGGTTGGCCAAGTAGCTCCTTAGGTCACTCAGCGCAGCGATATCGTCCAACTCGGGTTTCCTCAGCCTCCGAAGAGCGTTCTGCAGGACCTCCACAGCGGTGAGGAACCTCTTCTCGGATATCCTGGCCTCGAGCTGGTCAGGCACCTGCCTCAGCTCCTCGAGCTCGTTCAGCGTTTGTAGCAGCTCGTCGTACATCTGGCTCGTGTTGTAGAGTTTCTTGAGCTCCGGGTCTGTCGTGCACAGCGCGACCTTGCTGGTTGCCAGGTTCTCCTTCAGCATGCGGACCTTCTTCTGGCTCTGCATGATGCTGCCCTGGATCTTGTGGAATGTGCCTATCGAGCTGTTGAAGCCCTGATGGTAGTCATGGACAATCGCTTTGAGGGAATCTTGCAGGTATTGGTGCGTCTGTTGGAAGTTTCTGTACTCGTGCGCCCTGCCCACCGAGCTGTTGTCGAGGAGCTGTAGGGCCAGTTGCACAGGAATGCAGTCGTTCTGGCACATCTGTGGCCATTCCTTCTGGATTATACCGAGGACCTCGTTGATCTGTCTTTCTGCGTTGGTCCATTGTGCTTGCTGAGTGAGCTGTTGGGCCTGAAGTTGTGATCGCGAGGGAGGGGCACGGAGGGAGGACTGGGGAGGGAGCGCGCGGCCGGACTGCGTCGGAGGGGGTGTCCTGTAACGATCGCTGCCTCCGAAGCCGTCGCCATACGGATCGTAATCCTCGCCGTTGCCGTTCGGTTGACCAAAGTTTCCGTAGCCATTGCCATTGCCGCTGCGGCCGTATGCGCCGCGGTAGCGGTTTGCCATGACGGCGGTTGGTCGGGGGGCGGCAGAAAGGTGTCAGTTGGACTGCGTGAGCCAGGAGCCTAAGAGCTATCTGTCAAGGTTCCATGTGTGTGAAAGCATTCTTGGTAAGCAAGACAAGGTTGAAGCTGTCAGAGAGAGCGTAGCTCGAAGCTCGCAATGCGTGAGAGTCGCGATAAGGAGGCGTATTGAGGCTTAGGAGTCGAGTTGTCGAGGTCAAATCAGAGGGGCCCTGGCAGATGCAGGCGATAGCGTTCCCCAGGTACTGTCGTCACCCGCCTGCAGGTCTCACTCCCAGGTTCTGTGCCCCTAAAACGTCGGAAGGCGGAAAGTAGCTTTAGCGACATGTTTCAAAACCTGGCCGCATCATATTCCCGCTTTCCAATTGTTTCCAAGTTCGACTCCCATCAGTCTGCATTGTATTTCAAGGAACAGTATGATGAGTAAAAAGAGCATCATATGGCAGGACAACAGCGAATAGCATACGGACTACGCCGGACTTCTCAACCGCCCGTTTTATCGCACTCTCTACTTCGTTGCCTCGTTGCGTTCCTAACCTCTTTCTCGAAAGTACAAAAGATATTCTACACTTCTGCTTGAGAAGCGGATTCGTTGCCGTATGAACCCAGCGTAGTTGAAAACATGCAGGGGACAAGATATATTTATTCAAGTAAGTATGTACAGGTGAAACACATCCGTCCCACTCTCGCGTGCATCGCACACCCTTAGTCTTCTACGAATTCGAGAGGACGACGTTACCAGGGTTAAGTTCCTGCAACCAAGGGCTCGTCAGGTCCGTGTAGAAGCTCGCGCCCTGCACAGTGGTAGGGGCACCCGCGACGGTGATATTGCAATTAGACACCCAGTCGCCGGCCGCGGCAGCCTTGTCCGAGAGGTACTGGACATAGTCGCTCAGGAGGCAGGACTGGCCCGGACCGTCGTTGCAGGACGGCAGAGTGTACACGGCGTCGTTGAGCCTGATGCGGACGTATGTCGCGTTGGCGGAGGCCAGGGCCGTTGAGGGGGGGATGGAGCCGGTTCCCGTAGCTGTGGCTGTTGTGAGCGTCGTGCTGGAGTTCCAGGTCGAGGCTGTGCCAGATGTGCCGTTCCCGGTGCTGCCGTCTACGATGCAGTTCAGCCTCTCGAAGGCTATGGTGCCTCGCATCGTGGTGAAGTGGGAGGCGATGAAGAGGCGGTCGGGGTTCATCTCGGTGCCCGAGAGAGCAGGCTCGTCATCGAACACGCCGCTCGCGGTGATGAGCTCGACGAGCTGGCCGTCGTTGATGAAGGTCGCCAGCAGGTTCGGGAGTGTGAAGCTGCCCCCGTCCTGAGCGGTGCCGTTGGTGCCTGGGCCTTGCTCGAGGAGGCCTATCAGGGCGTTCAGGTACGGTAGCATCATCGTCTGCTCGAGGTCGGTGCCTGGACCAAGGCCGTAGTAGTAGCGGATGTCATTGGAGTACTCGTACTGCTGCAGCTCGTAGTCGGTGAAGACGCCGCACCAGGGGGACAGCCGCCCCGTGATCTGGCTCTCGAATCCACAAAGGTAGGGAATCTGGGAGATATCGTTGTCTTCGAACGTGAAGTTGCCCTCGATCAGGCTCTCCAGGCGCTCCTTGATAGGCGGGATGTATACATTTGCCCACTCTGTAGCATAGTCGCCGCCAGAATTATCATTGAAATTGGGGCACTGGTCGGATGGGCCCAGAGAGTTGCCGATAGCACCAGTGTATCCCTTCGACGTCACGGAGATGACCTTGCCATATGTGCTAGATGTGAAGCCAAGATAACCCTGAGCGAACATCTGGGCAGTCTGGAGCACACGGGTGTAGTTGTTAGACCAGACATAGAAGTCGTCGCCCTCGTTGTAGAGCTGCGGGTATCTCGTGCGGAGGGTATAGCCCAGGTCATGCGCCTCCTTTGCACCGGTCGGGGACTCCATTGCAATCTGCAGGCCCACGTTTGTCAACACAGTCCGCCAGTCCTTCATGAAGGACAGGCTGCCAGTCGCGGTATAGTTGCCCGAGGAAAACCGCTCTTGCATGTCGACCCATCCGGCGTAGGCGCCAGTGTCCGGAAAGCGAGATCCATGACGGGAGACGTAAGCAGCCTGGTCAACATAGCAGTTCTCCGGGATCTCTGAAGAGATGTTGTAGACGTTTGGTCCTAAATTCCTGTGAGTATGCTACTCGAACGCGTCACACGGCTTTAGCCACAGAGAAATGAGGTTCTCACCAGCGAACCACGGGCTATTGGCACCTAGCCACTTGAGAGGCTCGGAAGCAGTCTCGCTCGCTGGAAGGTTGATGTCGTTCGTGGGCGCCAACATCTGAGCGGCTGATACTGAGCCCACCAGGGCCATGGCGGCGACCTTGACAATGGATGAGGCAGGCATGGCAATGTTGCTGTCCTGTATTCAATAAAGAATATGCCAAGTTGGAGCGACAGTGTCCCGGACCAGATGAACGAACGAGCCGGTCAGCGAGTGACGAAGCTGCTGTCTGCGCTTGCAGGAGAGCTTCTAGTAACGAACGATTGGGACGCTGGCCTATATTTATCGTCTCCCGCCCATGATCGCCGTCAACTCCACATGACGTTGGCTATGGACTGACATGACAGGGGAACTCGGCTCTCGGCGAGGCTATCACGGGCTTGAAGCCCGGATTCGGGGTTGGAGTCAACGCTATCACATTCTCAAGACCTCTTTGGAGGGTTGCAATCTCCTTGGCCACCTACTTCCATAGCACGTGTGGGCTGCGTCGCTGGTGGTTTGCCGTTGGAGACCTGAGTCGACTTGCAAGCACCGGAAATTGGATGGGTCAGTCGCGTTGATACCCCTGAACCATGCCTCGCCCTTTGGCCGGGGCCGGGGCCGGTCCGGCGAAAGCTTGACCGAAATGGCGGGAATGGGGTATAGATAGCAGTAGAGGTAGGTATACCTGCTCCTGTCCACACACGCGTGCTTCAAGCAACAAGACGAGGCCGAGTCGTGGGTTCTTATCTTGGGATATCTCCACGCTCTGGATGATCTAGCATCTCAAGTATCTGGGCCAGTGACAGCACACCGGGAAGAAGTTGTTCATCAGTCGACTGGTGCTGTTCCGTTGTAGGAGAGCGTTAGATCATCCCCGAGGCGAAGACGAGGACGGATGATGTTGACTTTCTGCCCAAGCAAATGTACAATTATGGCGAGAATAGGTCTTCGAGCTATCTCGACGAGGAACTTCTGCTTGCGCCGGTATTGCAATAACATGGCAGGCCGCGCATAGAGAGTCTTTCACGGTCAAATGCGAGCGGAGATTTTGTCACGGTCAAAGTGTGGTCTATGCAGGCCGGTGATGATTTCCACGGAGTGACTGAGACACAGCAGGTGTGGAGAGACAACACAGGATCCTGAGGTATTCTGGAGCCATGGAGGAATCTGGTCTATACTGGTTGTCTGGACGGAGACTTGTATATCTGAATCACAGCCCAGACTGCCACGGCATGTATGTTTGTCCCATTGGAAACTGAAAATCTCCTCATTCTCATAGTGAAAAGAGGTATATCTACTTCAAATATCATCAGGCCATCGCGTGTGAGCCGTCCCCTGCTCACGTGGGCAGTCAACTTGAGTGAAACTTGGAGTCGAGATTGGCCATACATGCTTGGTTGCACAGTGTTCTCAGGCTGTCAGGCTGCTGCCCACATAGGCTTGACACACTGAAAAACAGGGAGTCCCTGACGGTTACTGGCAGTGAGGATTTGGGAAAACAGCCCTAAAACGCACTGGCCACCGCTTAACTGATGCACCTCAGTGCAACCGACGGCTTAAGCCTGACCTGGACATGCAGCTGCCAACCCTGGAAGCTCAAGTTGATCTCGCCAGATGTTCCAGGGCCAAACCTAAGAGAGTCAGCCTACGAACGCTTGTTTCGGTCCTCCACGGTCAGCACGACCCGCGGAATCACACGCCGTAACGTATCGAATGGAGTATACAAAGCACACATCAGAAGGACCAGGCTGCGCAAATACAATATGGATCATACGTTCTCAATACAGCCCATTGGCCGGTTCGCTGGCCAGAGCGAGCCCGTAAAAAGACCAAAGGCAGGTCACTCACATACCAACTTATCTCCTCTCAGTCCTTGATAACAGAATATAGCCCATTACTAACGCCACCTTAGGAGTTCGCGTGCTTCTCATACGACGATGAGCATCAGTACCATTACGGAGACCGGTCTCTCAGATGGTACTACACCCCACGGCTGGGGGCGGACCTGTCCCAGGGTTTTGAGACGTTCGTGAAGCACGACGACAGTGTCGCCGAGCACCTGGATAGTCTGCTGAAGACTATCATGCATCACGAACAGGAGACCAAGAAGAAGATTGATTCCAATATAGTGACATGGCGAGGGTGTCTCACCAAGGTCTGCCTGTCGTGTTTTCCCTGAATCCTTACTGTGGCTAATGGTATTCACAGATAATGTCAAGCCCATTCGACGATCGTGACGGGTACAAACAGATCAGCTCTGTCAACACAAGCTAAGAACCGTCCTCGGCTGACAACCTCACAGATTTGAGCTGAATGCTACATTATACCAAGTGCGCCTTCTAGATGCTTATTCTCCCTGAGACTACCTACTAATTATCTTCGCGAAGGACTGCATGTACGCAGATAGTTCACCACCAGAAACGGCACGAGGCGTCAATGACAGCTAACACGGACACCAGATTCATCGAGGAGAATCACGCGTACCGGCTGCGCTCGCAGGCCGAGCAGGCGGCGCAGCCCTGGCGCGGGCCCATTCCCCAGGAGGTCATGCAGTTCTGGGGGTACAAGTTCGAGACACTGGCGACGCTGCCGGCTCCCTGGGGAGAGACCAGCCGCGAATATATTGAGGGCCGCGAGGATGAGGTCGTCAACAATAAGGCACAATACTGCTCGGTCGTGAGGACCGGCCTGGGCAAGACGGTGCTGTGCCTCGGCGGCGAGGTCGATGCCGGTAAGTTAAACCTCTCCCTGCCCCCTGACTCTCGATCTTAACCTTCTATTCGATATCCAACCATACCTCACAAAGTTCAATAACCCAGCTAACCTTCGCCTCCTTGTCTGCTCACTTACAGTCTGGGACTCCAAGCCCTCCAAGGCCGGCGACCCGATCAATTGGGTGGAGCTCAAGACGTCGGCGGAGATGCGCAACGACCGCGACCGCGACAACTTCGAGCGCAAGCTGCTCAAGTTCTGGATCCAGTCGTTCCTGCTGGGCGTGCCGCGCATCATCGTCGGGTTCCGCTCGCGCGACGGCGTGCTGCAGCGGCTCGAGGACCTCGACGTCGCGTCCATCCCGGACACGGTCGCGCGGCGCGGCCGCCAGTGGGACGGCAACGTGTGCACCAACTTTACGGCCTCGTTTCTCGCGTGTGAGTTTGAATTCACAAGTTCTGTATCTCTTTGTCCATGATTTGAGATGGGATCCACGATCTTCGTGAGACAGCGTAAAGGAAAATCTGACCGATGCTTCTGCAGGGCTCCGGACCAAGATCGACGACGAGGGTGTGTGGCGGATACGGCGGCGGGCGAGGGATACGCACATCGAGGTGTTCAAGACGGAGGAGACGACGGGCCACGGCAGGATACTGACCGACGAGTTCATCAACCACCGCATCAAGCTCGCCCTACCGCCTGCGCCGGAAGATGGCGACGGTGCAGAGCCATCTTGAAAGTTGGCGGTTGGTGAAGCATTGTATTTCCAGGGAGCGAGAACGCACTATTGGCTACAGAGTAAAGGGTGCCGTATTGATCTTGTTATTTGACCGAGTCGGACTATCTACCTAACCTAACCTAGGACGCCAGGCTACAAAAAGCGCGAAATGCCAATCAACTCGACAGAGCAGGGTGTAGCCTACTCAGAAAGGCCTGCCTGCTCACTGAAATGAAGCAGGCAAGCAAGGTCCAAGGAAGCTTCGGAAACTTTCTCCAAGCTCCAAGAGAGGTTGGCCTCCCAATAATGAAGAAACAACCCAAAGAGAAATCTCGCTCTCCCTTTCTTTTGCGTTCAATCCAAGAGCCCGCTGCTTTTGGTGTACCCCCGTGTAAATGCCGAAATAGTGGTACAGAACATGGACAGCATTCCACAAGTCTCCCTCCTTTCTTGCTCATATGCTTGCTTCGTCGAAAAACAAAGAGAAATTCATGATGCGTTGCTGATGCTTCGTCAATGCGTACACGTGCCGTTGCATCCCAGAATCTTTAAAATGCACAATGGCGATCGTGCACAGTCGCTCCGTCTTCAAACCCGAACGCATTCCACGTATGTGTGTCACAGCGCTGTGTTGGCAACGAGGACGAATTGGAAGAAGAAAGAGGAGAACAGAAATAGAAAATAGGAAAAAAACCCCAGGTTCAAAGGTTACCGGCTCAGCATTACGGCTCAGCAGCAATGCCTGGCCAGCGGCCCTGGAGATTCCGCACCCAGCGGCCATACAGCAGCTCCGACAGCTGCTTGCAGTGCTCCATGCCGGGCTGCGCCTCCCTGCCGGGGAAGCGGGCCTCGAGCGCAGCCTTCTCAAGATCGACTAGCTGCTTCTCGTCGGACTTGTCGCCGCCACCGTTCCTTGCCGGCGAGGCCTCGGACGAGGGCGCTGCACTACCACGCCGCTTGCGGTTCTTGAGTTGTGGGTTGCCGGCACTGAAGAGCACCTTGGCGGGACTCGCGGGCGTGGAATTCTGGTCGCGCTTGTTCATGTTGATGACCGTCCCGTGGGTGTAGCCCTCGGGCACCTTGGGGTCGTCCGCGGGGCTGCCCTTGAGGAAGGCCTGGCTGAGCTTCTTGTCGTGGGACGTGGCGGAGACCAGGCTCTGCATCAGGTGGTAGCTTCCCTCCGGATCGACGGAATCGAGCAGTGCGAATGCCTCCGACAGCTTGGCTAGAGCCTCGCGTTTCTGGAGGGCAGAGGTCTGGGCGTGCAGCTCGACCAGCGTGGGCTCCACGGCTTTAGTGTAGAGTCGGTGGCCCAAAATTGCCTCCTTGCTCGAGAGGTCGCGCGCTGCTTTAGACTCGGGGTCACGATTCTCGGCGTTCGAGCCATCTGACCGAGAGGATGTACTAGGATGGCTGATATCTGAGTCATCTGATGCTACACGACGGAACAGGCGCTGAGTTGATCCCGTGTTGCCGAATGACATATCGGGCTGGAGAGGTCGTCGCGGCGCAATAGAGGACCGCGGCGAGCCATCGGAATCGACATGGAAGACCGAGTCTTGTCGCCGACGTCCAGTAGCATGATGTCGGACAGTGCCTCGCCGAACAGTACTTGGGGCCGGAGAAGTCATCTGCAGAGGTCCATCATTGACATCCAGCTTCCGCATCGCCTCGTCTGCCGAGAAAATGCCTGAGTCACGGTTTCTCGAGTTGGTCTTCTTTGGTGGCGGGGGAGCAACTGATCTGACGGTGTCAAATGTCCATTCCTCGGTGTTGTCGTTAGTGGAAAGGCTTTGAAGGGTCTCCTGGTAATAGACCGGGTGCAGCTTCCTGGTCTGGTTTGCATCAAACATTCGTTTCCGTTCCACCAATTCCTGCAATGCTTCCACTTTCCCGGCCCCCGAGATGAACTTATGTCTCAGCAGCTCCTTGGCAGTCGGTCGTTGTTCAGGCTCTTTGATCAGGCACCGTGCGATGAAGTCCTTAAAATATTTGCTGAAATTGCCCTCAAGCCTTGGTGGAGAATTCTTTGGAATATGGAAGAGGACCTTCATTGGGTGAATATTGGCAAGAGGTGGTTCGCCGTTGGCCATCTCCATTGCTGTGATAGCCAAGGACCAGATGTCCGCTTTGAAGTCATAGCCAGCCTGCTGGATGACCTCAGGCGCCATCCAGAACGGAGTTCCGACGAAGGTGTTGCGTTGGGATTTGATGTTGGTGAGCTGGGCGGCAACGCCAAAATCTGCGAGCTTGACCTTGCCCGACTCAGCCAACAGGACATTGGCAGCCTTGATATCGCGATGGATCTTGCCCTCAGCATGGAGGTATTCAAGCCCGAGCAGCAGTTCCCGGCAGATGACGGCGATCAGGGGTTCGGAAAAATTGCCAGGTTTGAGCTGGAATCTAAATCAGCAAATGCCATCCTTCGTGGTGGACGACAATCCGCAAAAGGAGCTCAGTACTGACCAAGTCGAGACAAGAGCCACCGCCCAGATACTCCATGACAATCCATAGCTTGTGGCCTCTCAGAAAGCTAGCCTTGTACTGAGTCACGAAGGGGCTGGCACAAGTGCTGAGCACTGAGATCTCTTGTTGGATCTCCTGGATGTCATCCTCACTGGACTCGAGGTCGATCTGTAAGTGGGTTTCAGCAATTAGCCTGGCTCTGCGGGTGAATTGGGTCGGAACGGCTGGATCATGCTACTTACGTGCTTGATGGCCACTGTCTCGCCCGTGGCACGCTCAATGCCTTTGTACACAACACCAAAACTGCCACGGCCAAGCTCCTCGAGCACCTGGTAGTGACTTGCGATATCGTCAACAGCCATCGTGGTGGAGTGGTGCTGCTTGCACACGGGCACTGTCAACTGTGCGGACTGTCTGGGGCGGTGAGAGTCAGTCGAAGTGGAGCCGCGGTCCAACAGCAGCAACGTCGAAGCTCGGGTGCAGCAGCCACCACCGGGCGAGATGGTTGGCGATGCGATTGGGAACACTTAGACAGCTCTTGAAAAATGATGAGTGAGTGAGTACTGCAATAAATCAGCAACAAATAAGGATGCCTGAAAAGCAATCTGTAAAACCCAAGTGTGGTCTCACTTGTCGACCTTCGTCACGGTCAATCTAAGTGGATAAGTAGGCTGGGGTTGGCCAGGCGACCTCTCTTGGGTGGAGCTTGGGCCAGCAGACCCAGGACCAGGAGGGGCCCTGGATCTAGCGAACCAAATGAGCGTGGAGCGGAGGACCCTTGCCCTGGACCTGGTATTCTGAAGATGAGTATGGAGACGTGCAAGCCCTGGATTCCTTCTGGGTTATAATTATCCTCATGGTGGACCTTTGAGCAACACGAAGAGGTGTTGTTGATTGCAGGACGAGGAGGAGGAGGACAAGAAGCAAGATGCAAGCAGCGGGCCGAAGTGGACAGTGACATGCGCCAGCTTTAATACTTTTGATAAAACTAGGTGCATACATACATACATCTCACTGCATCCGTTACCCAGCAGGATGCGACAGTTTAATCGCTAGCTGCATTCCAACTCGCAGATAGAAGAGACCCTCTCACGCCTCTCTCCCACCTGCAGGTCGTGTGACCGTCTTACATCTCTTATATCGATGCTCTAGTGTCGTGATGTGATCGGAAGGCCCGGCAACCGATGTTATCTGCACATTGCTGAGGGCTAGGACGGTATCTTCCTATCTCGTTGGTTCTTGCTGATCAGACAGTATGTCGGTAGAAGGGATGGCTGGTAGAGACTGTGTTTGTGAGCAAAGCCTATTATATTGCACGGTATGTACACACAGACCGGCACCTCGGAAACGGGGGATCTACGGGTGTTCAGACCATGGATACATTCATTTTCCTATCAGATCTCAGAATACCATGTACCGCAAATAGAAGCATCGCGGTGGTCCATACACAGTACACAATCCGCATTGTCCTGACAAAGAGACCTGAATAAGCCCCATTGTTGATGGTCAGACTCGATCTTGGGATCTTGATGTTGATCTTGACCTTGCATGCAAAAAAGACCAGACTAGGGGATACCCGATAGTGCAGATGGTCTAGGTACTCAGATGTTCTCAGCTCAGCTCACTCAGGTACGGTGCAGCACCAACACCAAACAAAACAAGGCTCAAAACGCAATTGAAGCTTGACCTGAACAAGCTTGGCCTCTGTCAGTGTAACTTCAGAGGTGACATCACGGGTGGGCTGGGGCCCCTCTATTTACACCCGATGCAGCTGTCCTGGCAGGGGATCCCTCTCCTGCTCGCGCCTGACGGGTTGCCGTGGTGACGCCTACCGTGCTGCCGCGCTGTTGTACCTTGCAAACTTCTGGGGTTGATCTGAGACCCGACCCACTGAGGCTGAACAGCCAGACACCACCACCCCAGACTGACGGAGGACCAAGGGTGGGTCGCTAGAACTGTGCTAAGCACCTCAGCGCTCGCTTCCAAGGTTGTTTACTGGGCCTGGGCCACCGCATCGTACCGCAGCGGTCGGTCAGTCAGTCTCAAGTCAGTCAAGTCACTCAGTCAGTCTCAATCTGAATCTGTCGTGCATTCGTACAACACACACACTCCTCTCTGGCTCCGATGATCTTCATCTGCCACCCTCGTCCTTGAAGCTGCCACACCCACCTTCCTTCTACGAGGATCGCACAGGCGCAAGGTCGACCATAGCTCCTCAACAATCCTCGTCCGCCCATCACCAGCGCCCACACCGCAACATGCTCACGATAGCTGCATCTCTACTATTTTGCTAAGCAGCTTACAGCCTATTACCCAATAGCCTTTTGCAACAAGCCCGGTCATTGCTCTGCAGGCCATACACTCGCTCAACAACACAACAACGCGCCTTGATTGTGCCATACGGACGTGTATCGTATGCACCAGCGCCAATATCAAGCACCAGCACCAGCACCAGAACCAGAACCTGCACCAGATCCCGACCTGCACCCCGCAACCGCCTCTGGTCCGTGACTTAAGATGCTGCTGAGTCGGTCGAGTTCCAGCTATTAAACAACTCGCACGATCTTCCCACCGACGAAATGGTGCCCCCTCCTCCGGGCATACCTTCGCGGTTCCCTTGCTGGTGCAGGGCGGTGTACTCTTACGGGGGAGAGGTGCGTTGATTATTGGCCCCCGCCGCATGCTCACACTGATACTTGGAATTGGCGTCATGCTCTGAGGGCAGTCTGGGTTGTGCTGACGCGCCGTGACTACAGTCAAAACGAGATCTCGGTTTCATAGAAGGCGACCTGATCGAATGTCTCAACGCCGGCGACGGATCGTGGTGGACGGGCAGACTGCGCCGCGATAGGAGAATGGTCGGCCTCTTCCCGTCCAACTTCGTCGAGGTCCTTCCAGACGACTTCAGGCCCGTCAGCAGGTCCACGAGTCCCATGCCAGCGCCCCAGAGCACGCCCAGCCCCAAGAACACCCCTCAGAAGGCTAAGACCTTTCGAAAGCCATTCGAGGCCTATTCCAAAGCACCACATTATACCACCGCAAAGCAGCCAGAGACATACAGACAGAGTCCTGTCAGGGCATCAACGGAAACCTCGACACCATCACAGTCACTCTTCAGGCAATCAAATCGAAGCGTGCAGTCAGATATAGAGAGAATACACACACCACCTCGCGTCCGCGGTTACGGGTCCAGACAGCCCTCCCCCGCCCTCGGGCCTGCATTCGTGCCCGCGCACTCACCTATGCCCTCCTACAATGGGCAGTTCCAACCACCGCAATTTACTGACCCTTTTGACGGCCAGGACGATGCGCCGCCTCCGCCGCCTCCTCATCGACATGTTGGTGTCCAAAAACATGGTTCAAGCCTCTCATACGACAGCCACATACAACCAAGGCTTTCGGGAGAAGTTAGCAGGCATGGCTCGACCCTTTCGTATGACGGCAGGATACCAGCCGAGCTCAGTAGACACGGCTCCCGCGCCTCTTATGATAGCAGAATACCATCCGATCTGGGCCGGCATGGATCTCACGCCTCTTATGATAACCGCGTCCATCCAGACATCAGCAGGCATAGTTCGCAGGCTTCATATGACGATCGGGCCGGATTCGAGCGTCGCCCATCCAATCTCTCAATGCAGCAACCCATAACAGGTTACCATACGCCCCGAGCGGCCTCTCCCTGTCCACCTTCTCCTGGTGGCTCAGGTAATAATATGACCCCTTCCCCACTCAGAGAGGCGATGGACGGTGTGATGGAGCAATTGGATGCCCTTGGAACGCGCGAGGCCGAGTCACCGGAACAAGCACCCTTTGACCCATGGTCCCCGGAATCCTTTGATATGGTTAACCAACAATCACGAAGGAAGCGAAAAGAGTATACGAGGCCACAGACGTCCATTGGACTCGCCATGCATGCCGATTCTGGCTACGGTACTGGGAGCGGCGGATCGTCCCGAGAGCAGACCTACCATGGCAGTCACGAGCAGGATGGCCAATTGCCCCAGCTGAGCAGCTATGTGCAGCGGATGGAGACGCAGATGCGCAATATGCACATGCGCAACGCGGAGATGGCCGACGAAGCCGGTGATGAGCCTCCACCTCCTCCACCTCCCAAGAGCCGGTTGGTCGAGAGACCCAAATCTTCCATGGACACTCGTGCTGACGGACCGGATCGCAAGCTTCGACACAAGAGGTCCGCCAAGGAGGTCGGGAAGATGATCGGGCGGACATTTACAACCAAGACGAACTCATCCTCTAGTACCCGCGCAACCGATAGCAGTTCAGCCACCCAGAGCACTAATAGGAGTCTCATGAGCGGCGTCTCGGCCGGTGGTATCAGTGCTACCAGCGCAGGTAGTCTGGCGCGCAAAACTAGGGGTCGCGCCCAGAGTGCGCTTGGGATACACGACCTCGGGCTTGACCGACCAGAAACGCCATTCAGTGGAGTAACGTATCACAGCAGCCACGCTTCCGATGCTCAACGACCGCAGTCCCAGGCAGCGTTTCTAGACGACCCGATGGGCAATGTGGGCGGCCTTGCGCCTCCGACCCCCAAGAAGCGTGGTTTCCTGAAGAAGCTCATGGACTCGGCCAAGACAGGGGTGGCAAGCGGACGAACCAGCATAATGACAGGCAGCGGCGGCTCTTTGCAGTCTTCACCTATGCCTCCCACGATGCCTTCGTCGACATCAGCGGTATCTTCAGCTGGTTTCTCAAGCCCAATGGTTGCTAAGGATGCCTCGCGTGACATGGGATTGGCTTCTGGCACAGACTGGGTCCAAGTCCGGCGGGATGTGAACCGATCAAATACGCTGAGTCGCAACGAGAGAAATGAGCGGAAGGACAGGTGTATGATGCTTGACTACCCAGCTCTTGATCCAGTCGATGAGTTATACGGTAGTATAGAGGGCGATGAGGACGCGGACGGCCTGCCTGTCCAAAGGCCCACGGACTATTCAAGCATCAACTTCATGAATGTGGACAAGAACTCGCGTTTCATCAAAAGCCTCCCACCAATGACGACTGCAATCACACTATCGACGACATACGTCTGCAGGCCATACAGAAGTGACGTACAGCGATTGCGGGCCATCTTCACCTGGGTGGCCGAGATCATCACCTGGGAGGAGGACTACGAAGGGGAGATCGACACGCGTCGGGTCATACAGACAAAACGAGGCTGTGCAGAGGAGTATGCAGTGCTGGTAATGGAGATGTGCGGTGCTGTTGGCCTACACTGTGAGGTAGTCCGCGGCTACCTCAAGACGCCTGGAGAAATTCCAGAGACCAATATGCTACCCCGTCCAAACCACTGGTGGAATTCTGTGCTGCTCGATGGACAGTGGCGCATCATGGACTGCTGCCTCGCGAGCCCTTCCAACCCGAAGCGTGCTCTCTTCTCCAGCGTGGGCAGTGGCACCGCCGATTTCTGGTACTTCCTGACCAGCCCATCCGAGATCTGTTGGACGCACATGCCTGAGCACCACGAGCAGCAGCATGTCTGCCCTCCCGTGGCCAACGAGATCCTGCTCAACCTACCTTGTGCCTGCCCGCCTTACTTCATCAATAATCTGCATATGTTCGATTACAACACTTCCCTCACCCGGATCGAGGACCTGGAGATGGTGCACATCAAATTCAACGTGCCCGCCGACGTCGAGGTGGCTGCGGAAGTCGAGGTTCGTTCCCTTAGTCGGGACGAAGACGGTGACTTCTTTGAGAGCGGCGACGTGATAAAGAAGCGTGCCCTGGCGCAGTGCGAGTGGTTTAGCGGCACAAAGCGTTACACGGTCAAGGCCCTGCTGCCCGGCGACGAGGGCCACGGTACTCTCAAGATCTACGCGGGCAAGCGCGGCCTGATGCACAGCATCAAGGACATCCCGCACCCGATGGCCTTTGCGATCCCTATCATTCACACGGGCGAAAACCCGTCGTACGAGTTCGTGCTGCGGCACCCCACACCACATGCACAGCGACACGATATCTACGTCGTCCAGCCCCAGTGCCAACGTCTCGCCCTGAACAACACGTTCGTGTTCGCCATCCGACAGCACCCGAGCTCAGCGCCTGACGCCAGCGGAAGCAGTATGACGCCATCCTCGAACCCGGGCATTGCTAGTCCCATCCCGTTCGTGAGGCCCGGCTCGGCCATGAGCATCAGCGCGACGTCGAACCCGAGCAGCTACAGTGGCAGCGGCGGATCGGGCAGCAGCAAGCCGGCCAAGCTCGCGATCCAGACGCCCGGTGGCAAGATCCTGCGGCTTATGAGGAAGGAGGACCGCCGCAACGGCGGGACTGGCGTCGGGTCGTCGGCCCGCGGCCTGACCGGCGAGGAGGAGGTCGGCGACGGGGGCACGTGGGAGACCATCATCAAGTGTTCCGAGCGCGGCGTCTGGAGAGGCCTGGTCCTCGCGGACCGGATCGCGAAGTGGTGTGTCTTTGCGGAGTGGCACTGTGTTGGATGATCTGTATCGAATTGTCTGCAAAATATTCCAGTGTCGCCTGGTGTTCAGGTGTGTCTTTGGAGAAGGGAAAGGCTTGGAAACTCATAATATCTGGAATCTCTGGACTCGGTCTCCACTGGTATGTTTCAGGGGAGTTCTCTGGTTGGTATTGCTACTTTTGGCTTGCATGTCAATGGCGTTTGTTCTTGTCGACATCATCAAACATGGAACCTAGGAGAGGGTTGGTTCCCAACAGGGGCATAGGGGCATGTGGGTGTGTGTAAGGAAGGGGAGTCAAAAGGATCTTGTCTTTTTTTTGGAACGGCCATCAACCACACCTGGTATAAGCGAGTTTCTGGCGTTTTCTATAAGGCTCGACAGGGTCCAGTCTTGGAGTCGAATTGTACGAGAAGGGGAGCGCGCCGTCTTGTATGAGTACAGATAATGGTACAGCATCTGGTAACACCCTTGGATTGAACTGCGCTACCTACTGTCTGTGATCTGGTGAAATGAAAGAGGACGGACGCCGGCTTCCGGGTTCGATTGACATCATCCTTCCTCTACTACGTTTACATTGGTGGTGGTGTGTTTTTTCCAGTGTCTCATCCGAGAAGCGAGGTCCTTTCACTTGCAGCATCCGGAAATGGGCCTTCCAAACAGATCTTGGATATCTCAGCACTACTTGTAAACAAAATGTAGTCTCAAGTTCAAAAGCAGTGCCTGATTCTGAAATGGCATTGCTGGAGTGCTTTGTAAATTGGATCACGATGTTGACAGGCTACAACTGTAGCTTGAATGTTATACAGATCCTGATCTATACAGCATCTTCTGTGTCTCAGATTTGGATCACACAAACTTCCAAGACCTTTTCTATCTACACGACACGCACAGCCTTACTCGGTCCCTTCACAGAGGTCCGGCTCGTGTCACACCCACATCAGTACCGTCAGACGCCTGTCTTCATGAGCGCTATATACGCCTTCTCAAGCCGTAAATGTTCCACTTGCGGGGAGAGAACCGCGTATACACTGGTCAATAAACAATAAGCCGCCCAGTGAAAGCTTTCTTTTATAAGCTGCTCAAAAAATAAACCACTCAAGGGGTTTTTTAACGGTTTGAAGCAGCAGGAGCTGTGGGTGAACGCAAAGAGCGGAACATATGTGGCTCCTGAAGCTCATAATCCGACGGTACTGATGTGGTTGCCGGTGGCCATTGTAATCCTGTTGATGCACATCCTGGTAGCAAAATCGGTAAGGCCAGCCTGTATCTGATCGGCTGAAAAATTGTCTCTATTGCTCGGGGTTACGCGTGGTGCGTTTATCTGGTCCGCGAATCTCTGCGACGCTCTCATGGTTGCGCCGTATAGGACGACCACGAGGGGTCTTCCACGAAGTCTCTGGATCGCAGGAAGCTGCGGAAGGGCGGGATGCCTTTTCTATCGCGGACGGCCAGTACACAGGCTCTTGGGTGATCGTTGATCGTTTCCTGTAGAAGAACGCACGCAACTTTTCCGAGCGGAAGTACTGAGCATTGTCCGAGTACACCTGTCTGGGGTAGCCGAATACCGCTGCATTCTGCTACCAGCTTCTGATAGCTTCCATCGCGATGGCTCCTTGGTGGGCCCACCGCGTATGAAATTAAACATTTAGTTCACCATTATATGGAAGTGAACCATCCCGGCTTTGGCCGGAGCGGCAAAGCGGGCTCGTGCTGATGAGCACACCATCTAGGCGTTCGTCATTGGCTCGGGCCCTTGATCGGGATCAACATTAGAAGCTTCCTCTATGACCAGCGAAGGCTAAATCAGTCTGTACGGAAGTTTGAGATATTTAGTAACGCGTGTGGAGAATGATATAAGATTGTATCTCCTGCCCCGAAGTCCAACCGCCCTTTAGCTGCGGTTTAGTAAGTCATAAGGAGAAGTGACATTCGCTTTGACTACCCCAACGCGAGGTCATTTCTGACCAGTCATGCTAGCGGCGTCGCTTTTTCTGTGTAGGGATGGTGTGAAGTATGTATAGTAGATATCAGGGTAAGTAAGTGGGCCTGGAGGTTGCGGCTCTGCTGGGTGGTCGCTCTTATTATAAATCGGGGCCATTCTAATTGAGACGGACTTGAATATCTCATGGCCGGTCCTCGACCGGTCCTCGACAGGAAAAAGAGACGCACCATTAGCGTGCTCAGTAAATCCACAAGACATTACATTAAATAGACAGTCTTGAGACCTCTTTCAGTCCAGTTGGTCTAATGGTAAGACGTCTTGGGTGGTTGGCCGGCAGCACAGAGAAGACGGGGGTGTAATTCCCTCACTGGGCACACCTCTTTTTCGTTGAAAGATGAAATGTCATGGGAGTTGATTTGAATAGCACCGCATTTTTCCTCCATTATGATGTGAGGTAGCGTCCTATTTCTGAGACGGCGGTCCTGCCATTCAGGAAACAGGACCCCAGACCACACACCACTCTTGTTTGTAGGACGCGAGAAGATCTGTAAAAGTTTGCTGCCTCACATGCCGCCGCGTAACATTAGATACGCGAACAAAAGAATAAATAGGAGGATCATAGATCAAGGCCGCAGGGCCGAATGGATGAGCCCATCGTCGCCGCTACTCAAGATACCCTATGTTAAAGACAAGTGAAGGGTCGAAGTGGCGCAGCTAGAAACAAGCACGACACTGTCGCACTGAAGCAAAAGTGCTTACTCACCTCTGGCCAGTTTGACCAGTCTCGCACATACAACACAGATATGCATGGCAGGTTCAGTCACCTTATAGTCCAACTAATTTTATTACCTCCTAACATACCTGTGCAATTTATGGATCAAGTATGATAAGCGTAAATACAACAACGCTTTCTAATTATATCTAACAACGTTTTCAATTCCCAGATACACCCGGAAGCTTCGACTCTGTACATCGATTTGTACTAGTGCACTACACCGGCGGTTTGCTTGCAGTATATCATGAGCGTGTTTGTTGCTTAAGTGAGGCGAAGAGAGTACCTGCACGGAGGGCATTTCATACATGCTACAAATACCCCGCTTCTTATACTTCTCTCATGCTTCTCCTATATGCAAGGAAGCACCACGGCTGCTCTTCCCGGTCACAGTCAACGGCTTTGCCAAGTTGCCCTTATTATCTGAAATACACTCTCGCTTGTAAATTGCCGACGTCAACAACCTGGTGATGACCTGGACGGTGGAGGCTGTCAGGCTAGGCCCCAGGCCTGGCTGCAGGCCAAATATCGCGTCAGAGTCGCCTTTCGATTCTTGCGTTGTAACTGAATCACGAAATAATTATATAATCTGGTAAATTCTTGAACGAAACGAAGAAAGGATTCTACTTCTGAATAAAGGAAAGTAAGGAAAAACTATATACACTTGGTATCCTATTTCAAGACTTGGCTCCGATAAAAACAACCAAAACAGCAGCATACGCCGCCACCGAGGCCAAGACCGTCTCCCCTTTAAGCTCGCGCCCGAATATCGCTAATACACCAGCAAAGATAACCGTAGAAGCACTGGTTACAATCAACGTTGTCAAAAGGTCATTTTTAAGCACCATTATTAGCATTGGCACAATCAGCGCAAATCCTCCGAGCAAGCCCATGCTCGCTCGTTGATAGAAGGCCATCAGGTCCATGTGTTCGAGCAGCTGTCCACGTGAGTCTCCTGGGAGGATGTTTCGCCTCCCTTGAGAATCCCAGTCGGTCTCCTGATCGATGTTACCTTGAAGGAGTTCCAAGTCTGCTTGGCTCGGCACAAGTCCTGCGCGCTTCATGAGGATAAAGCCCAGCCGCTCCTCGGATGTAATGCGAAAGGCGTCTTGTCTGCCAGTGGATTTCGCAGCGGCTTTCTTGATGAGCATGAAGTCATAGTTGCGGGTGGCGGTGGCTGTTAAATTAAAGGTCAAATAGAAGTCTCCATATTGCGAATGAATTAACAATATAACAAAGCAGGCTAGGAATCACTCGTTGTTGCTAGAGTTACGGCCCTCAGTGAGGGTAAATGCTAGGAAACTGACCTACAGTAGTCTTCCAATAGCTTCTTGGCTTCGTTCATCTCTCGCTCCCCGGTATCTTGCCGGTCACGAATCCTTTTCACCAGTGCCACTAGCTGGTGCTGTAGGTCATGGATCACCATCCTCTGCAAAGTTGCAAGCTCAATATCGAACAGAGTTACGTCGGGTTTTCGTTTAGCGAAGAGATGGCCATCCGCTACCAGGGCTAGCCTTCTGTAAAATGGCAGCTCACCCAATGACTCGGGTCCGATGGAGTACTCGCCATCATACAGTGCTCCGCCATTCAATGCGCTGCTAGGCCGCGATGTCGGTGGAATTCTTTGTGCTGCGTCTGTCCAATGAGATTTCGACTTTTCCCGCGGCGCCATACTTTGAGAATTTCCCATTACTGGCTTATTGAGATGATCTCTGTATTACAATACGATAGTCCTAGCAGCTCAGGCCGTAGTTTGAAGTAGGCTCGAGGTTCCCCGCTTTCTGTGGGCTTTATTATGATGCCCTGGCTTTGAGGACGTACTTAGTAATAGCCTGCCCAAATCCTGTTTATCGGAAGGATATGCATATCAGCATATTGGCTTATGATGGACAAAAAGGTGGGTTACACAGGTAGTAGAGTATCTGCACTATCCCTGAAGGGTACCTGTTTTGGGACGTGCTTGCCGTGGCGACATAAGCGAACTTAGTTTCATTCGAAGTTAGCTGTAAACCTACGGACACAATGATCGCTTTGTTGTCATTCTAGATCGGTAGAGTCACAGTGTGCGAATTGAGGACTTCAAAGCCTAGTTGACTAGTCTTCCATTTATATAGGGCTCCTGGTCCATTGGTATGCCGTACAAGAAATAATAAGTGTCCGAAGTTGACCGCCTGGAGTCCAGCACTTGCTTGATATTGGCCCAACCTGCGCGAACTATTGCAATGCTTTCCTCGGGCTTGGTTAAATGGAGACTTACGCCCACCTGCTCGAACAAGAGTTTGAGCATTTGTATGAAAGTTTGCGTGACTTCCGTGTCGATTCGACCGCTGTAACCATTGCCGAGAATAATTGTCTGGGCATGGAAATATAGGTAATGCGAAGCAAGAATGATCTCCCTCGATTCTGAAAGATATATCTGATATTTGTTATACTTCTTTGCAATTCTTAAGTTGCGTTTGGCACATGCAACCGTGGCGTATTATGAGCTCGGTGCTTCCGTTAGAGCACTCTGTTTTGCAAACTCGTCCGCTGCTTTGTTGCTTCAATGGCTCAATTTCCGGGTGCTCTTTTAATTGTGACCCGTAGCGTATGCTGGGTTACTACTTCAAGTAAGCCTTGCAAGCGCGGTAAACTTGCCTGAAAGACTCTAAGGGAGACCTATTGAGGCCGTCTGCCACTGTTAAAGGGGTAGAGGCAAATGTATAAATGTACTTCGATACCAATGCCTCTAGATGGAGGAGCCTGTCGGAGATTTCGTCAAGTCCATTCTCACATTGGGGTCGAGCCCGTTTGAGACTCTGTCGATTGTAATCTGGGTGTCGTCCGACTTAGCTACGAGGTCTTTTCTAGCATCAAGTGTACGGTGATATTACTAGAAGTCTTGTGCCTCAATCTTTGCACTTACACTCAGAAGACCTAAGTGCGATGGCCTTCTTCGCAAATGGCTTAGTTAGATCGAATGAAGATAGGCGCCGGCTTCCGAGTTCCACACACAGAGTCATCCTCACTTTGGACCAACATAGGCAAAGCGTCAATCATTAGACCTAACCCTGGCTTTGTAACCTCACGCCATAGTGGAGCAGTTGCTAACTCAGGCTACTTAGATAAGTGGCCGAGCATTCATCATCACTTGGCTCAGCTTACCCTCTCCCAAGTCTCTGCACGTCCTTAAACAAATTCCAACGAGGACCTTCTGTTGACTGTGCATTGTTACCGTGCTTGTAAGTAGAACAATCTCATAAATGACGGTTTATTTCTGGCCAAGTCGAGGGAGTTTCCACGTCTTAGTCGTCATAGACTTACTGACTCATTACAATTAAGAACCCAGCCTCACATAAGCACATACCCTTGGCAGCGACATCTCACAGCGGAACTGGTTCTAGATTCCTTGACTTTGCGTGATCAACATCATTGTCGCCAATCACGCACTCTCCATTCCAGTCTAGTCCCGCGACCATGGCCAAAGCACCGTCTATCGAGGTGAACAAGCTCACCTACTCGTTCGCCGACTCCTCGCTCGGCGTGCACGACATTTCGCTGTCAGTGCCGCCGCGCTCGCGCACGCTGCTCATCGGCGCCAACGGCGCGGGCAAGACGACGCTCCTGCGGCTGCTGGCGGGCAAGCGGCTGGCGCCGTCGGGGGCGATCTCGGTGTCGGGCGTGGACCCGTTCAAGGACGGGCTCGAGGGCGTGACGTACCTGGGGCTGGAGTGGGTGCTGAACCCGATCGTGCGGACGGACATCGGCGTGGTGGAGCTGCTGCGCTCCGTGGGCGGCGACGCGTACCCGGAGCGCCGCGACGAGCTGGTCGAGGTGCTCGACATCGACACCAACTGGCGCATGAGCGCCGTCTCGGACGGCGAGCGCCGCCGCGTCCAGCTGGCCATGGGCCTCATCCGCCCCTGGACCGTCCTGCTGCTCGACGAGATCACCGTCGACCTCGACGTGCTCTCCCGCGCCGAGTTCCTCGCCTGGCTCAAGCGCGAGACAGAGACGCGTGAGTGCACCATCGTCTACGCCACGCACATCCTCGACAACCTCGCCGGCTGGCCCACCCACCTCGTGCATATGCACATGGGCGGCGTGCGCGAGTGGGACACCACCGACAAGTTCCTCAGCAAGCTCGAGGGTGACACCGGCAACTCGCGCCTCGGAGAGCTGGTCCTGGGCTGGCTGCGGGACGACCTGAAGGCGAGGGGCCCGCGGAGCCAGAACCGCCGCGGTCCGGAGGGTAAGACGTACGGGTATGGTGGCGCGGAGTTGGGTGGGTACGGACTGGAGACCAAGACGAAGGAGTAAGCAACGCTAGGTGGGGTATCTGTCCCGTGGCTGCGATGGGCCTTGGAGTGTGTGAGCCAATTTCAACAAAAGCATGTTGCGCGGGTTTTCCAACGATTTGAACAGCATTTTGGCAGGGGTTTTACGGAGCATCACTATGAAGCGCATTTAACATGGCGTTGACCAGACGGTGTATGCCTTTCAACACGCATAGGCGGACACGAGGGAAAGGGTTCAACACTGGGTTTTGGCAGAGGGCGGACATGTTGAGATAGGCGTTACGGCTGTGTTTCCAGACGATTTATACCCCTCATCGGGCAGATGGCGAAGAAAAGAGGTGTACTTTAACATATACACTTTGCGCTTTCAATACAGGTTGATCAGAGACGAATAGACACGTCTAACAAGACGATATTGGTTTTTAACGTTTTTCTCTTCTTACAATTCTTGCCAGTGGATGATAAGCAGGTCAAGCCTTAGCTCTTGCATCCAACAGATTGCGCATCGTGCTGTACATCAGCTCCGGAATGCCACCAAACTCCTTCTCCTCCAGGTACTTCAGCACACCGAGCCGGTAGTCCTGCCACGCAAGCTCGAGCCCGCCCTTCCTCGCGAGCTGGCCCAGGCTCCTCTGCGTCACGGGCCCGGCGTGGCGAGCCCGCAGTACAACGTCCTCGTCCTCCGTGTCCTCGAGGTGGCGTACATGTTCGGCGGCCTGCAGGCACAGCAGCGGGCTGTAGCTCATGGTGAAGAGCGAGGCGAGAGCCATGTCGCCGCCGTCCGAGAGCCCGGCGACGTAGGCGGCCAGGGCGTTTGCGACGCCCTCGTCGACGGCGCACCCCCTGGCGTGCGCGTCGCGCGTCGTGAACGCCTTGCCGCGCCACAGGCAGTTGCAGATGTCCATCAGGAACCCGTTGAACGTGTTGACCTGCTTCTTGTCGTACTGCGGGCCCAGCCCCTTGGCCGCGTTGGACATGTACGTCGCGAACGCCTGCTTGTACGCCGCCAGCACGGCGCAGAGGCGTGACGCCGTCGCGAGCGAGGGCGTGAACTGCAGCGTGTACACGAGCGGCACCGGCGGAATCGTGATCTGCAGAGACCGGAGGAGCGTGCCCTTGGAGTAGATATGCGCGGCGCGCTCGTAGAAGTCCAGGACCCTGAGGGTGGTGTGCTCCGTGGGTGACGTCTGCAGGAGGGTGAGGCTGAGCTGGTTGGCTTGCGAAACCAGTTGGTGTACGGACTCGGAGGCGTGTTTGGGGATGTCGGCCTCGTTGGTCAAGAGGATGACGTGCCAGCGGCGGAGCAGGTTGGCATACAGTTCTAGAAGGTCCAGTTGTGACTCGAGAGAACCATCCAGCACTGCCGTCTGTAGCGTGGACGTCATGATGGAAAAGTCTACGATTGACTTAGTATTCGTTACAATTTGGCTATTGGGGTTTTCAAGTCAATTACCTTCAGGGGTCATCAGCGGCGCGTAGGCGAGGATCTCATGTATCCGAGTGTTAGCCTTCAAATGCAGGCGCAGTCCTACCAGCTTGACGATGCCAGTGTAGAAAGGCGATATATCCTGTGCAAGTGTCAGCCTCAGTTAGTATGGAAGACGGTGAGGGGCTTGACCTTTGTGGTCCGAGCATATTCGAGAATTATCCTGAGTGTTTCTTCCATGGCCCGGACATCCGCATCGCCATTCAGGATCTCGGCGAGCTGCACATCCATCCAAGCTGAAGCTCTCTTTAGATTCAAGTCCGGCCTAAGCATCATGAACTTCTGAAGAAGCGGATCCACCAGGACAGCAACAAGGTGATCTGGCAGCTCGACCTTCTCGAGATTCGCGGCCAGACTTTCAGCGCTGTCGACCTCCTCCAACGTGACCGATTTCTCATGTGCGTTGGAGGTCTGCACAGGTGGGAGCCCACCTGGTTTGGCAACCTTGGAACTGGAGAAAATTTGTTGATTGGTCTTGAATCCGTCTCTGGGACCTTGAAGACTGCTCTGCTGTTGCTCACGGTGCAATTTCTGGATCACAGATAGCCTCTCCCGCCACTCCGGGTCAGGCAGTTTGAAGGCGCTTCCCTTGCCGGTGTTGCCGACAATGATCTCGGGATAGTAGTTTCTGTAGACGCGGAGCAACCCCTGTAAGTGCCGGTCGTTACCAGCCTGCCTCGACAGGTTCAGCAGAGCCTGTATTCGGTAGTGCTGAACATGTTTGCGCCTTGTGATGATTGCCAGAATATGGAATAGTTGAGGCCTGGTGGCAGAGACATCCAAGAGATTGAATAACACGCTGTATGCCCTCGACAGGACCGCCTGCGCCTTGGTTTCGAGGACATGATAAACCTGGATCACCCAGTTTAGAAGGGAACTTTGAAGAGTGAGAGATGGCTTGATCTCGCCCAGACCGAGGCAGCCAATTATCTTCAGTATAACGTCTTGAGAGACTTTCCCGGCGGGATACAGATTCTTGATGATAGAGTTGAGGCTGCCCTGATCCAGTTGAGCAGGCGAGACGATCAAGTTGATGAGATCAAGGAGCTCGTCTGGAAGGACGCCCTGACTGTACGCGACTGAAGACAACTCTGCCACCTTGGGCTTCACATCGACGTCACGTCTCTTGGCAGGCACCTTGGAAGCTTCGTGATAATGTCAGTTATAGTTCATATTGCCTCGTCTCATCCACTCCGTCTTCAGTCTCGAGTCTCGTCTCTTCTCATCTCACCCATCTGCCGGCGAAAATACACACCTTCGACAACATCATCTATGAGCGACCGTGTTCTGGTCTTGTATTCAGACTCCATCCTGATTGAAATTTTCTCGAGCTCAGCCCCACTCAGACGGCATGGGGGACAATTTTGGCGACGTTGTTCATGGTGATGATTGCTTCCAAACGGACGACGCGACGAGACGCGGTTTAGGGGTGCTTCACGCGTTCCGGGCCGGCAGCGGGCGGGAGCTAGGCGACGCAGGGTTGCCAAAGGCCCTAGAGTCCGGGGCGGGCTACAAGAGCTCACGGCGCCTGCCAGACGGGGTGGGGCTTGTCGATTACTAGCATGACGAGCAGCCAGCTACTTTGTGTGCTTAGTCTACTTACCCTCCAATCCATCACCATCAATCACCCTCATCAATACATATTAAATAATCGTCTCCTGTCTGACCTTAAACGTCATCGAATGTCAACGGTCGGACACCATTTGCTTCACATTGGCAACGAAACAAGATCGGTTTTGTCAAATGCAGTCCAATGCAGTCTCGATGGCCGTTGAAAGAAATAACCCGATCGAGGCACAGCAAAGGCGATCCCCTCACCAGCTCTGGCAAATATTGCTTGTCCAGCCATGATGTCGTGTAACCCTCACGACTGGATCAGGGAGGTGTTGTCAAGTAGGTGCACACACCCCTTGGCTGCCTGCAGTGACGACAACCTTCTCAACCCTTGACGTCGAAACTCTGACAAGTCGCTTGCGTCTCCCGAATGCAAGCCAACGGCTGTGATCGACCCATGTCCAGTCAGTCGCTTGGCCTGCCCACGGGATATACAATCATTGTTCCAATCTACAGGCTGCCATATTGGCCATCACTCCAGTCATCGACCGCATGGGTGGTAGATGACAAGGTCTTGCTCCGATCCGATAGCAACACAATTCGCTTATGTCTGCTTACCGTCTCACGGCGTCTTCCACCTGCCTGTCACGCTCGCTCGCTCGCTCCTCACGACTCGACTCGTTCTGATGGACGCCCTGGTCGAGGTGTGTGTGACCAATGTGCTTCACCCTTCCACCTGCTTGGCTCATGGTTGCGCGACTCCTGGCGGGGCGGGGGCCACAGTCGTGGTTCTTTGGCAAGCCACGCTGAGGACAGGCCACTGACCAATCCATCTTGTGCAACCAAACCTCGCGGGTTGAGTCTCGTTACTGTGTGGGTCGGCTCCTCTCCGAATGCGCGCATAGTCAGGCATGCTATGAATAGAGGACCGCCTTGGTCAGCGGCCTGCCGTCTTGGACTATAGTTCGACTGTGGTTACACAGATGGGTCCCTGTGCAACCACCTGCGCCAGTTGCCTCCTCGAATCGAGCGGCCACTTTTCCTCAGCCCTCCTCGGGTTATCAATTTGTGTACACAGCCGCCGAAAGTCCCTACAGTTGGTACGCATGCACAAGGCGGTGCAGAACCGCAGTAGTCTTCAATGTGCTCGTCTTCCAACCCGGCCGAGAGGGCGCCGCTATTTCCGGTGCCGGTGGACAGGCCATGCAGCCTCTCAAGATGCAGTACCTGCACTGACATATCATCGAATCCTTCAGTGTAACTCGAGATGCCCTGAAGACGCCCAACTCGCTGAACCGAGAATACTCGCGCCAATGGGCTGTTCACACAGATGTGACCATCCTGCAGCCTCACCGAGCACAGTCAGAAAGGGAAGGCCCCCCTGGGAGCCCAGACTCTCATTCCACAAAGCCAGGCCCTTTTCTACAAGGGCCTCTTCCAGCCAGCCATCTACACTGGGGGCCTTCTCGCTGCAGGTCACTCGACACAGATGCCATATAGGTGCGTCAATGTCGTCTGAGCATACTTTAGAACCCCTACCTCAGGATGTGGTGGATACTTGCTGGACTCGTTCGCCCTTGCAGAGCTTATTTGCTCAAGAAACTGCACCACCAGCCGTCACCGCACTTTACAGGCCACTTTGGACCATTCGCGTGCAGCGGCATGCTCAACAATTTGTAGGGTCAAGAAATCAGCAGGGCGGAGCGACTAGTTGCACAATACTGTCCCAAACAGGATCTTGACACCTGCGGTTTTTCCCAGGGTTGCAGTACTGACGCAGCCACCGAACCTGTTGGCCCGGGTGCGTTAACAGGCTTCCCTCGGCGTCTGTTACCGCACATTCAACCGCACAACGCACAACAGCAGATTCTATACACCCCGTCAGCAGCATCGGTGGCGTGACGGGCGGCAGAGCAGTGCAACACACTTCGTACTGTTCCGAGTCGTCGATGCCAACTATCTGCCTGCCAGCCTTTGCCTTTCTGCCTCACAAAAGACAGCCCCACAAACACAGCGAACCCGCGGCTGCACCGACGGTGATCTCCTGAGCGTACCGCGAAATTTGAACCCTGAACATTCCTAGAAATCCCCTGTCGGCGGATCTGCGGCGACAAGTCTCACTCGGAACTTTTACGTGAGAGAGTGCGTGCATTAATTTCGATTCCTGACAGTACGATGCAACTGCTAGAAGTATCGAGCTGACGTCGTGGTAACCAAGCCACCGATCTCTCATCCTGAGCTCATGGTCAGTTCACAACCCTGACTGCTCGACTCGCACTGCCGACTAACACGCCCGCTAGCATATATAATCCAAGTACCCGCTGCAGCCCGCAGAACAATGACTGCAGGTCTTGGAGATGATCACAGGTTATGTCGCAGACACGCTACCAGGCACGGATCATTTCAAAAAGCCTGGAGCGATGCTCATACAGGATGCTCCGTCCCACATTCCCTTTTCAAATATACTTGAGCATGGAGACATTGTTCTCCTGCTGACACCGGTCGTCCGCCCTGTCGAAGAGGGCTCAACACAGGACCCTTTCGAGCCCCTCGGGCGAGGGCTGGCCAGGTACCACCCTTGGATTCGGCACGTTCCGTACACAGCTGTGGCCGGCATCACCAGCACCCATGTTGCCTTCATCAAGAGGGCAAAGATTGTGGTGTTTGTTATTTCGGGGCCACCTAGCCAAGGACAGCCTTCACAGGTGGCACTGTCTAGCATCGCACAGGCGGCAGGGGAGCATCGCCCACACGTCGTCGTGGCCTGTTGCGATGTCCAGGAACTTGAAGATGCAACGGCCTTATTCCCAACGATTGTGCAGCTCCCTGGCTACTCACGACATGACTTGGACATTGGGGCCGACATTCTCTATCATGGCCAGTCAAGGCAGACCGCACCGCCGACGGAAACGCCGAGTGTGCAGCCCAAAGATTTCACGCAGAGGTGGGTTGTCAAAGGATTCAATGTGGCGACCGACCTGCAGGCGGTCTATGAGCTTTGGTGCCAAAGCATGCCAGCACAATTCGGTCTCACCCGGCACCGTCTCATGAGCCTTTTGCAACGAGATGGCTACGCAAAGCACTTGGTCGCCCGCAGCTCGGAGACCGGTCCCGTCCTGGGATTCTGCGCCACTTACATTACCTACTTGGACAGCAAGGGAGAAGTCCTCGTGGGGTCGATCGCGGCAATCATCGTCGAGGCAGAGCACAGGGGCCGGGGTATCGGTCGGTTATTGCACAATGAGGGCCTAAAGGCATTCTCAAAGACACGGGGTGTCAGTCGGCTGCAGTTAGGCAGCACCTTTCCTCGACTTCTGTATGGCCTGCCCGTTAATCACCCCTCGGAAGAGTGGTTCAGACGACGTGGCTGGAACATGGACCGCACTGCACCCGGCACGGGACAAGAAGTTGCAGACTGGGTGCTTGCCTTCAACGAGTGGCCGACCGGTGGATTCCCGCCCATTGGGGTCACTTTCCGGCCCTGCGGAGATATGGACTTTGACATGGTTCTGGAGATCGTCGAGCAGGATTCAGAGCGGAACGGTAACATGGCCTGGTACGACCAGTACGCAAAGCTGGCTGATTCGATGTCCATGAGCGACATCGTGATAGGCCTGCGGGGAGATGCTATCGTCGCGACAGCCATTACGTACGTCGCGCGCTCTGAGAACCCGTCTGCGGACGATATACCCTGGGCTGGTCTGATTTCAGAGGATACGGGGGGTGTTACGTGCATTTGCATTACAGGTATGTTTTGAGACGTCGACAGCCTGTGCCACCGCCGCGAATAGCTGACTTTCATCCTCTCTAGATAACGACGGGTCGAGCAGAGACGCGGTCATGGTCAGGCTCCTTGACGCATGCGTCCAAGGCTTGCGTCAGCGGGGCATGGGAAGGATGTATATTGATGCGGCGAAAGGGGGCGATGCTGGATTTCAGTCCATAGGTACGCGACTGATGAGCCTCACCTGGCTATTCTCATTCATTGCGCGCTGGCTGACACTTCTTCAGGCTTCCAGAAATGGGCCAGATACAGGGACATCTGGAGAGATGCATAACTTGCATTCATGTCTGCCCTCGCTAATATGCGACCTCAGTGGGGATTAGGCAGCATCAGAAATAATACCCTCAACTCAGCCAAGTATGACAGACAGACAGAGATGTGCATCGTGTAAGCGAAGGAATACAGCGAGAACGCTGTGTCTACCAGGATATCTGACGATAGCCTGAGAATGAATGCATTCACCAAGAGCGCTAGAGCGAAGGCGAGTCACTGCAGCATCACCCTGCGCCAGACATCGTGTTGTAACCTTAAATCGGTGCCTAGGCTTCGTTGCAGACCACTGTCTTATTCTTCTGCCTAGATGAGGACGACGACCATAATCAACGGAACAATCTCCACGCCGCGTTCAACTCGCACAAAATTGCAGCCTGACCACAAGAGGAGTTACACAAGTGACACCCTTCCAAGCCATCGTGGAAACTGTGTGCGACGGTAATCCGAGGCTCCGGGGCTCACAAGAGCCGTCACCGGTAGAGGCGGGAAGAAGGCACGGGACCCATAGAAAGGATTCCCAACTGCAGGTGTTGGTCTTTCCCCCATCCATTGTCAAACCACAATGCTCCTCCGACAAGATTATCTCTTTTCTCTGCTCTCACACTGTCCGTCCCACTCGCGTGCCGGCTCGGGCTTTCGCCTGCAGATGCCCTGGCCCCCCAGAGCGCCCAATCACGGCACGGCCTCGCCGTCTCGAAGGAGCCGTCGTGCGTCGGGGCCGGACGCCAGAGCTGCCTGTGTCCCATCCTGCTGGTAGCTAGTCAATACGATTTGCATAGAGACCTTGCTTGGCCCGAGGCGGTTCTTCCCCGCCATTCTGCCCCTGAGAAGAGACCCGCGTGGAGGACGAGTGTCGGGGCGCGCGCACATGCACGGCGCCTTTGTTCGGCGTGCGTCGCAGATCTGACGAGGCTGGCGGCTTTTTCCCTCCCTCCCTCTTGGTGGTCCAGTGAGAGGTCCTGCATGCATAGACACACACACATATACACTCCTACATACCTACGCGCAGTAGTTCCTCGATCCATCTCTGGCCACCACTTCTGAAGATACCCTTCCCCCCTCCCATTCGCCAAAGCAGCGACCTCCCCATCACGTCAAGCCGTAAGTCCCGTCCAGGCGCGTTAGCGGGGTTTCCCAATGGACCACCGCTCACGCCCGACGCCAAACAGGGTCCGAACAGACGGCGATGCGGGATGGACAAGCCCCTGCCTGGCCGGCGGTCGGCGCTCCTGTCGAGTGAGTGAGCAGCGGGAGGGAGGTCGCACGAGTGATGACATAGCGGACAGCCAAAGCTCGCGCGTGTGAGAAAAGGAATGATTCCAAACACAGCCCGTCATCACTGTGCTACGTCACACATACAAACACATACACACTACACAGTGCCAAGGCACGTCGTCGATTTTCCTCTATCTTCTCCCGCCCAGCATGAGTTGGATCATGCTGCCCGGTGGCTACACGGGCTGGCGCGCGTGCTTCGCTGGCTAGCTGACTGACCGATGGGGACGCAATATCAACGACTCCACGCAGGGATCAAGGGGGGGAAATGCTGGGCAAGCTCGCCGCTGGCTGGCTGCGAGGGCCAGCAGGCAGGATCCATCCGCGAGGCGAAGGAATGGCGGTATGCAGGCGGGCAGCATGTCTCTGGCGGAGTGCGAGTTTACTGACTGACTCCTCCTGGGGCACGCGAAGGGGAGAAGAAAAAAAGAATGTCGAGCCGGTCAGCAATGCACGTGCTGGCAGTGGTCGACTTCATCATTTGCACATGTGCGGGTTTGTTGCGGAAGTACTCACCCGCCCTTTGTAACATGTCATCCTCTTCTTGCCCCCCTGCGAGCTGCGAGATAGGTTTGTGTAACACCGTTCCCTCAAGCATCAAGTCATGTGTAACCATGGGGAATTAATTAGGTGGTGGGTTTTTCTCGGGCTGTCAGTCATGTGCGCAGGATGAGCGGTGGGTGGGTTCCGCAACGCCGTAGGATCGATCGTCTGCATCCAACACGCGCGGTGGGACATATGGATACACATGTACACGTCTCAGTCACGCGGACGAGTACGCGAGGAAGGGCAGTTCAGAGCGAGGTATTGACATTGGCCGTCTGACGCGTGCCCCGTAATGATACGACTGCTGGCGCCGCTGCGACTCTGAGCTGGCTGGATCGTACACACTCCACCACTCTGCTAAGATCATACACAAGAAACGTAAATGTGGCACAGTAGCCATGAGGAAGTTTTACTTGAGAAAAGAAGAGAAAAGCAGTAACTTTTGTGGTATAGTGATCAAAAACAGATTCCTCGCAATTCCTTAGACTCCTGCCCTCCAATTTCTGCATGGCTGTCCATCACGCCCATAACGTGCCCTCATCATGCTCATCAAGATTCATCTTCATTGTCACGTTCATCCAGACGCACCTCTTTTCCTTCCCTACCGTGACTGTGCAACGTGAAGCTTTCTTACTTGCTCACTAAAATTCCTGCGAAACGGGTGGCGCCGAGATGGCACTCAAGCCCACTTAGAAAAGTCCAGGCTTTCGACCAAGGAATCCAAATTGAAGGCCTGTATCATGATCTCCGTGTCTGCTGTGGAATTACTCATCACCGAGCTGCGATGAGACTGCGAATTCTGCTCGCTGGTGGTCGTCAGGAACGTCGCGACACTAGCGCGGCGAAGGTCACGCATGCTCAGCCCAGAGATGCTGTCCCGAGCGACACCACTTGAGGGCCGGCTGTCGACATTTGCCTGTCCCAACGGTTGCTGCTGCTGTGCAGAGGCAAGCGCACTGCTGAGCGACATTGGCGTCGGCGGATTAGACGAGGCATGGGGGCTCGTAGTCGTCAATGGCGATGCCAATGCAGAGGCGGATTTCGGACCATAGCGCTCGCGCAGGCGACTGATCTCCCTCAAACGGCTGCGCCAGGCGGATGGATACTCGCCCTGTTCGCGGTTGGCCCAGACGAGGGAGAACACGGACGCGTTGAGAGCAAGCAAGCGAACGAGATCCGGCAGTGCTTTGAGGCTGACCATCTTGGTGGCAGCACAAGGCGATATCTCTGGGAAACCTTCCTTGCTCATGACTTGGACCTTGAAGAAAGGCGTATAGCCGCGCTTGCTGGGAGCATCGACATTTTCTCCTTCCTCTTCCTGCTGGGCACTGTGCTCGCGTGTCGCAACGAATGACGCCCTTGACTCTGGCGTGATGACAATGTTGACGTAGTTGAACTCGGATGGGAATGTGTCGAACTTGAAGGGCAGCCCGGAGTCATTAAAGATAATATTCACAAAGTCATTGCCGATGTGTCTCTTCTTGCCGATGCACTGAGAATCATGGTCCAGGTTTGTGGGCATTTGTGTCGTGACATGAAAGACGATCTCCGTCACCCTGTCACGCCAGCAAAAGGTATACTGCCCGTCTGTGTCATATTCCCGGTCCAGGCCTTGAGTGTTAAAATCAGCACCCTTCAACTTGGTGAGGGATCCAATCCCGTTCAAAAACTCCATATAGTCTGCACTACCGGATACGTTGGCTAGGATCTCGGTTTCCTTGGTTTGGTTCTCTCCTATGTAGATCACGCCAACCTTATGGCCATCCACAGTGGAAATTCGGTCGAAAGTTCTGACGCTTCGACCAACAGCCTCCTCGTCTGGGAGAGGTAGCGGGCGTAGAGAAGGTTCGTGACTTTGAGGCGTAGAGGAGAGCAAGTGGACAAGCAGGTGGCTGGGGAGAGAACTATTCGTGGTCAGTGACCCAGTGTCTCTGCTGTCTCCAAACATGCCGACTTGGTGGGGCGGCGGTGGTTTGAAGTTCTCGCGGACAGTGAAATAAGATGTGCCTGATGGCTGTCTCTTAGTGACTTGTGCCCACGGGGTCGCCTTCGACTGTTTGATGGAAACAAGACTGTTGGCGACGATCCACCGTCTCTCGGTGTACTCTGATGCTTTCCTGTCTGAAAACCGAGGGTTTTCGGCAGACTCGTCCGCGTCAGCGTACGCAACTCTCTGTATGAAGTCCATGGTAATGAGTGCCTGCTCGTCCGAAACCGGATTGCCGTCTGGACCTTGAAACAGCCTCTTGGCGATCCATCCCACATGCTTTGCTCGATCAGTCAAACGCAGGGCCAGGAACCAGAAGACAATAACATGGTACGCGAGCGCGTGCACATACTGAGGCAGCTCCTCACTATTAGTTGGTTGCCCCAGGATGTCGTACTCGTGAGTCGTGTTGATGGTAGCAGGCACGTTCTCACTCGCGGTACTCGTTCGCACATATCGCTTCTTGTCGCGCACAGTGTCCAAATACCTGAAGCACATGCCAAAAACGACGCGAAACTCGTCTTCGATGAAATTGCTGTACAGTGCTGGCATGCGCGCGAGGACGGCCAGGAATTCCAAAATATGCATGGCGACATTGGCCTGCGTGATAACCGTTGACATTTTTTGCAGGATCGTCACCAGTGCCTTGGTAGTAGCAAGAGGAAGCTCGTGGCAGCAAATTGTCAGCGCATGTATGCAAGTCTTTGCTGTAGAGTGCCCAATGCCCTGCAAGAAAGTTCTGACAAGATCATCTTCGTCGCTTTTCTGGAAGTGCTGATGGTAACTCATAATCGTCGTCAATATTTGGAAGATACAAATGTTGACCTCTGGTCGGCGTAGTCCAGTCATCGGAGGTGGGTCCTGGAATAGGTTGTGTTTGCTCTGCTCGCACAGCACTCTACGCGCCTCCCTTATTTGTGGGATGGCGCCTCTGAAGAATGCGTGGTTGCTCAACTGAGAGGGCAGGTGAACTAGGTTAAAGCTGTAGACCTCCCAGTCGCTTCCGTGAGTCAGATTATGCAGGATTGCCTCAAGCCATGAGGTAACGTCGAGCACGCCAGGTTCCTGGTTCGCAGCCTCACCTTCATCGCTAGCCTGTGTCGGCGTCTCTAAATATGAGAACAGAACCGGACTGGCTATTGGGGAAGGTGACTCTGGTAGAACAGCAGAGTCTGGCAGAGACCACAGTTGTTGATGCCTCTGGCCACTAGGTTTTGCACCGCTAGCCGAACGGCTCGGAACCATCCTATCTTGCGCCGTAGAACCAAATGAGACTCCTCGTGACGACCGAGACAAGCTTCCATGATCGCTTCTCGTTCTGTGTGACGAGGCTGCATCCTCCGCAATTTTTCTCGCCAAAGAAGCCTCCGTCCTGTGGAGCACACCAGCCAGGCCCTCGGATTCGGTGAAGCAGGTTAGGTAGATTCGATTGGCCCAGTCTGCCCTCAATCGAAACAGCATCTTCATTGCCGTGATCCGGGCGTCAGCAGATTGACCAAATTTGGCTATGTAGACGAGAAGCTGGAATGTTTTTGTTGCCTTCCGGCTATCCGTATTCATCGTCTTCATAAAAAGCAGCACGTAGCCTCTTGTAACGACATTGGCAGGGCTTTGATGGACACCAGTCCCAGGCTGGTCTGTTGTGATGGGTTTTTCGTCCACGACCGTCAACGGGGAATGCAGACGGTCGCTGGTGACGACCCCCTTGAGGGTCTCCATGATGTATTCAAACAGGTTGGTGTCGGCCGCTAAGGCGACAGACATCATGAAAGAGACAGTTTCTTGAAGGACGAGAGTGTCCGTCTCATCAGAGATACCCGAGAGAATGTTCCTGACGATGTTGGGCACGACATCTTCGTCAAGTTCGTCTTCAACCAATTCCAGCATATCGTAGACCTCAGTGATACCCTGGAGAGCTGCGATGCGGATGGGCGTGGAGCGATCTCGTTTGAGATAGAACGACTCAAGAACCAAGTCTAGGTTCTTCTCCCACTCCAAATCAGAAGGGTAGCAGCAACGGAACTCTCTGAAGTGGTCCAAAACGAGTCCAGCTGTAGAGTCCGGGAGGACGTGAGGGATTCCCGCCATGAAAGCAATGCACTCATGTCTCTGTACAAAATCGGAACCTCGCTGTCTAGCTAAGCCTTCCAATCTCTGAAGAAGAGTCTCAAGCTCCTCCAGTATGGAACTCCCCTTCTTCAGGTCTTGTGCTGTTAGGTTTGATTTCAGACTCGTTCTGGAACTGCTCGGGGTGAGGTTGAAATTCAGTCGTCCGACACATTTTTCAGCAACCGCCAACACCGATGTCCAGTCTTCATCCGCGAGAAGCGGATTCAGGTGCTGTTCTCCGTCGTCAAACAGGGTGTTAATTAGCTTGAGCACGGAGCCGGCTATTCGTGTGGAAGGCGATTTCTCGACGACATTGTTGCATCCGTCGACAAGTAGAGCAAGAGGAATTGTCGGGTAACCTTTCTCTGAGGATTTCCAAACCAACTTCTGAAGAACAGTCAGAGAGCCCCTGACAGCCCTGCTTGTCTCCGTCGTTTCCTGGCCATTGCGAGGATAGTCTCTGAGAATTGTGAGCAAGATCCGGACGGCAGCCTGACCATTGTGTGATTTCAGCAAGTTGGACAATGTGTGCCACGAAGTCTTAGATAGCTTGTCGACGAGGCAGAATATCGAGCTCAGCACCTCAACGCAACGACTCAGGCTCCGCTTCGGAACTGAAGCGTATGTAATGATGGCATCGATCACCTCAATACATGCCGTCAAATCATCCTCCGTGCTCGTCTTCATGCAGATTTCCAGGAGCTTATCGATCAGACGTCCCAAAGTTTCGTCGTCGGCAACCCTGAAGTTGAATTTGAGGACCTCCAGAATGAACGCGAACAGCATGGAGAAGCTCTTGTCCTCGCCTAAAGCAGCGACTGGTGGTGCGACCGCCTTTCCCTTGGAGCCCTTTCTCTCTCGCACTGCCTGCTGCCTCCGCGCAATCCTGACAGCATTGTACGAATCTTGCAGCCATGTCGTCAATAGAGGGATAACGTCGTAATCGAACCCGGACAGATTCCGGCCGTGGTTGGTTAGATCGACCAGGGCAGCCAGCTGTAGGTAGAAGTCGTCGGGGCTAGCGTGGAAAGACAGAGTCTGGAAGAATTCTTTTCGCTCAAGATCGGTGGACGAGGGGTTTCGGACGCATTCCGTGAGTAACTCCCACCCCGCAACCCTCGCATTGCTGGGTTTGGAAGTCTCTATCAGATCCTTGCCAGCGTCCCATATTTGTAGCACCGGCGCCAAGGGGTAGTCGGCAATGGAAAATCGCAGGGACTCGGCGGCGGCGATGCGCTCGCTAAGCGATCCGTTCTTGAGCTTCTCTAACGCTTCAAAGTGGTGGGGAGGCAGGCCGCTGGCAGCTAGCGAGGCCGTGTCGACTCGTTCGGAGGACAGCTGGGCGGAGACAGTATCGGTCGACGAAGAGGGCACGGGTGGGACTTTGGCGAGCTTGGAGCCCCCGGTCAGGCCCTTGAAGACGCTGGCAAGACCTCCTGTGCTTTTGGTCTCGGGCGACGGGGCTGGGTCGTCGGCGGAGGGAGGCATGGAGTCTCCAGGAGGAGCGTCAGGGGCATCAAGGCCCAGGGAGGCTATGCGGCGAAGCATGTTATCAGCTTTGAGTCCATGGAATAGAGCGCCAGCGGGGCAGGCGTAGATGAGCAAAACTGCAAAGACTGAAGGTTAAAACCATTCTGGACTGGGCAGGCCGAGGGAACCTTAAGGAGAGCAGCAATCGTCGGCGCCGGAGCATGCACTACATCGCGACGTTGAGGTATCACCAGCCAGGGGTCCAACTCGGGGACGGGTCAAGGAAGCCCCACGCAAATGAAGAGGAACGAGGCAGAGGTACTCGACAACTGACGATGCTACTTACAGACAAGCCCCTAGTCTCTTCGCATCTACCGCTGTGATGTGGAGAGGGCTATGAAGCCAGGGTCGTCATAGTGGCCATCAAGGTGTATGTCGTCCGTCAGGGTGGACACTGGAGAGTCGAGACCGAGGGAGACGCGATGTGCACGTCGAGGGTCAAGCGAAGGTCAGATCCGGATAGAGATCGCGCGTCTAAAAGGATGGAGAGTAGGAGAGCTAAAAGAGATAAAAGACAGCCGAGATAGATAGAGCTATCGGATAGACAAGGACGAAATTGACTGCAACCATCTAGCTTCCACCACCTCTCCTCACAGCCTTGACAACGGGATTGTCAATGATACCCGGCGACTGTGTCTGGATTCTGTCGAAGTTGGCAGAGTCTGAGGTTTTTCGACCAGGGTTCTTTGGCCTTTTTTTTTCTGTCTTCGGTCGGCAACAGACAGATGTCTGAGGGAGGTTGATTGCTATGTGGATGTCTCGAAATGCGGCCTGCTGGGTCTCGGGAACGAGAGAAAAAGGCATGCCGGCTGCACCGTTCTGCACCGTGCACGGATCACGACGGTCAATCATCAGGTCGGCCATGTCGGACGGGGCCCACTCTAGCGCCGTTTTCGACGGGAGGTTGGTCGCGATGTAGACAATACTCAATTACGTGCTCATGTACCCGCCCCAGAACACCTTATACCATACTTTGAGTCTTATTGCAGATCAGCACCGAGGATCTCGTCATACAATACTCCTGATACTCAAGAGAGATTATTCCCAGTGCCTGCGTCCTTGAGCAAAGTGCACTACTAGCGACGCGTGCAAAGCATCTAGGCAGAAAACCATGCTCATCGCCGTAGATACAGGCAGAGTACCCAGGTATCCAACATGTTCATCCCAACCTTAATCAGGAAGCGGATGAGCGGCCACATAATGGAGAGCATCTGTTCATAGAGGTCAAGGTCAAGGCTGAGTTTTATGTGTATTCTGTATATAGTCCTAAGTCCTATTTATCTAATCTATCTATCGCAAATGAGATTTGACGGTGACGATACGCTGGCTGGTGCGGCCTGTATCTTTCAAGCTGGCGGCACGAAGTAATTACTGAATTACTGTGAAGTACATTGCCCTCTCATGTCTGCAGCATCATGGTACAGGTTACAGATGGCTTTGGCGAGTCCTGTCTGTCTGCAACAGGGTCAGGGGTGCTCCAAAGCCCCTCGTCCCCCCACCTTTGCTCAGACCAGCGCCAGCAGGCACCTAGCAACGGAATCGACCCAGGCTCCCGTTTACTTTCTACTGAAGCTTCTGAGGTTTCCTGGGCCCAGACCGCACCTGCAAAACTTCCAATCTGGACATCACAACAACAGCCAAGCTAGCTGTTTCCCACATTGTTGAACTTAGTGCACCAGGCTATTATTCAACATGGCGGCAGACATCGCCAGCATTGCTCAGGTGTTGGACGCGACTTTGGACCACAAACAGCACCGCAAAGGTAACGGCCCCTCCACCTGCGCTGCCCTGTTGTTTTTATTTGCACCGGCTCGAAGCTACAACGGGTTCGCCCATTGCCACCCACGAGAAGCTGACATTCCCATGCCATAAGCCGAGTCCCTCCTCAAACAGGAAGAGAAGAAGCCGCAATACTCCCTCCAGCTCCTCAAGATCGTTGCAGGCTCCAACTTCGCCGTCACCACCCGCCTCGCCGCTGCGCTCGCCTTCAAGAACTACGTTCGCCTCAACTACGTGGTACGGTCTAGCTTCCACACTCGTTCGAAGTACTCCATGAACATTTCTGACACACGTGTGAATTGTAGGACGAAGATGGAAACCACAAGCTTCCCGCCGAAGAGGTCGCCACCATCAAGCAGGAGCTCGTTGGCCTCATGATCCTGTCGCCGCCGAACATCCAGACACAGCTTGGCGAAGCTATCAGCGTCATAGCAGATTACGACTTTTGGAAGAGATGGGACACGCTCATTCAGGTTTGTGAAGCTCCGGCACGACAAGTGGATGGGGATTCTGAGACTGAATCTTGTGTTCTAGGATCTCGTCAGTCGAATCTCGACCGAAGACTTTAAAGTAACGAACGGAGTTTTGGAGGTCGCACATTCAATTTTCGTGCGGTGGCGGCCATTGTTCCAGTCCAATGAGCTTTACGAAGAGGTCAACCATGTCGTCCAGCACTTTGGAGAGGCCTTTGTACGACTTCTAGGGGTGAGTATACAACCAATTTGGAGCTTGAGGTTAGAAACTAACGACCCAAAAAGATCGCCGACCAGCAGATAGAGGCCAACAAGAGCAATGCCACCCAGCTGAAGGGTTGGTTCGAGACGCTAGGTCTGCTGGTGAAGATTCTCTACGATTTGACCTGCCACGATCTTGCTCCTATCATTGAATCGAACCTGCAGTCCATACTTTCCCTTCTCGACAAGTATTTGGCGTATACGAACCCAATATTTGACGGCGACGATGACGAGGCAACGGCGCTGGAAAACGCCAAGGCCGATATCTGCGAGGCTCTGACACTATTTACGACCAAGTACGATGAGGACTTTAGCGGTTTCTGTGAACGGTTCATAACATCAGCTTGGAACTTGTTGTCCAACCTGGGTCCGGAGAAGCGGTATGATCTGGTGGTCAGCAGGGCTCTGCAATTCCTCACTGCCGTGGCATCAGTGTCGAAGCACGCTCAAGCGTTCAACGACGAGAACACCTTGGGCCAGATTGTGGAGAAGGTCATTCTTTCCAACGTCACTCTCCGTGAGTCGGATATTGAAATGTTCGAAGATGAGCCCATCGAGTTCATCCGAAGAGACCTTGAGGGATCGGACACAGATTCTAGAAGGCGCGCGGCGACGGACTTCTTGAGGCAGCTTCTGGAGAAGTTTGAACCTCTCGTCACGCAGGTTGTTTTCAGGTACATTGACCACTACCTGAAGCAGGGTGAAACAGACTGGAAGGCCAAGGACACTGCGATTTACCTGTACCTGGCTATTGCCGCCAAGGGTGCCGTTACGGCTGCACAGGGCGTCAAGACCGTCAACTCTCATGTCAACGTCGTGGAATTCTTCCAGAATCATATTGCAGCTGATCTTCTGAATGATGGAGTCGCACCTATCTCCAAGGTTGACGCTATCAAGTACCTCCACAACTTCCGAAGTCAATTGACCAAGGACCAGTGGCTGGCTGCATTCCAGCCTCTTATCAAGAACCTGGCGTCTGACAACTACGTGGTCTACACATACGCAGCTATCGCCGTGGAACGGGTTTTGTATCTCTCGAATGATGCTGGCGAGCACTTGTTCTCGCGGGCCGACATCGAACCAGTTGCAAAGGACCTGCTTGACCACCTGTTCAATCTTATTGAAAAGGACAAGGCCCCAGCCAAGATGCAGGAGAATGAATACCTCATGCAATGTATCATGAGAGTACTGATCGTCATCAACACGGGCGTCCAGCCCATTATCGATGGTGTTTTGGACCACCTCATCAGCATCATCAGTGTCATAAAGGCCAACCCCAGCAACCCTCGCTTCTACTACTACCTGTTCGAGGCTATAGGAGCTTTGGTCAGGTATGTGACGGCCCAGAAAAAGAAAGAGAATAGGCTTGCAAGACAGCCAGACTGACATGATACAACAGGTTCTCCGACCCCAGTCAAGAGGCAAAGCTACATGCACGTCTATGGGAGCCCTTCTCATACATCCTTAACGAGGACGTGTCGGGTAAGCTACCCAACGAGGATATCTTCCCATCAATCTGACTAACCACTCTTCAGAATTTGTTCCCTATGTCTTCCAAGTCTTCGCTGCCCTGCTTGAAGCCGCACCAACAAGTCCACTGCCTGCCGAGTTCAGCTCACTGCTTGGGCCTATCCTTGCGCCAACAGTGTGGGAGACGAGAGGTAACGTGCCTGGATGTGCCCGGTTCCTGTCGGCCATGATCCCCAGGGCAAAACAGACCGTACTAGAGTCCCAGCAACTGGTGCAGATACTGGGAATATTCCAGCGCCTTTTTTCCAGCAAGAAGACCGAGACCAATGCCTTCGATATCCTGGAATCGGTTGTGGCCACTTTCGATGGGTGAGTTGTCAAGAAAGGCAAATCTAGCATGTGTCTACTTTTACTAATCAAAGCGTTCAGAGCAACTCTAGATGCGTACTTCGCCGACATCCTCACTCTCACTTTCACCAAGCTGCAGGCCAATCCATCAGACTCGCACAAGCAACGATTTGTCCGTTTCTACCATCTGGTCTCGGCTAGGACAGAAGCCGGCATGGGCGCCGACTACTTCATCAACCAGTCCGAGAAACTACAGCCTGGTATATTCAAGCAGCTTTACCCGAACGTCATTCTGACAACCACAAAGCAACTTGCACGTCCAGTCGATCGAAAGCTCGGTGTGATTTCATACACGAAGACGCTGTGCGATTCGGCAGCATTTGCACAACAGTTCCAGAAGGGCTGGGCCAACACTGCCAACCACCTCTTGGAGCTCTTGCAGAACCCACCCAAGGTGGCGGGCGGGTTTGGAGATGAGATCATCACGGAGGCAGATGTGGACGACATTGGCTTTGGAGTGGGCTTCACTCCGCTAAACACGTGCAAGCGCGGCCCACGGGACGACTTCCCTCAGATTGACAATGTGCAAGCCTGGGTCAGCGAGTACCTGAAGGCCGGTAACGCGCGCCAAGGAGGCACGGTCCTCAAGTTCGTGCAAGAGCGCATGCAGCCGGAGGCCCAGGCTGCGATTGCCCCTTATTTGCAGTAGGCCAGATATGGATAAGGGTGCTCGAGGTCATGATGAAGAACACGCGCGGGGTTCCAGAAAGAAAGAAAGGATTCAATGGCGTTGGAGGGACCAAAAATGTGTGGAATCATGGACAGACGAGCAGCTGCGTAGGTAGATTCCCCCGGGGGCAGCACTGGCGAAGGCCACGTGCTTTGAGGTTTTGTTGAGTGGCATACGCATAGAAGCATACTACATTAATCAAGCGAGAATTGACGAGCTCAGCTCACGAGCAAGCCGTAAACGCATGCTAGCTCTGACATGCTATTAGTGCTCAGGACACATGGCCGGCGGCCTAGTCCACGTCGCCGACCTGACGACTCCAGATCGATTCTGACCACCCCAGCAGTGTCCGTGAGCATTGTGGTGAGTTGGTGCTCGCAGGCGAAGAGAGGAAGTACACACGAAATAATACCATAAGGGAAAGGTATCTGGAGCAAGCAAACAACATACTGAGATGGCAAGGAGTTAACGTACTTGGGGGTTTGTCCACTGAAGCTCAACATATCATCAAATCACCCAGTGACCTCAACTCACTATCAATTTATCGATACGCTGCTTTATGAGCAATTGAGCACTCTGCTGTGGAAATCCAGGAGCGCCCCAACATCGAAAAGATACGCCTAAAGTGCCCAGATAGCCAAGAGCCCCCATCCATGAAGCCCCGTTCAACCGTTCAAGGGCACAGGACGGACCCCACCAGCGGCCCGGCACGGCCCCGACCCCCGGATTCAAAGCCTCGGCTCCTCGGAGCTTCCATGCGGGGTTGCACTGGAATTCCCGGCCTCACAGCTGCTGATCATCCTTTCTGTTCACGTCTTCAGAGAAAACTCACACCCGACGTGGTCTCTTCTCCCGTCACAGGCGACAATGCCCCTATCTTGACCTTCACACCACTGACCATGCCCTGGAGGCATCGCCATCATCAACCGACACAACCATAACCGAACCCTTCCCCCCCAAAACACCAATCATGGCCAACCCCCCACCCTTAACAGGCCTCAAAGTCCTCGAGTTCGCCGGCCTCGCCCCAGGCCCCTTCGCAGGCCTCCTCCTCGCCGACGCGGGCGCGTCCGTGATCCGCGTCGACCGGCCCTCGACGTCCCCGACCGCCGACCACCTGACGCGGCACAAGGCCTCGGTGGCGGTGGACCTGTCGACGCCGGCGGGGCGCGCGGTAGCCACCCGGCTCGCGCGCGCCGCCGACGTGCTCATCGAGCCGTTCCGCCCGGGCGTCATGGAGCGGCTGGGGCTGGGCCCGGACGAGCTGTGCGCCGCGAACCCGGCGCTCGTCTACGCGCGCATGACGGGCTTCCGCCGCGACGGCCGCTACGCCGCCATGGCGGGCCACGACATCAACTACCTGGCCGTCGGCGGGGTGCTGGGCATGCTGGGCCCGGCGGGGGGGCGGCCCGCGCCGCCGGTCAACATCCTGGGCGACTTTGCGGGCGGCGGCGCCGTGCTGGTGCAGGGCGTGCTGATGGCGCTGCTGGCGAGGGCGCGCACGGGGAGGGGCCAGGTCGTCGAGGCGAACATGGTGGACGGCGCCGGCTACCTAGCTACGTTCCCGCGGTTCGCGAGGAAGACGCCCATGGGTGACGGCCCGCGGGGCACGAATGTCTTAGATGGCGGGTGCCCGTACTACGATACCTACGAGACGAGGGATGGGAGGTACGTGGCTGTCGGCGCGCTGGAGCCGCAGTTCTACGCGGCACTTGTCAAGGGCCTGGGGCTTGAGGGCCAGGGGTGGGAGCAGAGGAGGCTCGACCGCGACTGCTGGCCCGAGATGAGGGCTACGTTCGAGACGATATTCGGGAGCAGGACGAGGGACGAGTGGGAGGCGGTGTTTGACGGCACGGACGCGTGCTGCACGCCTGTCTTTGACTACGCAGAGCTAGAAGGGGCTGGTGAGGGGAGAGAGGGGGACCAGAGACCGATTGTGACGCTGCGGGAGACGCCTTGCCTCGCTGTTGACTCGGGGCCGAGGCCATCCACGGCCGACGCGGTCAGTCGTGGCCAGGGCCCTGGTGTCCCTGGCAATGGGTACGTCGGCAAGGCTCTGGTGCCGGGAGAGAATGGCGAGACGGCACTCAGAGACTGGCTCGGCTGGGAGAAAGGGAAGCAGTACGATGTTGAGAATGATGGTCTAGTTCTGAGGACGGGCTCTAAGCTGTGAATAGATGGGTCCCAAGTGGGTTCCCAGTCGAAGCAGGAAAACAAGCGCCAGTCTCTATCCTTTATCCTTTACCCAAAGAAATGTCTCCCGGTGCAGTCTGTCTATACCAATTCTATACCCGATTGTGTTTTCCTCATCTTGCTTCCTTTACCAAGCCTGGTACAATGTGGTGTCTTCGTTCGACGTTCGACGGCATGCTCAGCATGGAGAAGGCTGTGATTGGTCTCAGCGGCATGATAAGCAAGAAGAACACTAGAGGTGCTCACCCCTCTCTACAAGCCCTGCAGCTTCAACTTTGTCCATATTCTCACGAACTATCCATCCGCTGAGATCGCCTCGAAGGACTTGGTGGCGGCGGCTTCGGGGGCCGAGGAGAGGGGGGTCGATCTCGGGACTGGCACACAACAGAGCCTCGCGGCGGAGTAGACGATGCCATAATGGTGAGGCTGCGAAAGGGATGTACGCTGTGGTCTGGACTGAAGCGGTGTTACACCAAGTAGAAGCCAGCTCTTCGTCTAAAACGTTATTACAGACGTCGCCCTTGTAGAAATGGGAGCAAGTAGGACCAGGCTCGTTCGTCACAGGGAAGGACGGCAAAGCAAGCTATAAGAGCTCCAGGGTCCCAGATGCAAACCACAAACAAGCTACACAGCTCAAACCAACCGAGCAGCAAACCTATATGTCATCAGCCCACCCTCTTCCCCTGCCGACCGAGAGAACACCCGTCCTCCACCCAGCGTGCCCAAGGCTCCCCTGCACGGGTAAGAGCTCGACAGGCTCGAGGATCCGGCTGGAGTCCCGACGGGAAGGGGAAGGGATGACAGTGGTTGCAGGGAAGGGAAAAAAAACCATCTGGGCGCGCATTACGCAGTAAGAGCAAAGACAGACTGCAGCATGTGGCGCCATAAGGGTGCCCCTTCCGTGCGCGAATGGGTGGTAGATTCCGAGACATGTGAAGACTCACAAGGGGGGGGGGGGGTGGGAGGACGCGAGCGAGTGGGAAAAAAGGGTCCCTCTTCTCCCACCAGCAAAGCAACCCACCCGCCCGATCGATGACAGGGCTTGGCTCGAGGACGGCCGTCGTTGCGGTGAGAAAAGAGCGAAGCGGAATTGCATGCCATGCAGGCGCTGCTGCGGGCCCCAACCTTGTGAGGCTCAAGAAGCTGCGTGGCATGCATGGCTCTCTCTCTCCCACTGTTACTTTTTTTGGTCTCTCCCTGTCTGCTTGCTCGCCTTGCATGCTGTGCATGCTGCTGGTCGCCCATCTGGGAATGTCTGCCGAAAGTTGGCACGTTGGGGTTCCAGGCCTAGTCCGAGAAGCTTAAGGGTCCCGCCTGGCCATGTACATCTAAGTGGCCCTTGGTTACTCGCTGAAACCGTGGTCCCAGAGCTTTTTACCTGGACCGGGTTATAAGTGCCCATGCTCCCATACCCCCCAATCGGGAGCGGCCCAGCAGCCCGGGTTCGACGAACCAAACTGTGCGGTCGAGTTCCTCGCCGTGATCCCGCACAAAGTCAACCGAAAAGAGAGAATAAAAAAAAGGAAACACGGGAGAAGGTTAAGCCAAGAGGATTCTTACCAGAAAGTCAATACATGGGGTTCTTCAGGGAAATTGGAACAGAGGGGAAACGCAAGTACCGACGTGGTGACACGACTAAAGCAAGCTGCATCTTGTATGCATTTTCTAGCTTCACTGACCTCGCATATTCGCCGAGGCCGGCCGGCCTATCAACAGGTCAAAGACCGGTCGGAGCATGGTAGATAGCAGTCAGCCCATTCAGACGTCCTCATTGCACGAGCTTCGACTCGCTTCGCTTCACCTCTCTTTACATGAGAAAGAGGGGGAAGGGGGAAGAAGTAGAAGAAGAATGGTTGTGCACCTGTATTGTCTCGTCCCAGTCAACTCGCACGTAATGGTATCGAAAGGAGGCCCGGACAGAACAAGACAAAAAAGAAATTAAATACATTCTCCAGACGGTTCATTGCACTCCTTCCTTCTCCGCGCAGTGGCACACTGGCACTTCTCTTTCTGAGGTGCTGCTGCAAGGGTAGACAGAAAGGAAGAGAGAGAAAGGGGAGTAAAAAGGGCAGTCAGTCTATCTACATACAACAACACTGTACAATCTGCTCGAGATGCCAAAGTCAAGACAACACTCTCTCTCCTTTCGAAAACTTCTTCTGCCTCTCTGTTTGTTTGTCCATCTGTTTCCTAACGGGTCGCCCGCTCGGTTGTATTGATCGTTTCGCTTCGTTTCTTCTCTTCTTCTCCTCGCGCGCGTCTATTAAATGTGCACACACAACGAAGCAAACACGGGCCCCGATTTGGGTCTCCATCTTTCTTCAACTACAGCGCCACACACACACACACACACACACACACCCACACACCATGAGCCCGTCCATCATAACCGGGTAAAGGGCAACCCCATATCATGCATGCATTCAGTCGTCGACGCATTCCCCGTGAAGAGCACCCAGACTTCAAACCATCTCAAGACGGAGGAAAAGAAAAAAGCAAGCTCGGGCCCAATCTGCGAATCCGTGGAGGAAGAGAGAAACAACCGCCACTACGCCGTGCAAGGTCTCTTCTTTTTGTGTCCGATGATCATCCAAACCGGGTTCCCGTAAGATATAGCAACCACTCCCTTCCCCCACAAAGGCTTCGAAGAAAAGGCAGCCGGCCAGCAAACGCCCCAAGTCCTCCTGAAAGCCTTCCCCCAATAGTCTCCTTGTCTGTCTACTGCACTTGACTGACGATCTCGCTGGCGCGCGCCAGCGACTCCACCATCTGCTGGCACTCCTTCCGCCGCCGGACCGTGTAGTCGCTCTCCTTGAGCAGGTCGTCCAGCTCCGTCGCCCGGTACATGTTCTCGAGGAGCTCACGCTGCATCTCGTCCTTGGTGAATCTGTGCATCGTGAGTGTTAGTCAGCTTTCCCCCCCAAGTGCCGTATCGTGCGAAGAGGGTGGGGTTATACATACGCTACTAGGTTGAGCATGATAGCCTTGGGGACCATGTCGATCATGGTCCTCTTGACAATGTTATAATACGACGAGATGAGCAATTTTATGACCTCGACCTCGATGTTCTCCCGCTCGCTCAGCGTACCCGACGCCTTCAGGGTCGGCGGTGGGGCCTCCATGGCCGCTGCCTTCTTCTTATTCTTGGCCGCGAAGAAGCTGCCGAAGAAGCCGCTGTTCGCGTCGCCGCCGAGGTTGGACTCGGCCAGGGTTGGGCTCGCGGCCCGTACCGGGGTGCCCGCGATCGGCTTTCCAGACTTGGGATCCACCTGCACGGGCTTGGGGTTGTGGCGCTCGTTCACGATGGCCATGGCACGGTGGCCGTTGAGGAAATCAGGGTGCCCAGTGTTGACGTAGATAGACTCCATGGCCACGAGGTCCTTGACCAGCTTGTTCGTTGGCTCCATGGCTTTCTTGAAGAACCCAATTACGACGTTGTGCATCTTTTCCTTTAGCCCTGGGTATCGGCGGAAGAGCGCCTTACCGAGCAGTTGTGTGAGGATGCGCACCAGCTCATCGTAAACCAGTGACACACATTTCAAGCTGGGCTCTTCCAAACGCTTGATCTGCTGCTTCACAATCAACTCGAAGGCGGTGGTGCCGACGAACAGGGCAGGAGAGGAGCCGGAAGAGTTGTACAGAATTGTCCGGATGTCCACGTCCTTGACCATGTCAAAGGGGTCTACCGCCTTGACACCGTTCGAGTATAGCTCGTGGAAGACGAAGCTGATTCTTGCACCACCGGACAACTCCGTGCTCGAGAGCTCGGTATTGTTTCCGTCCAGCACAGTCCGCCACTCGTTTGTAAACTCAGTAATAATGTTCAGCACAATGTTGGCGCTGTTGCCCAGCATCGAGGGTCCGAGGCTTTCCAGCTCCGTCGTGTACTTCTGCAGAGAGCTTGAGATTCTGGCCTTGATGTCTGGCAGTGTCTGCTTGATGTGCATCATCAAGATAAGGTTCAGCTTGCGCGCCAAGTATGGTGTACCGCAGTAAGAGCTCTTGTTACGATAAGCCTTGTGGTTTTCAAAAAATGCCCGCTCAGCCTCGAGCGCGGCCTGGATAGGCTTCTTGTTGTCGATATCCCTCTGACCACGGTTCACGACTGGTACATATCCCATGCGTAGAGGAATGATGCGGCCTGCCAAAATGTCGACCACGTCGGTACCCTCGTCCATCAAGTCGACCTTGGTCAGCACACCAATTGTCCTCTGACCCTCGGGGTCGACCTCTCGTGCCAGTTTCAAGCCATCCGAGTTTGCCAGATCGATGTTTGCTGCCGTCACGGCCAGAATGATAGCGTTCGACTTGGCAATGTACTTGACAATCATGTCGCGGATTTGTCTCTCGATGTCGCGTGGTTGGTCACCGACGGGCACTCGAGTGAGACCGGGCAGATCGACGAGGGTCAGGGTCAGAACGTTGGGGGAGTAGATGCGCAGGTTGATAGGAGCAGGCGAGATGCCGGCGTTGCGGCCGACCTTGGCCTCGGTCTCCTTGCTGATCTCATCTCGTATCTTGTTGAAGTCGTAGAACTTCTGGCCGGGTATGTGAAGGAACTCGCCCCATTCGTCAACATTCGCAGCCTTATCGGTGGTTCCCTCAACGCCTTCACTTTCGCCGTTAGTCTGGGCGGTGGCGGGGCGGTTGATGAGCTGCAGCACAAGCGGTCGACGTGTCACGATTCCTGAACCTCGAGGGAGACTGCGCAAGAATGTGTAAGTGGCTGTCTCTATGCATGACAGTTGTGCGCCCAAAGAAGTACACGGTAATGTATCGGCCTAACTTACAAGTCTCTACCCACGATGTTTTCCAGCACGGAACTCTTTCCGCTAGATTGACTGCCAACGACGACTATTTGAGGAAGGTCGATGGGGTTGTTGACACCGACGGTTGTGAAGACATCCTGGAGCTTGTTGACGAGTCTGAGGGCATTCGTTAGTATCTCTGTTCCTGTATCTGACTGAGCAGCATCTCCCTCATAGAGACCTGAAGTGGGGCCCTATAAAAAGGAGGCGCGCAGATGGTGACGATGGTGGGGGATGTGGTGGTTGTGCTGGGACGTACGTGATAAGCGCAGGGTCGGAGATACCGCCCGGCTGGGAGAAGTTGCCAGACATATTGGGTGGTGTGTGTAGTCGCGATGTAGTCGAGGCAGTGGTGGTGGGATGTCAGAGTTGAACAGGCTGTGATGATTGTTGGGTTTTGGGCTTCGCAGGTTGGGTATCGTCAAAGGGGCGGTGGGAGTCGCAAGGGAGGAGGGGCCCTATGCTTTCCAGGTCTCCCAGTCTACTATCGAGAGCTATTTGGCTGTCTTTTCAAAGAGGTATGAGTCGACAATAGAGCAATAGAGAGGCCCGTCGCAGAGGGTATTGCATCAAAGAGGGTTCTGGTTGAATGGAGAAGCTGGTCTTGTTTTGCAGGGTGCAGCAGCACAAGCAGCCGGCAGTCAGTCACAAGGCGATCTAGGTGTGTTGACGTACTAGGGTGCTCTGTACGTACGTACGTATACGTATCGGGCCTGCCCAGGTGCTTTGCTGGCTTTCCGAGCCCACCTTGCAGGGTTAGCGTGGGTTGCGAAGAAGAGACAAGCCACACTGCGGGCCCAAAGGGCCCAGGACCCAATCCCCAGTGGGGGCGGGCTGGCGGGCAGGTGGGCAGCAGACGACAGGCACACTGTGGCTGGAGCCATCGAGGCCGCCCTCCAAGGGTCATAGGCCAGCAACAAGCACATGCTCCCGTCGTTTGTCAGGGGTAAGACGGCCAAGGCCAAGGCCGTCTCGGGTCAGATGGATGAATATTCCGTCCCCAGTTCATCTCAAGTACGTGTTAGTGACACCCTCTTCCCTGACAGACAGGTGCCTGGAATATGATATGAGACTCTCATTTATTCTCGCCGGGTGTTGGAGCACATATTCACAAGTATTGCCTTGTTTTAATGTAGAATGGATGACTCTATGGATTGGGGATTTGCTGGTGATAGCGTTGGCAACGGCGCGATATCTCTATACTTCAACTTCGCCGGCACCATCGTCGCCCTCCCCGAGCCTACAGACATCGGGGCAATACGCCCCAAGGGGTATTTAAGAACCTCCTCCTGCCAACCCCGGCTTCATCCGTCCTTATTCTCAACGAGAACTCGAGCTGCCACGCGCAGCCTCACCCTTCATATTAACCCTGTTGTCTGCCTAAGTACCCTGCCAGCTCTACTCCACCTTCGCCAATGTCTTCCCCCAGACGAGGCAACAGCTTTCCGCCTGGCGTAAAGAAGACGCCGATGATGATTGTCCAAGGAGATGGGGGGTTCTTCCCCCTCGCGTCTCAGATTCCTGGGTGATCCTGTTTCCCACCCACGCCCCTTTCCTACCATTCCCTCCCAAACGCCGCGGCCAGAAAGGAATTCTCGATAAATCTGAACTCCTCAAGTAACATGATTAGACACTTGTATGTACAAGGCCAATGTGCGGTGTAATCAGGGGCTGTCCTGGCCCGCAGAATCCGGGCGTTGGTAAGCTTCTTGCCATAGGTACCGAGAAAAGATGTCTCGACGGAGTTTAGCCCACGAGTCATCAGTCCATATCGAGCGGAACCATTCGTCAACCAAGTAGACGCCTCGGGTTCCGAAATTCGGGCTGAAGTAGACAGGACAGCTGGAACTCCATTTCTGGGTGTAAGTTCCTCTTGCATTACCCATGCGCTCTCGCTAAGAGTGGATTTCGGTTTGTTGGTGTAGTCGTGCTTTGTTTGACCATCTGGAGGGGGTTGTTAGGCACTGTCCCTGCGCATCGAAAACATATCCTCGACTTACATTTTGACTAAGCCATCATCACCACAGGATGCCAGCAGACATGGGTCAGTAGGACTCCAGGCCACTGCGTTGCACCGCGGCCGGTGGGCCTCTAGCTTCGCGACCGAATGTCCACTGTTCTTGTGCCAGATGAACACGGATCCATCTGTTCATACCCCTGTCAGCCGAAAAAGTCACTCAGTGTAGAGTCAAGTGCACCTTACCTTCAGAACCACTGATGACAAAATTCTCGTTGGCGCCACCGAAATCGCTTCTAATGAGAAATTCGCCACCGCTATGGCCTTTGTATTTCTGCACGAATGTTCTGCTGGCGATGTCGAATACCCTTGCCTCACCATCCTGTTTGTTGACCAGAAGATACTTGGAGTCCTTGGTGATGCTCACGGACGTGGGTCTACTAGGCAGCTCCATGTCGTATTTCAGGCTCCTCGTGACAAAGTCGTAGACATGTACGTGGTCCTCGTCATCCATGGCCACCAGCCAGCGGCCGTCAGGCGAGAGGGCCAGGTCCTCTGTGCGGTTCTTTTTGCTCCAGGTATGAAGCTTCTCGCCTTTTATATTCCACGTGCATAATGAGCGCTCTCTGTCAAACGCACCCAAAACAAAAGAGCGGCCATCAAGAGCCCACACGCAGCTGCTGATCGGCTCTGAGAAATGTTCGAGGTGTCGTATCTCCTTCCCAGTCTGCACGGGTATGTCAGCGACGAGGAAGTTGTCGAAGGGCTTATCTGGCACAACTTACGTTCATGTCCCATATCCGAGCATAGCCATCCCGTCCGCAGGTCACAAGCATCGTATCATCCGGACTCCACGCGAGGTTACCGACGCCGCCCTTGAGATCAGTTAAGGTGAGTGCTAGGCTAAGGTTATCCATATCCCAGATAAAAACCTTATCACCTGAGCCGCAGCCTGCCAAGTATTTCCCATTGTGAGAAAAGCGTACTTGCCAGACCTCTCCGTCCGCTTCCATACTCGGTTCTCGGAACTCGGTGATGGCTTCCGTGGGGAAGCGGCTACGATCACAGGTGTGATCCGAGTATAAAGATGGCGAGGATGAGCTTGTGTGCCATATGCAGCTCTCGGCTTGCTGGTCTTTGAACTGCTGCAAGAGAACTGCTAAACGGTGTTCAGGTAACATGACGGATGGCGATATGCATCCTATAAAAAGTGTTAGTTAGTCGTTCTGTAGTGAATAGTTAAGCAGGTTACAAGATTGAAGCGTACTGGAGAGTTGGGATAGCAAGGTATGCCTGGATTCACCCTGGGCACCATCCCATGCCGCCTTCGCCTTGACGTCGTCTGGTGTCCGACACATAATCAAGGGGGAAAGAGATTCGGCACCGTTGCGATTCAGAGGTGTCAATTCGTTTCGGAGTACGGTGAGAGCCGGCCTGTAGTCCCCTTGCTCAAGTAGCTCCAGGAACTTTTGTTGCCGTATGCGGAACCTCATATCGTCGCGGTCGACTCCCTCTGCCAGGACAAGGCCGTTCCCAGCCCGGCTTGCGCCATCACCAGCAGTAGCAGCTCCGAACAGCAGCTGCTCCGCCTCGGTCCACTTCCCGTTCAATACTGCCGACCTGAAGGCCGCTACCGTAGGGCTCTCCAGCTCATACCCGCTCTCCCTGCTTAGATTCTCGGCGGCCGACTGATAACCCATCTCGGAGAGGGCCTGGATCATGAGGCGCGTCACCTCCTCCCTGTCATGGCCTATATAGTCAAGAGGAGGGCCCCGTGCCGCGGCCTTCCCATTCTGCACCGAGGAGCCATTCACCGACGAACTAGCAGCCTTGTGTGTTCCATTAGTCGACGGCGCAGCGAAGGATCGTTGTGGTGCCCGAGGTTCGGTGGTAACCGCCCTGGTTGTCCCGTTTGAACTTGCCTCTCCATCGCCGTCAGCTGACATGCTGCCTGTGCGCGTACGTTTGGATGCTCGCGAGTCGGTCGGATGGTGCGTGGCAGGGGAGCTCGAGGCTCCTTCAGGGAGCTGGGCGGAGCCGTCGTCGGCGTCGACCCGTCGTCTCCGGCCAAGCACCTGGCGGGTGCCGGAGTCGGTCGTCGAGGCACGAGCTCCGTGTCTCGGGGCGTCTGAGCTGGGGCGTGGCACGGTTGGGTCGGCGCTGTGGTGCTGGGAGGCCGCAGCTCCGGTCGAGGATGGTGCAGAGATGTCAGTGCTGGAAGGAGGTCGAGGGTGTGGCGTGCTGGATGGGTAGTCGGCGCTGGATGGGGTTGTTATGGGGGCGGGTGAACGAGGGCTTCGTTCCGCCACGGCGTCTTCTGCAGGAGTCTCTATCTCCCGCTGCGTATGTCCGCTGACGGGGCGGAATCTGGGGGATAAGATGATGATATCGTGTCTGGTACAGATCGGAGAAGCTCAGGTGAGGGTTGATTGCCTGCTGGAGAGTGTGTCTGGAGCGTGTTCCTGTCTGTCTTGGGGCGAGTCGTCCCGGAATGTATGGACGATGTATGTGGAGTCTACAGGAAGGGTCAGGAGGGCCTGGATGACGGCATCCGCAGGGTTTGGGTCATCTGGACAATGCAGCAGGCTGCTGGCAGAGGCTGCTTATCGTGCTGCTGCTTGTGTAGCTGCTTGCCTTGCTCGCCCTTGTTCGCAGTGTAAGTAAAAGCAAAGAGATGCTGGGGATGGTGTGCTGTGTGCTGATCAGGCTTGGGGTGATGTCCAGCCACAGGAACATTGCCAGCTTGCAACGGAGGTGATCTGGTTGATGGAATCGACACATGTAGCCAAAGAAGCAACCTTGAAAGGGTGGGATACACCACCCACCGGCAGCACCTCTGGACAGGGATATGTTGGGCTTGGGGAACCTTGGGGTGGCGCTGGTTCGCTGGGAGGGGTGGTGGGGAAAGGGAAAGCCACCTAACAAGCCCAACCTAACAACAGCCCCAGGTCATGATAGGACCAGTTCATTCACTAACAGTGCTGGCTACGGAAGGTTGTTTCTGCCCCTCCAGAAGATCCCAAGCACCTTCCCAGGATGGGGCTGCGAGTGTGACGGCGGAGGGGACTTACCTATCTCAAAACCCTCCCTTTCCTTTCTGCCTGTTCTAATCTTTGCTACCTTGAGTATCTATCAGTACCATATGAGCAGCACCCAAGAAGTGAGCTAGCTGATCCTTTTAGACGATGACCACATCTTGCTCCAGTAGGCCGCGAAGATAATGCGCTGTGTTGCGGCAACAGCGGCTCAGGGGAAACATGTGGCTGATCAAGTGCTCCTTTACTGTTGAGGGCGAGCAGCCTCTTTTCCAACTCCCAATTCCGGGAGCTAACTTGGGCAGCTGATGACACCCTTTGGGTCAGGTGAGATAACCGAGTTCCAGATCCGAGAGCGTCTTTTGGCCTCTGCTCTTGGCCGGGTATACAAGGTCAGGGCGGTTGTTTTCAATTGCCATCTGGTACGGCACGGCAGAGCAGAGTACGCAGTGATACAGATTACCATGTGATGGCCATCTACAGATCTAGCTCACCATCCAGGCTACTACTACTGCTGGTCCTGCTGGTCCTGCTGCTCATGCTGGTGGTGGCCTCCGATGCCCATTCAACTGCGTCCTCTTACACACACACACACCTGTACGGTACTGTCCGTGTCTCCAAATGTTTCAACTCCTCAACCCAGACGCTGGCGATGGACCCGGGCACGCTAGAGTTACAGCCAACCGGCGCCCCAGGCGATTGGATCGTCCTCAGCTGGGCAGCATGAAAGCCTGCCTGCGCCTGTCTCATCCATCTGTGGCGCACACGCGATGCTGGACGCATGATTCGCCTCCTCGGCTGTCGCGTAGCACCCGTAAGGTTGGCTGCGAAAAAGGTTGGGAAACCCCTCTCTTACTTGTCCTCACCCTCGGACTTGAGGCTTAGAAACCCGATAATAGGGGGCAACGCACCTGAGACATCAACAACAACAACTGGATATGCATTGAATCCAGTTGTCCGCTTCTCTTTTTCCGATCTTCCCGGCAAGAATATATTGAGAATCTGACTTTTTATTGTTTTCTCTTCACTGTGGTCGCTATTAATTGATGAAGTGTCTCCACGTCTCTTACTCTTATATCCCTCCACCCTAGGCTTTACACACAGGACCAGCGGGGAGAGGAATCCATGTTATCCGAGGGTTTTGCCCCGGCGCCTGAGCGCAACCCTCACCTTTACGGGCCAAGGGCAAGGCAGAACAGGGCAAAATGCTCACAGCTGGCCGCGGATTTCTTCAAGGACAGCGTCAAGCGAGCTCGTGAGCGGAACCTACGGTTAGTGCCGATGACTCCCAGTGGTCTTGGTAGGCTGAGACGCTGAGGCCCATGTAGCCAGAATGAGTTGGAGCAACGTTTGAGGGACCCAAGGTGCAGCCAGGAGACATCTTGGACCAACGCAGGAAGGCAAGAAGCCAGGTATTTGCGGTTTCTCAGGACCCGCAACAAGGCCGACGACTATGAAACCATCAAGCTCATTGGCAAGGGCGCGTTCGGCGAGGTCAAGCTGGTGCGCAAGAAGACTGACGCCAAGATCTACGCTCTGAAGTCTTTGGTGAAGACGGAAATGGTCGCTGGGGACCAAGTGGCCCGGGTGCGAGCGGAAAGAGACATACTCGCAGAATCTGACAGCCCATGGGTCGTCAAGCTCTTTACGACATTTCAGGACACCAAGTTTCTGTACATGTTAATGGAGTTTCTGCCAGGGGGAGACCTGATGACGATGTTGATTAAATACGATATATTCAGCGAGGACATAACGAGGTTCTATATCGCTGAGATCATCATGGCTATCGAGGCCGTTCACAAACTGGAGTTCATACACAGGTGCGTACTACCACCAGCTGCCACAGATATGAGCAGAAGTCAATTAACGCTGAGATACAGAGATATCAAGCCAGATAACATCCTGTTGGATCGAGGTGGCCATGTCAAGCTCACAGATTTCGGTCTTTCAACCGGCTTCCGGAAGTTACATGATAATAACTATTATCACCAACTCTTGAATGGCGGCGCGGACGGACCCTCTCGCAATTCACAGAATTTCAATCGATACTCTGTTAATATCGACCAGATCAGCCTCACTGTCAGTAACCGCGCACAAATCAACGAGTGGAGAAAGTCGCGTCGATTAATGGCGTACTCTGCTGTTGGCACACCGGATTGTGAGAATCTTACAAGAATAATCATTCTAGCCCTTGTGACTGATCACTGACTATATTGTAGACATAGCGCCTGAGATCCTGACGGGTAACGGGTACTCTTTTGACTGCGACTGGGTACGCGAACATCTTCCCCTTTCTCTTCACCACTACTGCTGACTGGCCAAATTACAGTGGTCACTGGGGACAATCATGTTCGAGTGTCTGGTCGGCTGGCCCCCTTTTTGCGCAGAAGACCGGCGAGACGTCTACCGGAAGATAGTCAACTGGCAGCACTGCCTCTACTTCCCAGACGACGTCCGAGTAGGCCACTATGCCCAGCACCTCATTCGAAGGTACGCGTGCCCCAAAAACACACACACTACCAGAGTCCTTGACAGCAGTCAACCCCGTGCCTCCCCTCACAACCTATCGTACCTCCATCACTCCCCAGCTAACCCAACCCCGTAGCCTCGTCTGCAACAGCGAGAACCGCCTCGGCCGCAGCGGGGCCCACGAGCTGAAGAGCCACCCCTTCTTCGCGGGCGTCGACTTCGACAACCTGCGCCGCTTCCGCGCGCCCTTCGAGCCGCGCCTCACGTCCGACATCGACACCGCCTACTTCCCCACCGAGGATCTGGAGCAGCAGGCGGCTGCAGCCATGGAGATCGACGGCGGGCTCGAGGCCGCCGCCGCGCCCGAGCCGCAGGAGACACCCGAGATGACCCTTCCCTTCATCGGGTACACCTTCAAGCGATTCGAGAATAACTTCCGCTGAGGTGCTCCAGGGCGACCGTGTGGGCTTGGACTTGTGCGTGTGGCCTGTGGGAGAGACGAGCAGCTGGTATACTGGCTGGCTGGCTGGCTGGCTGACTTTCTTGCTCTTTTTGGGATGGCGGTCTTTGGGTTTGGGCACTCGGAACGGTCCTTACTGTACTTGATGCTTCTTGTACATTCTGGCCTGTTAGATTTCGCTGTCTCGCCAGGGTTTTGGGTACAATGAAACTCACACATTCCAGGACAGCGCCTACAAGACTAATGAGGATATCATGATTTACATGCTGGCCTCATGAATCCATACCATACTTCCCCGAGCTGCGCCTCACTCTGGCTGAATCTGACCTCCATCGAAATGTTAGCCCCTATATCTGTACTTTGGTCAATAAACACCTAAATGAGCTTGGATACCAGCGATGGACTGCCATCCTTCACATACCGAATCGCATTGGATAAACTCGGTCACTTCGGCGTGGGCATTCGACATGAGATTGAACACCGCCGGTACCGAATATTGACCCGTGGAACCACCTAGAGAAAGACAAGCTTACACGACGGGTGGGACATATGTTGTCTGTGTGCCATATCGTCTTGGGAAACTTCCGACATAGCGATCAGATCAGACAGCCACCTTCCGACCGCTCTTACGATCGTTGCCACATCTGAAGCAGAACACTCCTCAGCAAGGAGTCCAAGCTATTCAAATGCGGCCTCAACGAGTGTCCCGAGCCATTCACATTCACTCAAAACGCGCCTCTTGTTTGACAGCAGGCTCGGCCCCGACCTCAAGAGCCGCGCAAAGCTGCCCCATTGTTACAAGTCCTCCAGCCTCGGCAGCACCATCGCGATAAGGGACGCCGCACCCAGAGGCCCGCGCCGTAATGCAAGCACACAACAGTCAAAGAGAGCAAGAACAGCCTCCCAAAACATGGGCCCCTCGCCAGACTGGCCCCCTGTTCCAGCAGGAGGCCGTAAGGGGAGGGCGTACGTAAGTGCCTTCCGTCATCAGTCACTTCTCAACTTTGCTATGGCCACCAAGGCTTTTTTTCCCCGCGTGGGATTTTATGTATACATGTGGACGGTCTAGGCGTGGTGGATGTTCTCGGCCGGGGGCCAATCGCGCGTTAAGCGTGGGTGCTCCGCGCAGGAGCCGCTTACGCGAGCCCGGCTGATGCAGTATGCAGGGCATAGGTTTCATGTATATGTGCTTTTAGTTGGAATCCCCATTTGTGAGGAGGTGTTACGGGCGGGACTTGAGACTGTGTGCCACGTGCTTACTATCACGACATCCTGAGATGTTTAGCCGTTGTTTTGCCGCCTTCTTCTTCCACGTCGATGCATTTTGATAGGGGGTTGTGACTGATCGTTGGACTCAGTAGAGTGGCGATGGCAAGTATTACCGAGCGACATGGTTGGACTCCTTGTTTGGAGGCGCGACAGCCCAGGTGCCTTAGTTCAAACCGACCATTCTTTCTTCGCAGCTGAAGATGTCTCCGGGTGGAAATAGTCTCTATTGGGACACGAGATCAGGTTGCCCCCGGCGGTGGATGATAAGCAGGCGTGGCGTTCTGATGCCTGTCGAACTGTCAGCCGCTATGACAAGTGATTGACCACCGAACAGGAAAGGAGATTGCCGGGGCACAACTCCTTGTTCTTGCGACAGCCTTTTTCCATCCTGCGCAGTACCTCTAGAAATATGCCGTGGACGCCATCTACCCATGATGGCCTCGCCGCTGTCACAGTTCCTGGTCTATCTGCAGGTGATATGTGACATTGGCGGGCTGAAATACCAACATTGATCGGCACAGGGGCGGTGAGGTTTCTGGCCAGAACTTTGTGCAAAGAAGCAGCATGCCAAAGTTAACATCCAACGCTGACAACCTGCCAACCCTAAAATTGCTAGTATTGTCGAGGCCATTTTCTCGCTTAATACCATCAGAACACATCAACACCCCATCCTGATGCATAGCCGAGACGGGTGGCCAGTGACCACCATGACATATCACTTATAACACCACTCTTATGACCCGTCAGACGACCAGGGGCCTGACAGTCGTTCAAGAATCAACAACCACATTCGGTTTTGCTGTGATCCTGGTATCAGAGCTGAGTAAGAATCTGGGGACAGGCCCCAGCAGCATCTTCTCGTCACTTGACTACCTCCCCTTGCTCAACGAATCTATTCCTGGCGATGTGCTGGTGCCTGATGGACTCCCTTGAACAATTTCGTGCTCCTTACCCATTAGCATTACTCGTGCCCGTCTGAGTAGAATGAGAAGTTGGCCAAGCGATGCTCGTCTAAACAGAGACTGACAGGTACAATAAAGTGCTGCCTGAGGCGCTGGGGGCTCGAGGGCGGGAGGGTCTCTCCAGGTGGGCCTGCGCTGAACTGTTCCCGACGTCGTAAAGATCGGGGCCCCGATCTGTGATGAAAGATGCGTCACTCGAACAGGGTGTCGGTGATCGCGTCTCAGCTGCGCGCAAGAAGGCAGGCCCGCGGTGGTGATCATCGCGGGCAGGTGGCATCAGACTGGCCAGGTTGGGGGAGACAGGGCACGGCAGGAGATGAGGGCACGGCCTGACGGAGCGATCAGCAAAAGCTTCAGACTCCAATATCGTGAGCATCCATCCTCAAACCCCTCGGATGCCACTGCTCCGATTGCAGCATGGTCATCATGGGACCCGTTGGGGTGGATCATGTCATTAAACATTACCGACGACCCGGATTGCCTCACCCTGTCGATCGGCGGTACTTTTGTAGCTTCCCATGCGCTCGGTTTTTTGCTTGCCGTGCGGTACCCAGACACTCGGTATCAAAGTTTCGACAAAGGTGCTGCGGCCGACCCTGGACGCTGGAGCCACCAGAAGGAATGGGGGTCTTCATGGAGATGAGAGGACAGTGCAAAGTGGGATGAAGGCATATGTTGGCAGCAGCGACGATCACGGAGAGTGAAGATGGGCCCTGAAAGGCAAGCGACATCGACATGATACGAGGTCTGCCTCATAATGGATCTCGCCATGACGTCCACCGCGTGAAAAGATAAGACTCTCGGTTGATGGCTCTCCGTGGTGTCGGAGCGTGCATGTGCTCGCTTCCAAAGAAAGCATGTCGTTGGTAGGCCTTCCGAATCTGGCCGTCTCACCTTTACGAGCCAACCCACCTGTTAAACCCAGATGGTTGGTACGATCCGGGGTAAGACACGACGACTTTGGGTTCACACACTGCTTGCGAGCAGGTTCCCCTTCAGACGAATCCACTTTGACTGCCCCATTCTGGCTGTGGACCGGCCCCTGCGCTATATGTGTGTGCAACATATCTGACGGGGTTTTGTTTCTGAACACCTCGGCAGTCTCCCAACGCTCTGGGAATATCGTCAAGGGTGCCGGTTGTGTTTGGAGCCCGATCATATTTTTCGTGTCATCCTAGATGCCTGGCTGGCGGAGCGGGACGGGCCTGGAAGACGTCGCGACCTTACCCGCAGTGACTTGCGGAACACGTCCACACAACAGAAGCCATCGCCTCGGCTTGATTCCGCATCGATAGAACAGTAGTGCGACCGCCGTGGTGCAGAAGACAAACAAGTACGAGACCTAGGCTCCCTAGCAAAATGTCCGAACGGGCCGAAGGGGGGAGGGCCTCGGTAGCACCGGGGCTCTGCCAGCACCTAGTGCAAGCTATCGATTCTTTCAGCCCCAGGGACCAAGGGGGAGATTTGCAGAAACAGCGTAGATCAGCTTGGTGGCGCCTCAACGGTTGTCAGCCACAGTTGGTCGTCGAGCAGGTGAAAGACACCACCAACCAGCAGGCAGAGCCACGAGGGCACCAACTACTACTGTACACACGTGCGAGGATGCTAGTGCATGCGGCTGGGACTGTGACAATTCGGCCGACGCTCTTGATCCTTCAGGACTCCAGGGCCCATTAATGGAGGCGAACTTAAGACGCGACATCGGCGAACAAGACGAGCTTGATACAAAGGCCGAGGTTGGTGACATTTTGGCGGGTAAACCACGTGGCGCGGTCAGCACCAACGCTCCAACGCTCGGAAGATGGGCGAGCAAGCACGACACGACAGGTGCCAGGTGCCAAGAGCCAAGCGGCTGAGTGAGCAAGTGGATGCAACTGTCCGTCGTGCAGTGGTGTGACCGAGTCAAGAAGCAGTCCTAATGCAGGGGCTGATGGATGGGAACAGACAGCTGCAAGGCTGCGAGATGGTCTGCCAGGCCTGGATGGCCGGACGGGATGATTGGCATCGGCGTTGGCATGTTGTGGCTGCCTGCAGCTGGAGAGAGGATCAATGCGGTTGGTCAGGCGAGACTCGAGCAAAGTTCTCTAGTTTCAACGAATTGAGGAAGACGCCGGGGTTGATGCCTCAAAATGGAATATGGTCTGCGCCTAATTTGAGCAGGAGGAGGCAGGTGCTGAGCAGAATCCAGCAGCTGTGCTTTGTCTGTTCGGGGTACGGAGCAATTCTTGGACCATAGAGTCGCAATCAATCCGCAGCCCTGGACAGCTAAGTGATTGAGTGACTGAGCGAGTGAGTGGCGCCGGTTAAGGAGGCAGCGTTGTAGGGGACCAGGTCTCGAATGGTCGGGCCGGTCTGCTTGAAGGCGGCCCAAATTGGAATATTGAGAGCTTACTGCAGCAAAAGCAAGTCTCGATGCGGGCAGATCCTGAAGGCGTCAAGTGCCGAGGAAAAGCAAAAAGGGAACAGGGGGTTTGACAGCAGAGGCCATCGATGAAGCCATCACGCCCAGAAGCCGAGCCCAGCCCAGCTCAGCCCAACCAACCAACCATCAACAACCTGCACTTCCATCTGCACCTGCACCTGCACCTGCACCTGCACGGGATTCGGAATACCGGCGGATAGAATGGAGATGATGCTCTCTACCCGAGATCCGCTGGGGTTAGGCTTGCGATGCTAAGATCGATCCCAGGTACCGTGCTGCCCACAGTAGAGAAGATTCTCCAGGCGTCTGATTCGGTTGTTTACGTGTACGCGGGTGCTGTGTATGTGTAATAAGATTGCAGTCAGGCGGTGAGGTCTCAAGGCTGGAGACTGTCAAGAGGAGGGCGGCTTCTCAGGGCTTCTGGGCTCATCTTGGACGGGACGGGGCCAGGCCGCTCCACTTGACGGCTTGACAGGTTGACGAATCGAAGACGTGCTCGTTTATTGAGGTTGGGATTGTGTTATTAGCCTGATTCGGGTAGACCCGTCGATGGGCTTTGCAGGGGCCCACACAGTGGCATCAGAAACATCAGACGAGAAAAGGGCACAAGGGGGTAAATGTCATGACGGGTTGGAAGGGCTGGACTGTATAGTCTAGCAAGTAGACTGCCAAGGTGAGCACTGAGTACATGCCATAATCTAGGCACCTAGGTAGACAGACTTGGAGGTGGAGGTGGAGGTGAAGGAAGGGAGCAAGCTGCAGTGGCAGGCAAGACTTCGCACACCAGACTGGCCCCTTCTACGTCTGTACCTTCACCACCCACCGCCACTGCTCCATTACCATGACACCGACACCACGACACAGTCAGTCTCAAATCTCCTCGATCATCTTCCGACACTGACGACGCCATGACTCTCTTCCGTCGGCAGTCCAGATCACTCGACTGTGGGCAGCGCACTGTATCGTGCTGCGACTGCAGCTGCATCTGCACCATGCACCTGCGTCTGCACCTGCGTCTGCACCTTTCCATGCCCGCTGCAGCTAGCTCAACGGGCGCGTGTCGCAGCAGATGCAATCGAGCTGCGAACTGCATGCGCAGCATCTCGGTTGTTTCATCAATCTACACAGCAGACTACTGTAATAAGATGACTCCTGTATACGAGCCGCTCTCACCACCTTCTTTCCAACAAGGTGACATGGCCTCGCAACCGTTGCAACTCAGACGACGTTCCGTGCCGCCCCCCCGCGCGCGCACTTTCTGCTTCGCTCTGCTTCGCACTAGAGCACAGTACAGCACCAAGACATGGAGAGAGAGTACTGGGCCATTCTGGAGCATCTGGTCCCTGAACCCACCCGTCGGGTCTCACGAGTGCACCAGCTAGGATTGGAGACCCCAGAGTCAAAGCGCAAAGTAAGCGACTTCGGGGTCGCGATCCAAAGGAAACAAGAAGAAGGAAAAGAAAACACCCAAAAAACACAGGCCCACAGCCCCTGTCGTGCCGTCTGCCCGGTTCAGTCCAGCCAGCAGCACTCGCTCAGTTCTAGACCAAGTCCCCCTGCCCTGCGTGATGATTCGTTGCCAGAGGCCGTGTCACTGTTGATGAGTGCAGCGCATCAGCAGCTTTGAGGGCAATGCGGAAGATTTTCAAAACTTCCCCGGCATAGATCTCTCGTCTCTCGCTCGCACCAGTCGAGCGAATCCAAGCTCTTGCGTCCTCTTGTTACACTGCAGCTTGCGAGCAGGGGATGATGTTGCATTCCCATCGTTGGGACCTTCAAGGCTTGAACGCAATCGCATTGCGGACAAATCTGACCAATCCTAGCCGCATGTAAAAGGGGGATCCATCTCGCAACTGGGAAGCCCGCCGGCTGGCACGGTCAGAACACTTCAAGCCACATGCACATGCGCGTCGCCGCTGGGGGGTGGTCACCTTGACCTTCACCTGACCTGAAGACTCCTGTTCTCGGACCATACTTTCTGCTCGCGCACACACACCCATTAACGCCAGCACCCGGAGGGGCGCAGGCCAACCCGTGTGCCGGTATCATCTCCGAGAGCCTTCCTCACTGGAATTCGCCGTTATTGCGACGACGTCTTTCCCGCATCTTGTTGAGGTTTTTTTTCCTTTCTTCACTTCCAACAAGCGGCGTCAGTCCGTGGTTGAGAGGTGCCCACACAGTCCAGGAGCAACGGGTTTCCTGCAAATGTACGTCCCTCACGGGTACGCACAGAGCTCGTCCTAGACCACCCGTCGTCAAAAGCCAAAATACATCTTTGATCGGCAATGGAAGCTGTGGAGTGTTTCTCCCGCCGGTGGGAAACTGGAAATTGGCAGGCCCTGCATCCCATGGTTCATGGATGGCGACTTCTCCCTGCCGGCTGCAGAAATTCAATTCGCTTGATCAACGAGATCCACCTGCATCTGAGGAGGGAGCTCGCTCCGGCCCTGCTCTGGGTTATTGGAATCGCCCCCAACCCAGAACAGGACCTGACCCATGTCCATGGATGTGCGTGTGCCTGAAGAGTAAACCGGCCACGCTTGCGACTACCACAACAGAGGTGTGCTAGGTGTGCGCTAGGAGGAATCTACCGCGCTGGTACACAGTACCCCTGGCCAGAGAGAGATTCGCCCTGGTCCGTTTCAGGCCTGTCAATATCCATCGCGTTTTATTACAACCCTCCCGGTCTCTTTTTTTTCCCTTCTTCGTTTAATCTGTATGGTACCCACATGCACGATCTGGTTGCAAGCCGCCCCTTTGATCAATGAACAGACGACATGCATGGAGGCCACCTTTTATGACCACATCGGCCAATTGTCTCGTCTAGATTGCGTCCCATGGGTTATTTCTTCTAGGCTTGTCCCTGTCCTTTCCCGCATCCAGATGAAGAAGACTGTGTCTCTTCTTCCCTGCTGCAGTGCTGGCAGGCAGTGACCCTTCACCTTCCCAAGAATCCATCCGTTCATACCCATCACTACCCTCCCCTCCCGCTACCTTGACCGGATCCTCGGTGAAGGGCAGGGTGTGCTTGTCTTCTGCTGGGTTCGAAGAAAAAAAAACAAGGACGAGAGAGCGAGAGACACAGACAGGCTGGCCACCTGCAACCCTTATCCCGACCTGGCCCCATATTGAAACGCATTGCATTTCTTCTTCATCATGTGTGTCGGTTAATGCCTAATTATTACTTGCAACTCACTTCATCTCGTCCTCAACTGTGCATTTCTTTTTGCACAGAGGATCTAAGGATTCTCGAGGTGAACCTGACAAAGTGGCTCACCCACATCAGACCGGTCTGTAAAGTACGACAATATGGAGGGTTATCTCGCTGTCCCGCCTGACAGGGGAACAATCCTAGGACGAGCGTTGTGGAAGGTGTGCACCGCCCTCGTCCCCTTCCGCCTCACCTTTGCTCCTGCTGTTCTGACATCAAAGAGAGCAGACCCGTTACGTAGTTCTTGGGAGCGCTTCCCAACGGGAAGTGAAGCCCGAGGACTCCCCTTCTCAAGCCCAGCCAGGCGCGCGTGGCAAGGACGGCCGAGGAACATCTCGAAGTCAGAGCAATATCTCATTCGATGGCACCACCTATCTATCTATATACAAAGCCTCGGTGAGATCGACCCATGCCGTGCCACTCCCATGCGCAACTTGTACCAAGTTGACTGACTTTATCCTTTCCCAGGACGACCGGGAACCTATTCAACAATATGCCGTCAGCACCATCGCCCAGTGCCAAGTTCAGATGGTCGCGCATCGCAAGCAAGGACCAGTGCTACCAACACTCATCGTCACCATTGTCCCTGATCCTGCCACAGACAAGCTTCGCAAGCGTCGGTCGAGTCGAGCAGCAGGTCTCGTTGCTTCGAGCAGGGAGTCCGGTCCAATGAGTCTATGGTTTCGAGCCGAAGAGGTGATTCGTGAAGGCCAGAGTCTCCACGACTGGGCGAGGGCCATACAAGCCACGATCCAACCAAACATGCCCGACGTGACCCCGATGAGCCCGATGTCGCCGGGCTCCAACAGTTTCAACAATCCATTCACGCAACGACAGCCGCGCGATGCGTCCGAGTTCTACCCAAATAGACCGCCTAGCGCTCCAAAATCCTCGCTGCAGCACAAGTCATCCACGGCGACGGGCTCGAGCCGGGAGAGACCCCTCACATTCTCAGACACTCCAAGTTTGCGATCCCGGCGTAGCGACATCTCATCACTGACCGGCATCAATGTGCCACCACTTGCGCCACACACCTATGCTTCAGTGATGCCATCCGACTTGCCCTCACCTGCAACCACGGCAGGAGGACACTACGGCGGCTTTATAGAAGGATGGACATCAGCACAAGGGCGATCTTCAACTTTGAGCTCCCCAGTACGGAACGTACGTGACAGCATGGGATCCATGCCTCCGTTTTCCCCACCGGCAACCATCGAGTCTGGCTCACCGCCAAATGCGCGAGAGACGATCCTGGACAGAGCGTTCCAGCTGCATTGCATCCCAGGATCCGATCAGCAAATTCCAGGTGAAGAAAAATTGAGCTCGCTCGCCCGCTTCGAAGCCTTGATGCAACAAGCCGATGAGCAGAGGAAAGGCAGGGAACAGAGGCCTCAGACAATGGTGAGGCGGCCTGCCTCGCCGCCGGCCTCACCACCACACTCGTTGCAACAACCTCAATTACGAAGCGCTTGGGACTTGGACGACTCTTCCGATGACAATTCAGTAGATTCGGACTCGGACTCGACCCATGGCGACTCTGGATACGGGCAAGAGGAAGATATGGAGGAAGACCCGGCAAGCATCCGTGCACGGTCACGCCGGACACTCGGCTATGTGTCTGGGCGGCGAACGCCCCCGGGGCAATCTCAGTCCCCTCGTAGTACGACGGGACCTCGATCTCCGATCGCCTTCAACCCTGAGACGCTGATGGCTTTGAACAGTGGGTCCAACCTTGGTCGAGGCTCTTCCAACAGGCCGGTTTATGCTCAGAGATCGTACAGTCAAACCCAAATAACCGGCCTCAGTGGCTTGAACCTGAGCGTCAGCCAGCAGGCTCTCGATGCGTCGCCGGGGAGGAGCAGCGTCACCTCACGCAGAACCTCGATCCAGGAGAGCGTCGGCGGGCTCAACCCGGCGGCGGCACTGTACCGGACGAGCACGATCGCCGAGGGACAGAAGCGGCAATCGGTAGCGAGCAACAGTAGCAAGAGGCTCAGCTTCACCGAGTTCACAAGAAGGCTCAGCAGTACTGGCAGCCTGCTACTCAACGCGAGCCCTAGCGGGGAGACGGAAGCCCAGCCAGCTGGAACGCCTCGTTCGGCAATGCAGCCCCGTGGGCCGCCGTCCCTTTTCAACTCACCCAATAACGACAGGGGCCACTCAACGGACCGCAACGCCCGCGATCAGGCATGCAGCAACTGGCGTAACGGTGCGGGTGTGCTTGGTGGCGAGGGTGGCTTTCTGTGAGAGCCCACGTCCACGACCACGGGTGGCGGTGTACCCGAGGATTCATATCTGTGATCAGCCTGCAGGCGCCGACGCCTGTCATCTGGGGGACTCGCAATCCGACTGCTTTTGGACGCACCGGACCACCCAGCTCATCTCTACAAGACCAAGGCCTGTGCCACGATCAACACGGAAAGGACCCATCCCGGCTGATTCTGTCAAGGCTACTCCAGGTCGCTCTTCATTTCTTGCATCAGGAACTTACACAAAATTGTAATGCTTGTCTTCACCTTTGTTTTCCAGCTAAGCAACTCATGACTGTCATGACCCCATCCATCATACTATCACGGCCGGAACTTTGTGGCACAAGGCACACAGATACATCAACATTAAACAAGCAATGGCGTTCAAACTGCTTTCCACCCCGATATCCCGAGCCGGCCTGCAATTGTCATTTTTAAACCCCCTTCCTCCCCTTACCCGGGGCTACAATGGAAGGCAACAAGCATTGAAACTTTTTCTTCTGCATTCGAGGTTTTGGTTTGAGAGAAGACATGGGAACGAGGGAGGCATTAGGACGGGATGTCTGCAACATCCAAAACAAACCTTGATACTGTGCGCATAGGCGGGGACAGACCTTTGCATATATATACATATACATACCTATATATCTCAGCATATATTGCGTTTACTTTCTTGTACCTATAATTTTCACAATTTCTTCGCCGCTGAGAGCGTTGCTAGCTTCTCTACTTGATACATAGTCTTCGTAGGATCCCTACCTCAGCACGCTGGGTCGAGACGAATTGCATGTTACCATTACATATCGCGGACCGGTCTTCCCTGGCCTTTGTCAGTCCCCCACCTGTCCTCGTGACATCGGGCGGAGTGACAAACCCCATGCGACTCTACGTCGTGACCGTGGTTCCTTGCACTGCAAAGGTGATGGCGAATGCCACCCCCGGGCGCGACGTTCAGGCCCCCAGGTGGCAACGCCCACGGGTCTGCTCAGGCCCGCGGCGCAACCCCGCGGCAGGCCCGCGGAAACAAAAAACGTAAACGGTCGAACAGCACGATGCAACGCCAGATCTGATCGCATCACGGCAGTTAATCTATGTGAATTCGCTCGGCGCCCCCTGTGCGAACCAGGAATCTGGGGCTGCTGCGGGCAATGCATGCAATCCCCAGGGTGTGTTGTGCATGTATGTCTGACAGGAGATCTTTGCGTGGTCGCAGTCGGTCCGAACGGAGAGGGAGGGGTCTGGCTGGAGAGGTGGACTCATCAAGAAAGAGACGTGTTCGTGTGGGCATTGCAGGCTAAAGTGCTTTGGGACTCTGTTGTATTCGCGTCTCAGTGAGGTCAATTAACATGGTGCGCTGCCGAGATGAGCGTCTCTGGTGCCCGGGATCATAGTCATGGTTGTGTGTGTGAACCTGATTTGACTTACTCGGAGCAGTGGGCTCTCTCTATTAGCGGCGTCATGTCGTGGTAGATTAGATGTTCCAACATGACCGACATTGCCTGCCTGGCTGATACCATTCTCCGGCGCCGTTTGCTCTTTTTGGACTTCTGGCAGCGCATTATTTCCAGGTCAATATCGATGCTATTGCGATATCATCATGTGGGGAGACGACAGTAGTAAAGAGAAATTCAAAGTTAAGACAAGAACAACACCATTTGTCCTGCCTCACATAATCCCTCAACAAGCTACTGCAACACACCATCTGAATAATCATCTCAAACTTTTCATGCCGCTCCTCGCTGAGCTTGAATTTTCGTCTCCAAAATGGAATCACTTCGCTGACCGGAAGATACATGGACCGGACGAGGAGGGGCAATAAGGGGAGGCAAAGGGCGGCCTTGGCTCAGGGATCTGGTTGAGTTTGTACACACAGACTCATCCACGGGCTCACGGGAGCCTTGCCTGCTATTCATCATCCAATGAATGACCATGGCTGAGAAAAGAACTTCAGACGATATTAATCAGCACAGCTCGTGATCGTATGTGAAGGTTTGAGGCCTTACTATCGCTGGTACAACAGGTCATACATAACCAAGCAACCTCGCCCCGCAAAGCGACGACGACAATGCAATTTCTGTGAACTGTTAGCAAGCTCTCGCCAATCACACCTTAGAAATCTCACAGTAGACTGCTACCCATAGTGGCCAACGAACCTATGATGGTTCTTTTCGCAAGCTGCCGAAGTCTTCGATTTGGAGGATTAGATGAACTGGCAACACAGCCCAGGTAACGAAAACCGGTGGTCGATTGTAGCCAACGTAAGGAATATGTGTCTAGTAAATGGTTAGAACAGAAAAGAAAAAAGAAGTTGCTCAACTTACGAAGCAATGGCTGCAAAAATAGGATGGTAAGGTATACCTGGAAGGGTGATGAGCATCCGTCCAACAAGCTTCCATGCAATATTCTTACAGTGGCGATTGGATCAATTGCAATAAGCGGTATCATAGACTGCCAACGGAAGGTGATCCGACAACCGCTTCCGTACAAATCATAGATGGTACTAGAGGCATCAGAAACTGGTCTCGAGTAAAAAGTGAAGACATTGACTCACTCAGCAATATTGTAACTGCTGATCGTCGAGTATATGACTGGGGACATGATCAGCCAAAGTGCTGTGTACCAATAGTCGCAGCAAGCTGAAAAGGGATATAAGGAAGCATTCGCTTATCCTACCTAGGACAAGGAAGCAATTCCAAAGGTATAGCTTCGACTTGAGTCTCGTTTTCTTGGTACTGCGGATGACGTGCTGTGCTTCGCGTCAGCAAGATTTGGTTTCTTCTGATACCCTGGACATAGGCTTACCGCACGATCTACAAGGAATAGAAAAATGAACTAGATCGTAGCGTTAGTGAGAAGAGTCGTTTTTCAAGCCCGAAGTACTGACGATCTAAACAGTATTAGCACATTATGGCCCATCTGAACTCTAGTGAGAAAGCCTTCTTACTTTGCTTCCCATGTATATGATCGGGCACAGGATAGCTGTTGCTTTGCAAGTCGCCTTGCTTGTGCCACTCCCTATCGCAAATTGCATGATGAGAGCTGAGACCGGATATGTTAAAGACGTCCCATAGATGAAGAATACAAGCCACATGATCCACGGGAGATTCGGCCACCCTTTCCTTCTGACTCTGATTGCACGCTGTGTGATGAGGCTGGAAAGCACGCAGGCTGTCGTGATTTCGATGATGCAACTGCAAAGTTTTGCAGCTAAAGGGGTATGATACCAATCACCATCATCATCTTTCTTCACGAGCATTCTCACAGCTCCGGTGGTTTGCGATGTTAAAATGGTCATTGTTGTCTCTGATATTGGAATTGCTGCTTTGATGTTGTGCGTAAGAACAACCTGGTGGCATGAGAAGGCAGCGATCGCCGGATATTAAAGGTGAACAGCAAACGCAAGGGCATCTAGATCTATTGAAACGTGAGTAAGAGAACACACTGCATTTTCGCCCAAGGAAACCTCGATGAGTCTATTTCAATCGGGATGTCCGCCAATCGAGCTAAGTGTCGGGAATGTAGACGCCACTGCTTTTTACTTGTTATACCTCAAGCATCTGGATCAGCCCCCAACCTCATATAGTGGCATTCGACGCCGCGGACAGACCGATCACTTGAGACTTTGGTAAGAAGCAAAGAAACATAGCATCACGGCAGCTGCCATGATAGATGATCGGCAATTTTGACCCCCACCAACCTTTGGCGCAGATGTGAGCTGAAGCTCCCCTCCGTGACACCGTGTACAATGCTCAGGAGTGATAGACTGCCAACGACGAGATAATGGAAGAAATCGCCGAGAATTATTGCATGGCGCTAAAGTATGCAATGGTGAGTCCGCACGGGAAGAGGTCTCGATCGATTTGCCTAGCAGACATCGTGGTTGTCACGACATGCAGATGGCTTGCATCTCTAAGCCAGGGGGGTACAGGGATGCGAATTCGTCACCTCCCAATGAACACTGATAACCTCCCGACTAACACTGAAATTTTCCATGACGATGTATTGTGCATTAGTCCTCCAGGCCATCGTCGCATATCACAATGGCGTCAAATCGGCTGCGCCGAGTGTTCGGCACCGCTCACAATCCGAAGAGGAGAAAGACACAAATGCTCAAGATGCACACCGACTGATTCCTGTGGTTAAGCAGCGACGACTCAAAGTGTCAATAATAGACATATTTGGTTCTCTTCAGGGTTGTGGTCCAAGCATAGCTGTTTACAAACTTGTCAGAGTCAAGTGGACTTGTGATCGATTATAACTATTCGGCCTAGATCTTCGTAGTACGCTGTCTTGCTTTTTCTCCTCATCTTTGCGTCGTCGACTGTTTAAGGCACCTCGTGTTCGCTCCTTGCCGCAGATCCTGAATTAATGCAAACAGTGTACTGTGCTTGGCTTTTCCTAACATAAATACTAAGGGCCGAATTGATGTGTCAGCACTCATACGGACAAAGGGACGCAGAAATTTCATTAAGAGCGAATATCATCAGCGGTAGAAAATTTTGACCTCTTCCGCGACAAATTCTTAAGAATTCAGGAATTACTCTCAATTGAACTTATCCGGCCTTGTAGACCCAGACAGGCCTATTATTTAGGTGGTCAAGTTAGCTCCAGATAGTCGGCTAGGTGATGATAGCATATTCGGTGGTGGTAGGTGGAAAATATATAAATTGAGCGAGCCCAGGGTCTTAGGTGGAGCTCACAAACCACGATTCTCTGACTTGGGCTATTAGAGCGGTGGGCTTCAAGACTCGCATTTGAATAACAAATTAATCGAACCGATCATTTGTCAGCAAAAGCAATGATATGAGAAAAGAAAAAGATTGAGGGTGGGAGGACTTTGAGGTCCTATTGGGATTCGAACCCAAGTTCCCGGAAAGATACTGATGAGGGAATCAGAATCCGATGTGATGACCAGCTACACTATAGAACCCTCTTTGTGCGATGAACATGAGTCAAATTCTTGTACTATATTGCTGACTATTATGGCGTGGGGCCGGATGTTACATCGTGCCGATCCGGCGGGGATCCGGGCCGCGACTACGGAGAGGCTCAGTTTGTAGGCTCGCCAGTCTAAAGATAGATTGTAACGACTAACACAGTAAAGGTGGAAGTCTGCTTGAGCTAGAGATGCCCCTAACCGGATAGAAGTAGCCAAGCAGTAGTATCAACTGCGGCGGCGTTGCACAGCAGGAAGAACGGCCCAGCTCTTGTGCATCTGGACGGAGCATGGGGTCACGTGCGTCCCTTGCTGTGGTCTACTAGCAAATTAGTATGTATTCAATCGACAGCCATTGTTCTCGATTCTGAGCTGGAGTGGGATCACACAATTTGTGCGAAGGGAAGTGGTGGCGCTGTTCAAAGTAAGAGTGCCTCTTTTTACTGCTCCAAATAGCAGGGGGCCCCACCAACGGCCGACTTGTACACCAGGACAGCGGCCCGCTAACATCTCACTGACTCCATGCGTGCCTCTCGGCTCATCTGGTCTCTAGCATATGCCCACCTCAAGTCCGTCCTGATCGTGGCCAAGCAGAGATGGAGGCTTTTGATGGTGTATAAGACACTTCTCATACTTGATCCATATTTTGTTTTGAAAAGACTGCTGCTCCCAAACCAAAACTCATCACATACGCCACACCGCGAGGACAGCGATAGCATCTCTGAGCCTCACCCTCACCCTCTGCTTCACCTCGACCAACAACATACACCACCCATTGAGGCCACTCCCACCGCCACCATGCCTCCTATACCTTCACCCCCAGCCCTGCCCAGGATCATCACCTACTACCAAACCCACCACAGCCCAGACGGCAAGCCCATCTCGGCCCTCCCGCTGCTGACCCAGCCGGGCATCCGCCTAACCCACCTCATCCTGGCCGCCATCCACATCAACGGCGACCCGCACGGCATCACGCTCAACGACCACCCGCCCTCGCACCCGCGCTTCCACACCCTGTGGGCCGAGCTGCGCGTCCTGCAGGCCAGCGGCGTGCGCGTGCTGGGCATGCTGGGCGGCGCCGCCAAGGGCACCTACGCGCCCGACCGCCTCGGCGCCGACGACGACGCCACCTTCGAGCGCTACTACGCGCCGTTGCGGGACCTGGTGCGCGAGCGCGGACTCGACGGCCTGGACCTCGACGTCGAGGAGGACATGAGCCTCGGCGCCGCCGTCAGGCTCATCGACCGCCTCAGGGCCGACTTTGGCCCGGACTTCATCATCACGCTCGCGCCGGTCGCGGCTGCGCTGCTGGATTACAGGAAGAACCTCAGTGGGTTTGACTATGAGGCTTTGGAGGTCATGAAGGGCCGGGAGATTGCGTGGTATAATTGCCAGTTTTGTGAGTTGCTCTCAGTCATGTCTCGTTCAGCACCGTGCGGACTTTTGGTAACAGCATATATGCCCTGTCTGTCAACTACCGCACGACCCAATTCTATCTCGTCTGCTCCTTAATTGAACTAGGATTGAAGACCACCACGCTAACACCACAGCTACCAGACTGCGGATGGGGCGATTGCTCCAACCCAATCATGTACGAGATGCTGCTCATGAAGGGCTGGGCCCCAGAGAAGATCGTCGTCGGCCTCGTTACGAACCCGGAGAACGGCGGCGGCTTTATCCCCTTCGACATCCTGGCCTCGGTCATACCGCTCATGGTCGGCCAGCACGCCCGGTTCGGTGGCGTTATGGGCTGGGAGTACTTCAACAGCCTGCCGGGCGGGCGCGACCGGCCCTGGGAGTGGGCGCAGTGGATGACCCGCGTGCTGAGGGGTGACAGGACAATGGCACCTGAGGTCGTGATGCCCGTCGGCAAGGTCGACGCGCCGCCTGTGGGGGGCACTACTCCTGGCCAAGATGAAGGCGTCGCGGACCCTGATGATAGCAGAGGCAAGGAGGCACCGCTTCCTGCTGCGTTCGATTACTACTCGGATGGGTCACTCGATGAGTGAAAGCATGAGGCTTTGTTACAGTGAGGACAACAGTATGGCGTGGCTCTTACACAACACTGTCATGATAGCCTCAATGACGCGGACACGGCCACGGAAAGAGGTGACCTCGTTGCGAGCAAGCCCGCATGACCTGTCCGACGAAAAAGAGAGTCATGTTCTCGGGAAGCGGGCACTGGTGTTATCGGCAAGTGGAGGAATGAAATGAATGACAAGCAGCGGCACGCCAGCTCCTGGGTGGTGAGATTGGGGGCGACTCGCTTGATGACTCGTAGGTCCAACTACTGTCATCAATGCACAAATAGAAAGATGCCATAGAAAGCGTATATACCGGCCTGGGGATTCTCATTACAGCTACAGGAGATAGATAGACATGCATAGGCAAATGCCTCCCAACGTTTGGTGAAGATAATATCATACTACTATCCTCATTTCGTGGGTACGGAAACCTCCAACACCGGCATCGTCTCCTGGTCGTCAGCGCCCTTCTCCGGGAAGGAATGACCTCCTACGCCCCAGGAAGTGGCCAGGATATCTCGACAACCAACACCACAGGCTGTAGTCCAATCTACCCCCACAAGGCACCATTGGACGATGGAACGGAAATAGCCGCGTCCCCCAAGCGTTCGCGCGTGTCATTCCCGCTGGGAGATGCGAAGCTTGAACCACAAATGCCGGGTCCAGACAAATCCTCAGATCCTGCGATATCCACAGCCTAAATAAAGAACCTGCAGACGGGGCCCCGTGCTAACGAGACAAGCATTCGGCCCGCGGTCTTGGTCGACCCTTAGGTCGATCTATGCTCGACAAGCGTCAGAATCGCAAAGTCACTGGCCCTATCTTTTTTCGAGTTCAATTATATCCGCGATACCGAAGCTAATCCTAGGTGCATACATCCACATACAGCATAATGACCATGCTAAGGCCTCAAGCTTGACTTTAGATTCGTAATACTGTGAGTCGCACCAAGTTGCCAGCAATCCTGACAGAGGGAAGAACTGCCCGCGAGCCACTCATAGCGCCCTCCACAATTGCCCTGTCGTGATTGCTGGGATTTCGAGAAGCGGGGCTTCCGGGGCCATCGTTTGTTTCAACCTTGTCGGCTCCATTTTATGTTTCAGTGTTATTGCACATCTCCCTGGGTCGGCGGAGGAGATTCCTCACCATACGACCAATGGCTTGACTATGTATAGGAAGAAATGAGTGTTATTAGCCCACAGTCTGTTCCGACTAGCCCCTCTGCTCAAATTATCACCGCGTGAGTGACGGAACATACCGTCGTCGGTGGTGGTTGAGCACTATTATATCCTCTAATAAATAGCACACTATTCTTCTCGCCAGCATGGTTTTTTCTTGGCACTTCCCTCCTTCTCAGCCTTACCACTCGCCAGGGACCGGATCTCTATACATTCTTTCGTTTCACACTCGTTAACCCTCACTCTTGTACCACCCCCTGTCAAGCTTGCCAAGCACATCCACCCAACCAACCCCTTAGACAAGACGAGCACCATGACCTCCCTCCGCAGCTACCTCGCCCCAGCAGCCCTCTACGCGGCCCTGCTGCCCTCCGTGTCTGCCAACTTCGGCAACAGCTTCTACCTCGGGCCGTGGGACGGCGACGCCTACATCACCAAGGCGACGTACTCGCTGACCGCCCCGGCCGTCATCCAGGACTACGACACGAGCGACACGTCCCTGTGGGTCGCCATCTGGATCGGCGTGCAGCCCAATGTTGCCGACGTTTCCCAGGCCAATCTTGTCCAGCCCCTGCTCAACTGGTGCGCTGACCAGACGTCGTGCGGCTGCGACGCCAGCGCCACCGAGTGGTGCGTGACTGCGAGCACGTACACCCCCGAGGGCCAAACTGGAAATGCCTATGTTGCTGTGCCGGCCGATGCGAAGCTGGACTTTGAGAGTGAGTGCCTGCTTCAGAACCTAGATCGTCAAAGCCTCGCAACCGTGTTAACCGAGATATTTCTGCAGTTGCTGTCAACGCGGACACCAAGAAGATCGACCAGACGGTGACTCTGAACGGCAAGGTGGTCTCCCAGCTCTCTGACTGTAAGTTCTCCCCTACAGCGCGCGCCCTGAAGGCGTCCTGAAGGCGTCCTGAAGGCGTCCTGAAGGCTTCATCCTTCACTGATAAAGAAAGCCATGGCTGACCGGTGTGCTTCTGTTCCACCCCTCCCTAGCCCAAGGAATGAAGCCCCAGATCATCTACAGCGCCAACGAGTGCTCCACGAGCGGGTGCGGCACCCTGCCCGACTTCAGCTGGGACAATGTCACCATCACCCTCAGCGAGGCCAAGAGTGACTTCGGCACCCTCATCTCCTATAACGGCGCCTCCTCCGACGGCCTCAAGACCACAGACGGCGGTATCACCTGGCACGCCGACTCTATCTCCATGGGCAAGGACACCGACTGGAGCATCGAGTAAGGAGCGGGTTTCACGAGCTTCGCTGGAAGGAAGCTAGCGAGCCGGCTGCGCATGGCGCGGGCTCAAACTTCTCTGTACATACCTTACGATGAGGACGTAGCGCATCTCTGTGTCTGGTACCCCACTTGGGTGAAAGAATTGTAGAATAGGATCAAACCAAATACGACCGCGGGCTCAGCCCCAGCCAATGCAAGCCTGTCTCGGCACAGCATCAAGCCACTGAGAACCGTATGAACGAGAAGGAGATGAGGTAAGCCGGGCGCATGGCCGGTGGCGAAGCACTGCCACATGGCGCGAGAACTCATAACTGAAATGAGGTGCCTCGAAGAGGCGGCTGCGAAATACGGCGACGAACCTTGTTTCATCCCCATCTTGGTTGAGAATCGATACGCCCCCCCTCCCCCGGACGACCTGAGCTAAGCGTTTCGGTGAGATGACAAGGCTTCGTGGGCTCAGTCCGCCAGACTTGGCGAGACGTCCATGTGCGACGGGGGCGCCCTCGCGAACGGTACCGAATTAGCAACAGGATGCCCACAGGTCCCCTCGCACAAGAGAGCTCCAATCGCAAGGCGAGCCAGATTCTGCTGCTGCCTGGGCGAGATTATGGTGTATGCAGGCACAAGCGACGATCATCATGGTGATTGTGGTCGAAGTGCTGGGGTAGTGGTGGTGGTGGTGGTGGTGACAAAGCCCTGGGAATCTGAAATACGACATGTCTGCCAGGATCTCTCCGGCGGTGTGAGATGGTCTAAACAGATGCGGCACAGGAACTGCTGCAAGGAGCGCTGCCCGCGTGGGGGTTTCGGCGGCCAGCTCGTCGCCTGCAATTGGCTCGTGTCCCCCTTCCCCTTGTGGTGTTCCGGCCTCGCGTCACCGAAGAGGTAAGACGGGGGAAATATCTCTCGGAGGTTGCTGGTAGGGGGGCTGTGCCACCTTCACCGACGCGAAATGACTAAACATGGAACGGCGGAGGATGTAACAAGCCTAGGACCGATGATGGTGATGACTGTTCCCAAGTACCGGTGTGGCTCTAGACCGGTGCTGGGCCTGCATGTCCGTAGGGCAGTTAGCGCTGCTCGCAACACTGGCATTGTAGGACAGCCGGCGGATTGTCCTTTGCGATGCTGCGGACTCGCTTCTATGCCAAGGTGAGACACGAGCTCGTGGTCTTGTGCACGCGCCGTCGCCCGGGCCTCAGACAAGGCATTCCAGTAGAACCGCAGCTGTGGGAAGGTCGGCATGGGTCGGTTAATTGTGCCCTCTATCGTCTCCCAAATGTGAGACCGGGCAAAGGGACCAAGCTGCATCGTCGAAGACATGATGTCTCTCCCTTGCCCCCGTAGGAGCCTGCCCTTGGAGCGCAGGATCGTGGGGCCTTGCACCGCATCAGATCAGGCACCGTCAGTGTTGCCGTAGGGCTCGCAGAGCCTCAAGGTTCGAGCGGGTGACGACGGCAGTGCGACCCGTCGCGCAGCTTGACTGGAGGCTCCACGCGGCCCCTGGGGGCCGGTCCATGGAGCTTCGTTGGCGAGCTGTTCCTGCTCGAAGTGCCACCAATGCAGGCTGAGAGGAGCGCACTGCCCCTGCGCCATGCTCCAGTCTGGGCGAGACATAGTTTGGGATGATCTACAGCGCGAGAGATCCTTTGATGACAATAAGGCTGTAGGGCTGCATGTGGCATGCGAATCTCGTACGAGACAATGGGTGCTTGGGGCGGGACGCGGGATAGAAGGCAGACTCTGTGGCAGAGCGTGAGAGTCTGAAGAGCCTCATGTCAACATTGCAATTTCGGTCGCCGAAAGATGCCTGCTTGAAGGACACTGCCTCTCTCTCTGCATGTTGCGGTGTAGGACTCGAGGTCGATGCCAGGGCGCTCGACTCCGGAGTCGTGGGGCCGCTCCCGATGCAGGTGCAGGTGCTGTGTAAGCAACGAAACAACAAGATTGGAGAGGAGATGTTCGAATCGTCGTGATTCTTTGTGTTGCTTTTCGGCTCGATCCGCCATGGCTGCCATTGACCGGCGGCATGGCCGGTAATTTCCAGGCAGTTTCACCGGCCTCATGGTACTCATGACTGTTTTGGGACCGGTGACTCGGCTTACCTGCATATAGGGGTGAGACGAGTTTCCTGTTCCGTGATGGTGATGATGACAAAACCGCTCAAAAGCAGTCTTGGGCCTGGAATGGCTTAGGTAATTCCCAAGCTGTTGATGGAAATAGGACGGCGGTGTCAATGTCGCGGTGTGAGACTCGTGGCTCGATAAGAGATGAATCGAAACAACGACAAAGGGACCCTTACCACCACCATCTCGGGCCCATGCTGGCGTGTATCCATTTCCCTGTCAGCCAGCTAGCTGCAGGCTGCAGCCGGATTAGAAAGCAGTGGGCGACGGTCTTGTCTGGCACCCTCATTGCGTGAAGCGTGATCAGTCAGATCCCGGACGAGAAAAGCCCATCCAGAGGGGGGCGATGCAACCAGAAAGCTCCACTGGGCTGGTTCAGGTGAGGGAAAATAGAGCTCGCAATGTCGCTGCTGGAGACAAAGAAACGTTGGCGCCTGGGCTTGCTGTAGGTCCTCAGCCCTATGCCTGTCGATCGGCTGCTGTGTACCACTGCAACGGCGCAGTGCAGCAAGTCGCCCCGCCGTTCTGCCCCATCCTTGGCCCCCAAAATAGACCCCAGATAGTTTGTTCCATAGCTTCCATGCGTGGCCCTTTGGCGAATGTCTCAGTCGGATTGGCTGGGGCCTGAGGTTGCATCTGTCATCCCAAATTTCGCTGCCTGGGTCAGTCAGATACCACATGGCAGCAGGGGGGGCCGAGTGGGTGTGCGTGGCTCTCGGCGTGGGTGTCATTCCTGGCGTGGGAGGCGCATCCTGTGCATCCGAGAACCCTGAATCCTTAGGTCATCCTTCGCTAGGTAGAGAGGCTGTGTGGTATGCGTCTGATGCGAATGATGGTGGTGTCTGCCAATTGATGGAAGAGGCTGAAGACGGGACGTGCGGTTAGAGTCTGACTGAGAATGTAGTCTGGTCGGGTCTGACTGAGAACGTAGTCCCGCCTGCTCTACGAGCCTGGAGGCAAGAATACGACCTCAGCAGCAGCATATCCCTCGTCTATATAAGACTTCGTTCGTCTGGCCTTGAAATCCAGTCCTCCATCTCATCATCATCACCAACAACATCATCAACAAGCAAAGCATTCAAACCACACTAGCAAACAAATCTTCTTCAAGCTACTACCATCACCACCAACTTCACCCACTCCAAAACCCACCACCAATACAATGGCTGCCTTCTCCATGATCTCCAACGAGCGCCCCATGCTCTACGGCCGCTCTGGCTACAACTCCAAGCCCAACGGTGGCGATGACGATGACAAGAACCAGGGCCGCTCTGGATACAACTCCAAGCCCAACGGTGATGACGACGACAAGAACCAGGGCCGATCCGGCTACAACTCCAAGCCTGATGGCTCTGACGACGACGACAACAAGAGGTCGCTGAACTTCGCCTAATCGGCCGGTCCTCAGACGTCAGGAGTCCCAAGCAATCATGGCGACTCCTCATCACAGCCAGTGCCGGCTCCGTCCATGAGCGGCGCATTCTCAGATCCGGATAGGTCCAGAGACCCAGCACTGGCTGTTGTATACCAACACCCCCTAGAATAGAGAGGCTCAGGCTGAGATCGGCGTTCAGGCTGTCACATCACCATCCCCCTTTCACATTCCCGACCGGCCACGGTCTTCCCCTTGTATCAATACTACCCTTGGGCACCACCACCGATCCCCTACCCCCGTCACATCACCTTGAATTATGGGCGGGAAAATAGACTGGGACGGATTAGAGACGAATGGCTCCTTGGTCATGTACAACACCTCATGTATTGGTCGAGTAGAGTCGGATGGAACAGGACACCACAATCGTTTCATACCCTTGGGTTGGCGTTCAGGATCCTAGATTATAGAACAGACAAGACTAGCCATATGCCTAGATCATAATTTACTTTCCTACACAAAACCTGCGAGCCAGTCAGCATGAAGTCCCCTCGTGTAACCGGTTGAGTTGCAAAAAGAGCACAGTACTTCTCAAATATGACACCCAGCACCTCCTCGACGTCACCGGCATCTCCACGACCCGTGATTCTTGCCAGACAACTCGCCGCGTAGCGCAGGTGCTCAGCAGCCAGGACGATGTCAGGCTCATCGCTCGAGTCCTCCACTTCGGAGTCTCCAGCCTCAGCCTGGACCATGAAATCTTCGAGATGTAGTCTGCACTGTGCTAGAAGCTGTCGCTGCCTCTCCGTGCCGCCCAGGAGATCCTGCATGTCTTCGGGTAGAGATGTCAAATTCTCGAACGAGCGGACCAGGTTCTGCGTGAGGCTATGGATGCCACCTGGGTCTTTATCGAACGACTCGGATAGCGAATTTGCCTTAGTGCAGGAGATGACACGAGGCTGTGCCAGACCCTCCACGTGTGTGCGGATAGATGAGTCGAAGTCCTGCAACAGGTCCTGCAACGTCAACTCGTCAACTGAGTCGCATTTGTTAACCACAATTATGTGTTGCTCGGCCTTGACAGCCATTTGCAGTGTCTCCGCATCATAATTGATGAAGTATGTACCATCTGAAAGCCTCTCAACTGAGGCAAGGACAATGATGACATCGGAACCTAGAGCCTTGAGGCGCGCCCTCCGGATGCCTTCCTCTTCGATAGGCCCGATGGCACCATCGTTGGCTAGTGCAGAGGTTCTGATCCCAGCCGTATCTGCAAAGGTGCAGAGATATCCGCCGATGTCAAGGCTGGCTTCCACGATATCTCGCGTGGTGCCTGCCTCACGGGACACGATCGAAGCCTCCCTGCCAACGATCAAGTTCATCAACGAGCTCTTGCCCACGTTGGGCGGGCCCAGAAGCGCAATCCGGATGCCCTTTCGGAGCAGCTCCGTCCTCTGACCAGCCATCTCGTGGACATCGATGGACCGCAGAATCCTTTGCACCATACCAGTCACGTTTCGCAGCAGTTCACGAGGAGACTCGTCAAAGTGCTGGTCCTCGGAGAAGTCGATGAGCGCCTCAATTTCGCCTCTGGCCAGCAGGAGCTCCCCGCGCCACGAGTCGTAGGTCTGCCCGCGAGCGCCAGAGTTCCCGCGTACTGCAGCACGGCGCTGCTGCTCCGTCTCGGCGTCAAGGACATCGCTGAGCGATTCGACCTGCGACAGGTCCAGGCGGTCATTGAGGAAGGCGCGCTTGGTGAACTCGCCGGGCTCGGCATAACGAATGCCGTTGGCAAGTGTTTGGCCGGGAGTACATCGGGGGATTGCGCCTAGAACGGCTTTCACGGTTGCGGGGCCGCCGTGCGTGTGCAGCTCGAGGACGTCCTCGCCAGTCACCGTCATGGGGCCCGGGAAGTACAAGACCAGAGCTCCAGAATCGAGGACGTGTGATGCATCTAGGTTGTCTGGGTCATGCAGTGTCCTGACGGCAGCATATCGAGGCTTTGGGGGCTGCTTGTGTGGGCATAGCTTCTGGTAAATGTTCAAGCACTGGGGTCCTGAGATTCGAATGACGGCTATGCCAGCCCTGCCTTGCGCTGAAGAGAGGGCGTAGATAGTGTCATCTTTTGAGGAGCCTGCTATGACATCGATGCCATGCTTTCTTCGGTCACGCTGGGAGTTCTGAATCTGGGAGAATCTTGGGGTGTATGTGTATACATGTCGATGGGCAGCGACAACAGACCGCAGGAGAATGCTGGAGAAAGTGTGCGACGCTTCGAGACCTCTAGGGAAAGTCCGAATTCCAATGGCTAAGCGACCATGCCGGTACATTGACCAGTCGTCGCTGGGTGATGAGTGGTCCTGAGAGTGTTCCTTAGAATGAAACGGCGTGTATGTTCGCAATTGTTGGTTGTGAGTCGACAATTCTCGGTACCCAGAGCTTTGAGTTCGGGAGCTTCTAAGGCACTCTCATCTCCATGTAAGCGCAGGATGCAGTACTGGGGTACTAGGAGCTCGAGATCCGCTAAAGCCCCACTAAACGTGATTTCATTGGCCAAGAATTGGAAATCCGCAAGCAAGGATTCGATGGCTAGGGGACTTTATCGATACCATTTTTTTTCCCTTGGGGGAAGACCTTCATTTTCTGAGCATCCATCCCGCCTCCTCCCACTCTCCAAAACCGAAACATCACGACTCCGTGATTTTCGCACACCATGGCTTCCGACGAGATTGTTTGGCAGTACATAAGTAAGGACGAATTGCTTCATTGCAAATTTGGACCAGAAACGGATGGCTGACTGGCTTGCAGACCAAAATTTCTGCGCATTCAAGATACGGACGCCGAACAACCAGAAACAGACCAACTTTTGCCGCAACGAGTACAATGTCACCGGGCTTTGCAACCGACAATCCTGCCCACTGGCGAACAGCCGATATGCCTCTGTTCGACCTCACCCAGAGAAGCCAAACGTTCTTTACCTCTACATGAAGACCATCGAGCGCGCACATATGCCGAATCGTCTTTGGGAGAAAATACGGCTGCCGTCAAATCCTCAGGAGGCTCTGGCGATGGTGGACGAAAAATTGATGTGTGTACCACACCTACGATCCATGCATCTCACAAGTCGCCCAGTGTACTGACTTTGCATCTTTCGCAGGTACTGGCCGGATTTCCTCAGGCTCAAAGCCAAACAACGAGTCTGGCGCCTCAACCGAGTCGCCACCCGCATGCGAAAACTAGCCGCCGAGGAGGAGCGACTTGGAGAGAAACTTGTTCCCAAGCTTGCGCCCAAGGTGAAGCACCGTGAGACCGCCCGCGAACGCAAAGCAGAGGCGGCTGCGAGACTGGAGAAGACGATTGAGAGAGAGCTGCTGGAAAGATTGCGACAGGGCGCTTACGGTGACCAACCTTTGAATGTGTCACAGAAGATCTGGGAGAAGGTCCTCAAGGGCCTCGAGAAGGAGGGCCAGGGCGTCCGCGACGAGGACCTAGATGAGGGTGTTGAGGATGAGGATGAGGAAGAGGCCGAGAGGGAACTCGAAGAGGAGGACGACGACGAGCTCGAGGGCAACGTTCAGTACGTCAGTGATGTCGAAGAGAGCGATGACGACCTTGGAGATCTTGAGGACTGGATGGCCAGCGAAGATGACGACGATGACGAAGACGACGAATCCGAGGAGGACAGCGAGGAAGAGACGGGCAAGGTGGGCAAGGCGAAGGCTGGCGACAAGCGCAAGAAGGCGGCCAAGAAGGTCCTGAAGGGCAGGAAGAAGACCAAGGAGCAAGAACTGGAAGAGGAAACGGGCAGAGAGAAGCTGCTCGCGTTCTAATTTTACAGTCCGGCAAGGCGTTGCAGGAACAGGAAAATCGGCATGTTTTACGAACATAGGGAATCCTGTCGGGAAGGTTCCCATTTCTCTTTTTGGGCTTTCGAAGTTGGGGATCAGTGTTGCTCATTTTCTGCTAAAAGAATCTCGATGGGGAGGGTGTTTTTAGAGAGAACTCCGAAGGCATCTCTTTCACAAGTGCTCTTTCGAATCTGTGCTTAGGAGATGAAGGGGAGACTGAGTGCCTGGATGGATTTAAGAGAGCCATGTGAGATAACCGCAAGCTGCAGCGTACAGTTCAAGCATTAATGATCTTCATGACCATACTCGCACTTTCATATTTACCAAGGACACGGCCTCCGTGAATGCAGAGTTCAAGAGGTGACGATGGGATTATACTATAGGCCCGATGCCTTGATCCTGTCTGGGCGAACATTTATCGCCTCCCATTTTGCCAGCACCGTTCACTGATGAGAGGCTAACTTGACTTTCATCACAGTTCCATCTACTGGCCTGGACGTCATTCTGCGAGTCTAAAGGAAGGCGCATAGAAGTGTTAGAGAAGACTCTTTGTAAAGCCATACACCATGGACAAAAGGGAATCATGACCTACATTGTACAAGTCCGACTTGGTCTTATATTGGCCCTTGTCATCAAGCGTAGGATAGCCCTTTTCATCCAAAACGCTCTCACCCAACCCCACCTTAATGAAGTCGTACTTCCGAGCCACGATGCTGATGATGATGCGAGATTCGAGATTCGCAAGCTCAGATCCGATGCAGTTCCTCGGACCTCTCTCAAACGGCCGCCAAGCACTCGCGGGAATGCTCTTCGCCGCCTCGCCGAGCCATCGTTCAGGGACCCAGACATCCGCTGTGTCTCCATACACGGATGGATCCCGCTGGATGATGCTCTGACACGAATACATTATGGTCCCATCGAGATTGTACTCCTCGCCGGTGGGAGTGCAAACTGTGAAGCCTGTTCCAGGCTCCGTCATACGAACGGTGCTGGCAGGGGGGTGTAGGCGAAGTGTCTCCTTGATCACAGCATTGACGTAATGTAAACGGGGGAGAATATCCTCGCCTCGCTCTGCGAGAGTAGCACAAATTGTAGATGGTTCAATTTGAGGACCAAGAACCTCGTCGAGCTCGTCACGAACTGCCTTGAGCGCGTGGGGTGTACGACTCAGCTCGTAAAACGCCCACTGCAGCATACTGGTGTTTGTATCGTGTCCTGCGAATAGGAAGCTGCGCACTTGGTCCGACGTCTCTGATAGAAGTTGCGGAGTCAGGGTTTCCGTGTCTTGGAAACTGAGAGCCACAATGCTTCGTGATCGATTTCCTTTTGCTTCCTCTTTCAGCTCCGCATATCTTCGCTGAATATTGTCTTTTACCAGTACATCAATGCGCTTAGCCAGCCGAATCCGCTTTCGTGTAGTCAAAGGGACAATCCACCATGGAAGGTTGTTCTTGTCGTCGTTGTATGTCTGCACAAGCTCCGCGAACAGCCGAATGAGTTCGCCTTGCTTTGAGCTGTCCCTCTGTTGTGCGTTAAGTTGAGCTCCCATCACAGCGGCACCGATAACATCAAAGGTCAAATTAGAGATGAGCTTCTCCAAAGAGAATTCTTCCTCTGAAGTAGCAAATTGGTCAAGGTACTTCCAGAATGGTTCCATTTTCTCGAGAATGAGAGGGAGCAGAGTCCACAAATGTTGAGTTGTGAACCCTGGGTTATATCTTTTGCGGAGATCCTTCCAATCTTGACCCTGGGCACAAAAGCTATTAATGAGACCTGCCAACTGCAGAGCGTTTCCACTCACCTCTCTGCCCAAAATTGCCGTCTCTCCTACGAGGGGAATCATATGGGTCCAGGTCGGGGACTTGGGAGTGCTCAGAGGGAAAAGCTTAGACGGCTTGGATATCTGTTCGGCGATGTTGTGACTAGGGACGAGAACCATGGGAAAGCTAACAGGCCGGAGATCTACAAGCATAATGGGGGGACGACCCTTAGATACCCACATTTCTTCGAAGATCTTGTCTATCTGCCTGTCAGCCGCCGTCTTCTCAACCATACTCGTCGACAGTAGACTTCATTTGCAAGTCTATTCCAGGCGAACTCATCCCATGGCATACCTGGGTGACGATCGTGTACTCCCCGACTCGTGAATTCTCCAAAAGTCTTGAGATGACCCCAGAGAAGGTGGTTCGGCAACTGTGGAATGTGTGCATATTGCCTGCCACGCAAGTATCTCAGCCTTGCGTAGAGATACGAGGCCAATAGTGCGACGGCCGCAGCCAGGAACAGTTGAAACATGCTGTTGAGTGGCCGTGCTGTCGCGTCTACGCTCCGGGACTGCTGAGAATGTTTTCTAGCTCAACCAAATCCGCATGAACGCTATCGCGAGCTGCTGAAGTGGAAAGTTTGAGTACTGTCCGATGCAGAGGAGACTTTGGGTTTGAGGAACAAGACCAACTAAGTCAGCCCCTCCTGAGGGTAGCGCGGCTTGAGCTTACGAGGGTCGAGGTCAGCGGAGTTTCGTACATGGGTGTCGCCACGTCCATTGGTCAGCTTCGTCAGTTCGTTGGTAGATTGGCCCGCGGGAAATATATCCATCGAGATTTCTAGCCGAGAGCTGACAGAGAGGGAGTGACGTTGTCTCTCCGGATGTTACTGTTGGTGCTTCACGTGGATCGTCACATGCAGAAAGCGCAGTTGGTGCAGCTCTAGACAAGCCTCACCGGCTTCTGCTTTGGAGCACGGTCAGCGGCAAGACACGTTGATTTGAATTAAAAATATGGCAGCAGTACAAGCTGCATTCCTAGGCCAGGTGAAGGAGGCTGGCAAGCATCTCAGATTAAATATGGGCCCTTTCGACTGGATATATCTGGCGTCTAAAGCGGTTTCGGCGTTGTGTCACACTGTATCATTCTTCTCAACCCGTCGACTTATATTGCTAGGCTTCATGTCCTGCTGAAGAGAAAGGCCATCTTATCTGCATAGTTCTTATAGGCTTCTACTCATGGGCAAATACCATGCCGAGCATATTTGCCTAAGTGTGCCGTACCGTGGATTACTAATTTATCCTTGAAGCTATGTGTATACTTCTATTATGAGTGGGTATAGGAAGTAATAGAAGAGAATCACAAATTGCATTTATCACAGAACTATTGAGATAACATTTGGATATATACATGGGTTCATCCTACAACTACTATGACCTCTCAACAATACAATCACTACGAGTGTCTACTGTCTGTAGCATTCTTCGTACGTAGTGGAGAGCATGAAGGAAGGTTGCGATGATAATCTTGTCGGCCTCCTTCAGGATTTTGTGCCCGTGGTAATCTGACCGTGGAACATGTTCTTTCGTTGAATAACTGATCTTTATTGGGCGTCGGATATAGACCAAGCTGAGTTAACAGGTCGAATGTTACCAATGACTTGTCCATGCTTTCTCACTGTGTCTATTACATTTGAGCAATTTGCAATTCATTGCAGGGAGAAGGGGCTGACATGGATCAGAGGTCAGCCTTGCTTCAATTCTATTTGTTTGTACCGATGGTCTGATGCTCGACGCCTTATGATGATCGGGATACCACGGTTGTGGCCTGCAGCCGTTACTTACCAAATGTAATGTGGGGCCCGTTGGGCCCGATGGGCACGGGCAGTTACTCGTACACCCCGGCTCAAGCCGAAACCGCCCCAGGCTGCCTTTGGCTTGGTCTAAGCTTGCCGTGGTCGGCCCGCCAGCTGCTGCCAGCTGCGCACAGGCGGCTGCACGTGCCCCCACCACTCGAAAAGATTTGAGTACCTTCGCAATCCATCTCACCCAACCAGAATTGCACCGTTCATCAACCAGCATCACCACCACAGCCAACATGTCTGAGTCCATCACGATCCGCACGCGGCGGTTTATCCGAAACCCCCTGCTTGGAAGAGTATGTTCTCCCTCTCAGTCGCTAAATTTGAGGTACAAATACTGACAATCGAACAGAAGCAGATGGTGGTGCAAGTTCTCGCGAAAAACCCCGTTTGCCTCGAAGCGCTGCTAACAAACCTCTAGTGACATCCTCCACCCTGGCCACGCTGGCATCGCCAAGTCCGACCTCCGCGACCGCCTCTCCCAGCTGTACAAGGCTTCCGCTGAGCAGGTCAGCGTCTTCGGTCTGAGGACTCACTTCGGTGGTGGCAAGACTAGCGGATTTGCGCTGGTCTACGACTCCCCCGAGGCCATGAAGAAGTTCGAGCCACGACACCGCCTCGTATGTCCGATACCGATCGTTACCCACGTCGCAGGATGCTGATGATTTTCTAGGTCCGTGTCGGACTCGCCGTCAAGCCCGAGAGAGCTTCCCGCCAGCAGCGTACGTACAACCGAATGACGCCTCGAACAACAACAAATATTAACTGTGAAAACAGGCAAGCAACGCAAGAACCGTATGAAGACGCTCCGTGGTACCGCGAAGGTGAAGGGCGCAAAGGCCAAGAAGGACAAATAAACGGATCGCAACATGGGGGACTTCATGACTGGGCGTTGAAAGGCTTGGCTTGGCATGGCTTCGTATCTTGGTTCAACCAGCAGTTGAGTCTGGTGATTATCAGGCGACACAAGAAAAATGGAGTAACGTCGATTTGCACAAGCCTACGCAGTGCCCTTGAAAGATCCCGATGAGAACTTCGCACGAATGATACCCAGAGATGATGGCTGATTGACAGCATACTCCCGAATCGACAGCCATCAAAGGATCGTCTTCTCTCCCCGACGTCAAACTTCCTGGGCCTCTGTTGCAAGCACTGTCTCTTGCGAATCGACAACGACCTGCTAGGGCCTACTTTACCTGCCGATTTCTTCGACAGTCGCACTCAGAGCATCGCCACCTCCCATCGTCGAGCGAATTCAATCACACGCCTGGGTCCGCCGATTGGTCATGTCCATGCAAAGTTACGGTAGAAGCCAGTGAGGCTTCAACATTGATGCGCTCATTCCGACAAAAAATGCAATTATACCGCAGCACTCCCAGAGGAAGCATGTGATTATGGACCTTTGTGCACTTCAGTAGTGACTTCACTCGGAACAGCCCCTCATCGAGAGTTCTGGTATAATGAATTGAAGTCCCAAATTCGACCTGGCCCTCTTGCCGAGCCGATGGAGGGCATCGTAGAACCTGCAGGCGTCCTAGAGGTTGGCCAGGTACTCAAGAGTACGTAGGAAACGACCAGAGGGTCGGCAATCACAACAACTATCAAGGCACCTACATACTGCCCAGGTCCTCTGTGTGCTGTATCTGTCCAACCGCTCAAGATCCATTCCACCATTCTGATAGGAAATATGTTCTAGGCCAGGCTTCATATCCATGATTCTGTTGTAAAAGTCTTCACGACGTAGGAAGTCATCCCAGTAGGGTTGTGTTTCACTCTCTACGTGATGCCTTTAGTGAGGTAACATTTTGAAATAAGAGTACGAATACAGCGGAATAGTATTAAACTCGCACCGGTTGCCGTGTGGGTGGGTGGACTGGGTGGGCCGGGTCACAGCAAATACAGGGGCACAGCTTGGTCCATCCAGCTCCAGTCGTCGGAGGGGCTATTCGTCCAGTGCAAGTGCAACCTGAGACAGGACAACGCCAGAGGGACAATGCAGCCCGCCCCCAGGGCCCAAACCCAAACCCCAACCTCGGAAACCCAACCTCGCCCTCGCACTTTCACCTTCGCCATACAGTTCAGGCAACCTTGTGCCCTCGATTTAAACTTTCAAGGCTGGGCATCTTAGAGGATCGACTGCTTGGCAGGAAATCATTCCAGATCACGACGAGACGAACAATACAATCCTTCCAACTTCTAGCAGCTTGCGGCGCCGATCGTCATCCCACCTGGGCCCTGGGCCCTCCTTCCACACCGACTCGTCCTACGGGACCAGAACGAAGCACAGCGACCGCTGCAGTCGTCAACAGCTAATCGCAAGGCAGCCTTTGCTGCAGCCAGTCTAGTCTACTCCGAACCACATAGAGGCGTACAGACGCCGCCCACTCGCAACCATGGCGTCCTGGTACTCCAACATCCTCACAAACACCACCTCCCGCATCACAAACCTCCAGCGCCAGGTCTTCGCCTCCGAGGCCGACGGCGACACAGAGGACGACACACACGTCTGCCGTGTCCTGCGGCAATACTACACCGAGAACGGCCGCCCGTTACCCAACTGGCTCCCACCCGACCCAAAGGCGCCCCCTCCGCCAGCCCCTATCGTCCAGCAGAACACTGGCCCGTCCAGGTATGGTGCACCACAGCAGGGAGCTCAGGGCGGGTTGAGCAGTCTGTGGGACAACAACCGCGGGGCGGGAAGGGGCTCTCCAGCGGCGAACAGCCGGAACCCCTTCGCGCGAAACGCCGCGACGCCGGATCCGGGGCGTGAGGCGGTCCAGGCGCGGCCACTGCCTAGCCAGCGGGCGGGCAGCGTGCAGAGCAACAGTATGGACATGGGATCTCCAGCAGCAGGAGGAGGAGGAGGAGCGTCGAGTGCGCAGGACAGGCTGCGGCAGCGGCTCTACGGGGGTGGTGCTAGGACCACATCGCCTTCCAGCTCCACGGGGCCGTTCGCGCCGCCTCCTGCGCAGCAAGGGGGCGGTGGCATGTCGTCGCGGAACCGTGGAGGCTCTGCAGCAACCGCGGGCAGTGGTGATTACGATCCTTATGGTCCAGGAGGCCAGTTCGACTCCAATAGCGGTGGGGGAGGAGGAGGAGGTGGTGGTGCTGGCAGTCGGTACGGTGGTCTGCCGTCTGGACCAAGGAGGATGGGCGGGTTACCAAGTGGCCCGAGGATGAGATAGTTGGCGAGGACGATGGTGGGAGATTAATACAAGAGTGCGGACCGTGGATCATCATCGCTCTGGAAGTCTTGATGTCCCCGTCTCCATGTGCCTGGGACATAATCAATCACATCTTGGGTCCTTCAGACACAGCATGCATGGAGTTTTGGGTTGACGCAATCATGGTAGACATAGACCAGGGCCTTCGGAGTTCGGAATGCATGCACATCTTTCTTTACGAGCACTTGCATACAATCCACAAAGTCCAGCGTCTTGTGTGGGCCACTTGTTCAGTGAGAACGCGTGGTCTTACTCGGAAAGCAACTGGTGTGTTGGCCCGACATAGGAACGAGTGAGGCCATGTCCTTGCTTGAGAACTTCCAGCATGCACAGGTTGCGTGTACACTGCGTGCACAGTAAACTGTATCATCACTCGCAGCTAGCAACGAGCAGAAGTGGGCAGATGACGACGCCCATTCCCCAAGGCTGATCACGAAAAGTAGATGCTATCACAAGCCAGCACACAGCTGGAGCCGGGGTGATTAGCGTTCCGCTTGCAGCAATTCGCCCCTCCACAGCGCCTGGGGTGGAGCAGTCGCGGGGTTCCCTCCATCCATCAGGCCTCCGTCAGTCAGTCAGCTTTGTCGCCCCGGGACTAACACCACATGATCGAAATGTAGACTCTTAACCTCACTCCTCCCTACCTCGTTTTCCTACGCAAGAATTCTATTACGGCCCTCACGATACCTTCGAGATCTGCAGGAAAAGACCACAACTCCTGATATCCCCTCAACCAGCACCTGAGAGCACGATCCCTGAGCATCCGACGCCCGTGCTCGGGCCTCGCGAGTCGATTCCAGGACGATGACGTCGGATGAGGTCTCTCGCTCACGAGAAGCTCGAGATACACAACCAGCCAGTCAGGTGTCACCGCCAGGAAGCCTGTATGCCATGAGTGATGATGAAGAGGGTGAATACAATACCATCACACATACGGAGACAGGAAGAGGTGTTAAGCTACTCTACTCCAAGAGCAAGGTCCGTCTTCACATCACATCGCAGCGCAACTCATACTATATTTACATGTGTCCCATGCATTATGACGAGCACCGAAATGCTGATTCTTGAACCCAGGTTTACATCCACCCAACGCCTTCCTCCAAAGACAATATCCCCGGCTTCATAGCCCTCCTTCAGCAAAAGCCAGGGCCTGGCGCCAGACCCTCCTCTGCCGACTCCCGAAACTCCCAGTCCATAGCCTCCTCCGACCTCTTGCTAGCATGGCTGCCCGAATCCCAGCTTGGCGAGGCCGCCAGCACCTATGTCAAAGTCGATCTTGCTGATGGCGACTCTCCGCCCAAACAGTCCTACCTCGTTCCTCCGCCGCCCACGGTCACCACCCACCGCGGATCCATCGGCCATTATTCCTTCGCCATCCCGGTCAGCGCCATATACAGTCTGCTCGTGCGCCCGCCCAGCCTAGGATGGTGGTTCGGTTCAGTCATCATCAACAGCCGGGCTGGGGATAGCTTTCCCGCCCTGTTCTTCCACGACAGCGAGTGTGAGTCCACGATTCTACAAAAGAAGAAGCACATGAAGGACAAATTCGACCCGTTTGGAGAGAGCGGCCAGATGTTCTGGGGTGGAGATGAGGTCCTTAGGTGGCTGAGGAGATACATAAAAATCGAGAGGAGCGAGGCGGAGCCGAACATTTACCTGGTCGAGCCCACCAAAGAAGACAGTGAAGGCTTCGGCAGCAAACCCACGGCCAGCACACCGTCTTCGATCGGCCGAAAGGATAGTAGCCGCGGAGTGTCGGTGGGCGGTGCTGCAGGGGCAAATCCAGGCTCCGGTGCTGGCTCTAGCAGAGACGCACAGATGGATCCCTTCACCAAGTTCGTGAAGGAAACTGGGTGGAACATCATGGAGAAATTCAGCAAAGTGACCACCTTCACGCGGAATGCCGCCAATGACGTCCTCGACAACCCTCGCGTGCCGCCGCAGATGAGAAGTCTGCTGCGCAACCCCGAGGTGAAGACGCTACAGGATGAGTTTGACAGTGCGAGAATATACCTGGCGCGATGGGCGATGGGCATAGCGGAACAGAGCGAGCGGGATCGCCGCCAAAGGATATGGACTGCACAGGATGTCATGGAGATGGAGGACACTGATGTGGGCGAGTTTGAGTTGCTGGAGGGCACGAGCTCTTTCTCGCTGGAAGAGAGGCGACGACCTGTCACGTCAAAGGAATGGGCCACATTCTTCGACGAGAGGACAGGGAGGCTCTCCGTTACCGTGGATGAAGTTAAGGAAAGAGTATTCCACGGCGGGCTTGACCCCGAAGACGGTGTGCGTAAAGAAGCATGGTTGTTTCTTTTGGGTGTCTACGATTGGCACAGCACCGAGACTGAGCGCAAAGCCCAGATCGCTTCACTCAGAGACGCATATGTGAAGCTTAAAGGTTCGTGGTGGGAGAGACTAGTCGATCTCGGCGGGCAGGGAGAGGAAGGCGAGTGGTGGAGAGAGCAACGTGCGCGCATAGGTAAGACCAGCCGCCGAGATATCACCCGCATTTCTGTGCTCAAGCTAACGATTTAAACAGAAAAGGACGTCCACCGCACTGACCGCAATGTTCCCATCTTTGCGGGCGAGAATATTCCCCATCCCGACCCTGACTCTCCTTTCGCAGAAGTAGGCACGAACGTCCATATGGAGCAGATGAAGGACCTTCTACTCACGTACAACGAGTACAACAAAGAACTCGGCTACGTGCAAGGCATGTCGGATCTCTTGGCGCCAATCTACGCCGTGATTCAGGATGATGCGATAGCCTTCTGGGCTTTCCAGCACTTCATGGACCGCATGGAACGCAACTTCCTGCGTGATCAGTCCGGCATGCGCACGCAGCTGACGACGCTGGATCAGTTGGTGCACTTCATGGACCCCAAGCTGTGGGAGCACCTGGAGAAGGCGGACAGCACCAACTTTTTCTTCTTCTTCAGGATGCTGCTGGTGTGGTACAAGCGGGAGTTTTCCTGGATGGACGTCCTGCGGCTCTGGGAGGCCCAGTGGACGGATTACAAGACCAGCAGCTTCCACTTGTTTGTGGCGTTGGCTATCCTGGAGAAACATCGGGACGTGATTTTGACGCATCTGAAGCACTTTGATGAGGTGCTGAAATACGGTATGTTATGACACAACACCTAGGGCTTGACGACCCTGTGAACAGAACTACGCACTGACTTCACCTACTACAGTGAATGAGTTGTCCGGTAGAATCGACCTCGAGTCCACACTCATCCGCGCCGAGGCACTCTTCAGGAAATTTCAGCGTCTTATCGAAGCCATTGACAAGAAACCCAACTTCCCAGCCCCTCGCTTCAATTTCAACACGGCCGCACCATCACTCTTCCCTCGTCCATCTCCTCCCGCCGCCAACGATAACAGCAACAATAACCGCCCTTCCACACCCTCAGGTAGCAGTGGCACCCAACAGCAACAAGCGAACAAGGGCAAGCAGCCCGAGCCCAAGAGTCCGGGCGGCCAGCCTCAGAAGGTGATCACTCCGGAGCTGAGGAAGCTGCTGAGCAGGGAAGTCGTGGTGTTGCCACGGAAGGAGGTGGAGGGGAAGGGGGATGGATTCCTGTCGAAGCCCGCGGATGGGCGTAAATGAGACGATCACCGTTAGACGGAATGCCTTCCCCCCCCCCCCCCCCCCACATTTTTCGTTTTGGATTACTATAAACGAGCCTGTCTGGGTGTTCGGCATGTGTACACTTCGGTCGCCGCAGCACAGAGTCGCGTCGGTGTTAAGGGGTTAGGATCATTGTATTATTATCGCAGGATAGCATCCTCGCCGGAATCACACATGGGCATGCGTGCTTTCCTCTGATTGACTCACTTCAGCATGATGGAAAGAAGGTTTGTGCGATTTGAAAACAATATGATGGATGAGGATCAAACCCCCAGCCACCTGGAAAACTATCCCATCACGCCTTCCGGGTTCAAGGTCTGGTATACACGACGAACGCCAGAGCCAGAAGCAGACTCAGCACACCAAGAGCAAAAGGAAGGAGGGAGAGGGGAAAAGAAAAAGAAGACGCAAAAAACGTACAACACCGGGTATTCGCTGGTCGTCACCGACCCAACTACTAATCCAGCCCTCAGCGGCTTGACTATGGGAGAGCGGACGGGATCCCGTATTTTCCGCTGGGTATGGTCGTACGTGCTCAGATACCCGAGCCTGCAGCTTATGAATGAAAATAGTGGACATGTTGCTAGGCTTTTACGTTGTCTCCCTTCCTCATCTCCACCGCAAGCGGTGGGAAACAACGAAAAAAGTAGATTTGAGATATATGTCTATCTCGCGTGCCTCCCTCTTCAGAGAAGAGCGCTTAATGGGTTCCAAAAATTTCCGCTTTAACGGCTTTTGAGATACAGCAAGACCAAAACAACACCGTTCGAACAGGACCTCGCCGGACAGGGCGAACACCATATCCATGTCCGGATAGGCTTGTAGATATATATGGAGGGGAAACGGGAGACAGAAATGGACAGACAGGGAAATGGGGCTGGTATTTATATGTTTGAGAGAGGCGAGATCTTCAATTGGATGGTGAGGTGGTGGTCGGCTGTTGCCTTGTAGACGTATGTGTTACTCGAGGTAGTAGATGACTGGAAAGCCAGCTGATCGATGAGTGAGTAAGTGTTTCAGTCGCGAGATAGAGAGCACATTCAATGAGACCATTGACGGGCAATCGGGTGACTTAGACAGACTGCTTGAGCAAGATGCCCGGGCTGGGCCATGTGATTCCGTTTCCGCTCTGAACGTAAGTCACGGTGGAACAGTCTTCTTTTGCAATGACATGAAACCTACCCCGTTTGTAAAACTTACTCTCCAGTGTGTTGAGCATCCATTAGTGACCAAGAAGTGTAGATGGGCTGGCATTCTCACATCAACAAGGCCAATGAATATTCGAGATCACCGCATTTCTATAGCGCTCCGTGAATGTGTTCGCACTCTATCGTGGTTGCCTCCACGCCTCAATATCTTTGAGGTATATGTCACGAGACATTTCCTTGATACATGTAGGTGCTGCCGCACTCTTTCCCCGTACCGCGTCCACCAGATCATCTACATCTATTTTCCCGGCCGGCTGTGACCGGCACGAGTAGTAAACTAGCTACCTGCTCGCCCTTTTTTAAGACTCGTCCATCAGTCTGCTCACAGCTCGTCCCGCGCGTGGCCGGAGCCAGCGAGGTCCTCCATGGCCATGATCTTGACCACCAGGCTGGTCCAGCCGGTGAAGTGCTGGGTGCGCTGACCCGCGCCCGTCTCCGGGTTGTACTGCTCCCAGGCGAAGCCGGTCTCGGTCCAGCTCTTGTAGACGGTGTCGATGAGGTTCTTGCGCAGGCGGCTGTAGAGGTCCTTTGCCCTGGCCTGGTGTGGGCCATCCTGCTTTGCGACGTTCTACATTGAGGTTGGTCAGCATGAGTCCTAAGCAGATCTGGAGGAGAGGGGTTTCAGGAAAACAGAGAGGAAGACTCACGTAAAGCTGCGTCACGGCCAGGTAGTTGATGTTCATCCACACCGGGCTGCGCCAGTAGTTCTCGTCGGTACCGTAGAACTCGGACTTCTTGCTCAAACTGCGGATGCCGTGGGGGCTCCAAAGCTCCTCCTCGTCGCCGATGAGGTCCAGGATCTTGCCGAGCTTGGGGCTGTCGGGCTTCAACAGGCCGGTAAGGAAAGGGAAGAGCGAGATATAACCCTTGTGGCAGACCAGCTCGTTCTCCTCGTAGTCGTCGATCGTGGCATCGCAGTAGCATCCTTCCTTCTCCGACCAGTGAAGGTCGTCGAGGTTGTGCTCGATGGCGTCGAGGATCTTCTTGTACTCCTCGGCATCCTCGGCGATGCCGATGGTCTCTGCGACGTTGACGAGCGTCTTGCTCATCAGGCCGACCCAGCTCATCAGATCGACGTGAAGCTCGGCAGGGTGAGGGGGCTGTGGCCGGGGGTAGTCGTCGAGGCCACTCGTGAGGATGTGTCGAGGGGTCCTGCCCCGCCATCGGTAAGCCTCCTTGGACGAGTAGGCTTCTCGGTCGTATGACTTGACGTCGCCGTACTGAGTCTTCTTGAACCAGAAGAATTGACGGCGTAGGAGAGGATAGAGTTGGCGGAGATACTCTAGGCTTAGGCTAGGGTTCTCCAAGTAAGCAGTGCCGAGCAATTGGTCTTGAGAAATTGTCTCCTTCTGCGAGGAGGCACTGCCGTTGGCGAACTGCTTCAGCTTGGAGATGAATTCGTCGACGACGAAGAAGAGCGTGGGTGGGTTGGCATAATGCGGGTACTGCACTTGGAATTCCTCAGGAACCTTGCTCCTGGCTTCTTCGCCGAGGATCATCTCCCGAGCGATCCAACCGTCATCGTCTATGAGGTTGTACCAGCTCTTGATGATCTCGAGGGTCAAGTCCATGTCCCAGTCTGCGATGGGCAGCAAGTGAAAGCCCTCATCCCACAGGAAGCCGCGGGGGAAGAATGGCCGCGAAGGAATGCTCGAGAACAGCTCGTATGGGCCCTCCAACTTCTGCTCCTTGCGAGCCCTCGCCTCTGCGGCAGCCTCCCAGAAACCTTCGTCGTCCTCATCGTACTCGGGCGCGTATGAGCGGTCGGTCACATGTTGGCCGTAGAAGTAGCCGATACCGCCGATCAAATTTGAGAACATGCTCCTACCAAATTTCGCATACTTGTCGGCAGTAAATGGAGCTTGAGGCTTGAACACGCTGGAGAAGCGTTCTCCAAAGGACTCGGTGGTCTCCTTGATCTCCCTCGTCAAGTCTTCGCTGCTCAAATCGTTTCCTGCGGACTTGCTGGAGAAGAGGACATCAAACTCGAAGGGGCCCTCGTAGATCTTCTGGATGAGATGACCGTTGCCAGCGCCAGGCTTGTTTTGCAAGGCGTACATCTGGTGTGGTGGAGGAGGGGACTCCTTGTCGATGATCTCCATGAGGCTTTGAATACGCTCCCCGAATTGACGGAGTGCGATGCCCTTGGCCTGCCACAGATACTCAGTTGGGAGGGTCAGGGACTGAACAGCGGTCTTGTCGAAGTCCTTTTCGTCATCAACCTCGGAGCCGCCTTGAGGATGTTCGCCGGTGCCATGGGTGACGACGAGCTTGAATTCACCAAGAGAGTCAGACCTGCCGTTGAGGGTAACATCCCCAGCGAAACCGTTGACATCGCCATCAGCCACAGTCTCCAGCTCACTGCCCAAGCCTTCCTGAGAGACGAAGAGCACAACCTGGGTCTTGATATTGTCGGGGGCGCCGTCCCTGGGCACACCTTTGATCCTTGCAGCCCAGCTACCGCCGTTTCCACCTCCGGGGACCTTGACGAAAGAGGTGGTGATATCCACACCATTTCCAGCATCGTGGATAGTCTGGACGCCTCCCCTGCGAGTGTCATACTCATCCCATCCATAGCCGGCCATGCCTTGGTGCTGTTCACAAGTGAAACGAAGATCTATGCATAGATAAATTCAGTACGTGATCATGCATACGCTCCTTCATTACAAGGAGGGCAATAGGGCGGGGCGACTGACTGTCCTTGGGCCCATTGAATGTGTCAATGTTGGACCACATCAAGCCAGTCATCAGACTGTGAGGCAGGCGAGGCCGGACACCAAAATAGAGATTTGGACGATAAGGCCCCCAGAGCAGGCTCTGGTTGTTGAGCCTACCAATCTCAGCATTGAGGACAGCTTCATCCTTGGCGGCCACGCAGGCAAACAGCAGGTGAGACAGCAACACGCCGACCAGTACGGTCAGCGGGCGAAAGCTCGCCATGATCTTGTTTGGGGGTCCTTTCAATCAATGGTCTTCACTTCTCATTTAGCATACGGGAGTGGTCTTGAAATTCAAATAAGGAGGATGAGAAAACGTTGTGTAAAGTGAGAGTGAACAGCTTGTTGTCGAAACAAGTGCTCCTTCATTGCCAGGTGGATAGAGGTGAAGCTCCAGCTGTTCTCTTTAGCAACAGCTGCAGTATTAGGAAGTACGTACCCGTACTGTAACTGGGTGACGTGGGGCGCTCCACAGCTCGAACTGTGACAATCCCTGCCCCAGAGGTACGCACGTCCCGCTAGACTTTTCCTGGTAGTGGACCCCTGATTGTCTGGACAGTAGCAACGACAGTGTACGTACATTCAACCTCACCTTTACCTTCACCATCCATCACCTTGCATACATATCCCCCCGACCCATCATCTACCTACCTGCATTTTGAGCATAATGAAAACAATCGGCATTTCCCCATGATGACAACCCAGATCAAGATGCAAATAACAGACTTACACTTCGAGAGAAATCAAAATACTAATGATCAATCTAAAATCACTATCAAGGCTACCTAAGTGTTTGCAGAATGGTATAATGCTGGTAATACAGGAGAAGAATACCAAAAATTCGGGCAGATAATCCACATGATCTCACAACCATCTTATCCACGGAGATAGTCTCTCAAAACTGAGCCCATCTTGACTCAAGACCTCAACCCTCTCTTCCGTGCCGGCGTAACATAAAACCCATCCTTATCATACAGACTCACCCCATCATCACTCCCACTCCCATTCTTCTCGACACTCTCGTCCCTCTGCCTCCGTCTTTTCTTTGTTGGCGTCAGACTGGTAGCCTCGCCAATTTCAACCAGAGGCATCCTGAGGCCCATACCTTCCTCCCCCTTCCTCCTAACCTGACGGTCCGGGCTGCTCTTCACCGGTCTCGCCAGCGCATGGTAGTTCCTCGCGGCCGACCCATTCCGTGGCGGGATCACGCTCTCAGGCCTGACAGCCACTATCGAAGACGACGAGCTGAGCCTGCTCGCCGCGGTGCTGTACGTGCTTACCTGGCTGTTCATGCGGCGCAGCTCCGCGACCGTCGATGACACCCGGTTGTCGTCGCCGCCCGCCCCGTAGTCCTGCGACACGACCCGCACCGTCGGCTTGGGACGGCTGAGCTTGATCTCCCGGTTCAGCAGCATGCTGATGCGGCTCAGCGCCGCCATCTGCTGCTCGCGCTCCACCGCGCTCGCCTCCGAGTACTGCGACAGCGACGATGCCACCGACGCCTCCGATATCACCCTCACCTCGCCGCCTGCCCGCCGATGGCTGTAATTGTTGCTGTTGGATGACTCGGGTATGTCGGCGTAGAAGTCGTAGACGCTCGACAGCCTTGCGTTCGACAGTGCAGGGCTCGGGTGCGCCACCTCGGGCGTCTGCTCTCTACTACGGAAGGGAGGCGCAAAGTCGCTCATACGCTTGACGAGCGGGCTGACTGCTGCGCTTTTGTCGCCGGGGCTCGTTAGGGACAGGCTCGGTATCTCGATGCCTGTGGGGCGGCTGCTGTTGGACGGCATTCTCTTGGGGAAGCTGTCGGACGGCTTGCTTCCCAGTGTTGGCGCGGGTAGTAGGATACCAGATGATCGATTGTGCTGGGACTGTGGTGTTGGAGCCTTGTTTGCGCCCTGGGCCGTCGCATTGCGGGCACCCCTTCGGGTCGGCGTGGTGTCGGGCGATCGTATGTTCCCAGTGACTGGGGACAATGGGCTGTCTGACTTGGTATGCGAGCTCTGCTCGCGTCTGGGCGGTCGACTCGCAGCTTCTTGAGCTCCGCGGTTGGCTGTATTCGGTGCTGTCCTAGTTCGACCGGCTGGTGTCGAGTTGCTGGATGGCATGAAAGGGTCGCCCAAGTCAGCAATCTGGTTCATGCCGAAGGGGATGCTGCTGTTGGGAGCTGTGCTGTTAGGCGTCAAAGGCCCATCCTCCGTTTCGCTATGTATGGTCGAGAGCGACGAGACGCTGCTCGTGAACGACTGGACAAGCGACGGCCTTCTCCTGTGCGGCGACATCTGCTGCGAGCTTTTTGTCCGGCTCGGGCTCGTCAAGCCATGATACGGCAGGCTGGGAGACGGGTCGTCGAAAAGGCTGTCCGGCTCGGAGATGATCGATGCTTGCGAGGTCTGGCGGACATGCGACGACCCACCGCCGGGCAGCGCCCTGGATGCCTTCGTAGGGCTGGGTGTACGTGATTGGGACCTGACCAGAGCTATGGTCATCCCGTCCGGCCCAATCCCAGGCGGACGTTTCGGCGGGCTGCTACTCGATCTGTTCCGCATCGCCACGCCCGTCACCATGCCATCCTGCAGCCGCTTCTCCGTGTCCTTCAGGATCTGCGACATCGTCGAGTCCGACGACGGCATCCTTCCCCTCGGTCCCATCACCCCCGTGCCCACGCCCACACCTCTTTCCGTATTTGAGCGCAGCGAGCCAGATTTCTTCACCGGCTGTTCTGTGTCCTCATACTTATAGTAGCTCAACCCCCTGTTCCGAGGAGAATTACTCCCAATCGATCCCGCGCCGTGCCAGTTGCTCACCGGTCTGAGACTCGCGGTGTTAGCATTGGCAGCCAGCAGCGCCTGCCTCGGCGGTTTGGGAAGCTGCCTGGGCGGCGAGAGCTGGGCCGCGCTCTGCCTGTTGACGGCGCCCGGCGGCGGCGGGAGGTTGGGCACAAGGCGGTCGTTACTAGCCACTTCGTGGTTGTTGTACGGGAACAGGGCGACGCTCTCGTGCTCGGCGGCGCCGACCTGCCTCCCGTCGAGCCCGCCAAACTGCGGGAGGTGCGGCAGCGTGGGGCTCGGCGTCTTGAGCGGCCAGCTCTCGCGGATCGCCGTGCCCCACGACTTCATCTTGCTCTTCCTCCGCGTCGACCGCTTGGTTGGGCTCACCTCCGGCCCATGCAATGCGTCGTCGTCGATCCAGGCGTTGGATGTCCGCCGCCCGTGCCAGTTGCTCCCGTTTTCCATGCCTTTGTCGTCGTCGTCGTTTCTGATATTCAGCCCTCCTCCCCCTCCTGTCCCTCGCGCCCCACTGACCGATCTGAAACTCGCTCTCAACGCACCAGTCATCAGCGGCGGTATAGCCAGCAAGCTCGTCTTGCGCGCGGGAGCCATGTTCCGGAACTCAGGCTCGCCCCTCGCTCGCCCTTCCTCGACCCCCTCGACGTCTACGCCCCTATCATCGACAGGAGCAACGTCGGTCTCGTTCCCCGAGGAGGAGGAAGAGGGCGGCCGCTTGCGCAGCTTCGCCCGCCCGCCGGGGCCCTCCTCGCTGCTGCGGCTGCCGCCATCGGACAGCGACATCGAGGCGGGGAGGTGGTGGTGGTGGTGATGGTCCGAGAAGCCATGCGCGTCACCGGCCTTCCCGCCCGCCTTCGCCCCGCGGCGCCGGCGGCACGCGCACAGGCAGCACAGCCCGACCAGGAGCGCGAGGAGGCCCGTCCCCACCACGACGATGACGATGATCACCCACAGCGGGAGCACGGCCGCCACGCGCTTGCCGGCGTCCGTGACGTCCCCCTTGATCTTGTCTACCGTTGCTGCGAGGCTCGACATGATGTGTGTCTATCCCGCCCTTTCCTCACAGCTCCTTCCCCTCCGTCCTTGGAACCTTGGTTCGTATGTGATGTATATTGTGGTTTTGTTAGGTGGCCGTGAGGGCGTGGGCCGGTTAGGAGGCCATTCCGGGTAAGACGAGGCAGTCACTCCGTTATACCAAGTAGATCGATCAAAGCCGTACCCAACGACACACAAATGAGCGTGGCAGATAGATAGATCGAATAACCCGCACAGCCGTAGGCAGTGAAAGAGCAAAGCAAAAGAGGGACAGGAAAGAATCAACCACAGCCAAAAAAGTGATTAGGAATTACACACACACTCACACAATCACAGGAAAGAGTGTGCGTGGGAAAAAAGATGACAAAAGAGGCGCACGCCATGTTGGCAGTAGAAAAAGAAGAAACAGCAGCAGTAACAAGAAAAAGAGTAAACAGCTTTCACCACACATCCTCACCTTCATTCGTCATGCCTTGAACGACTGCCTGGAATGGGTTGCTAGAGCCGTTGCTAGAGGTGATTGCATTCCAGCACTTGAGACACCTCGCAGCCCGTTGGGACGGCCACCCTCGGGTGTTCCAGATCGGGTCGGCCAGCCGCCGTCACACCGCAGCGCACCACATGTCATGTGGTGGATTGTATTCGCAGGCGGACGGGCCTCCTGGGGAGGTCAGATGGGTCAAGTTAGGCAGGGAAGGAGATCAGGCTTGCTGTTGTTACTCACCATCTCAGCCTCTCAGCCTTGGCGATCTCACACCACCACCACCACACACACATACCCACCTCAACCCTTGCGGGGGATCATCAAGGTCGCAGCAATTGCGGGGAGAACCCACTCTCAGTCACATTTACAGGCACATATCAGATGCTCATTTTTTTTTATGTTTGGATGCAGCTTCAATTGATCTACCTACTGGTAGGAAGGACCTGGAAGTGCTATGCCAAGAGTTGGATATCAATCGCAGGTATCAGAGGTATCTCATCAAGTCGTCGTGCAATGCAAGAAATGCTACCAGACCATGGATGCTCGCCCTTGCCTGATGCCTTTCATCGTAAAACGCCATTGTGGAAAACGCAAAACTACCCCGCCCAAGGACTTTTTTTGGTTGCTGGTCTGGCCGCCCTCATGGGTTCGCAGTCAATGCTACTTGCACCGGGAGCAGCTGTCCGCGTTTCTTATTCTGTGGGTACTGGTGTGAATTTTTGGTCTGCCGAATGGATCTTTGAGATAAATCCCCTCATGAGATGAACAAATCCGCCTGCCATTGAACCCTGGCATAAGATGCCTGCAACTGCCTGAGCCTCCCAGCCTGTCCGGCTGTGGAGCACGGTCAATGGCCTGCAAAGGAAAAAGACAAGAATTGGTTGGAAAAAAAGAACAAGGGAAAAAAAAAGAATCAAAGTTCAAATCGGGGTTCATCTCAACGGCAGATTTGTGTACAGAATAAGGCCAAACAATCGCTCCTCGAATGCAGTATGCAGGAAGATCGCAAAAACGGTCACATGTCTATCGACCGGGAAAGGCTTTGCCCAAGCTTAGTGCACGCGACCATGGACGTGTCGGCGGTTGTGGGCATGAGCACTTCGGCGGCGAGCCGCAGGGGCCTCGGTGGGGTCGACGAAGACAGTGGTAGTCGTAGCGGTGGTGACGTAGTCAATCACCTCCTCGTAGACAATCTCGTTGACCATAACGGTGCCGTCGGCGAGGGTAGTGGTCACGTAAGAGGTGGCCGTAGGAATCGCGGTCTCGCCAGCAGGCGCTGAGGAAATGGCAGGGGTGACGATGGCAGCTCCCTTAACGGCCTCAGCCATGGGCGTGGCTGTGCCGGTGCTGGCGGCCTTGAAGGCATTACCTGGCAAGAAGCTGCCGTTGACAGACGCAGTTGAGCCGGCAGAGTAGGTGAGCGTGGGCATGACGATGGACGTGGGAACGATTGTCTCGGAGGAGGCAGCAGAGGCAGGACCCGGGCCCCAGAAGATAGGAACATCTCCGGGGAGGCTGCTCAGTGGGCCAGCAGTATCCTCCTTCAGGAGCGCTCCAGGGAGGTCGATCTTGCACTCTTGCTGGGTCGCTTGGTCCTGGATGGTGAAGAGAGGGCAATCCTGAATCCGGCCAGAGCTGGCAGTGCAAGTGTCAACGGCGTCCTGAAGCGTGAAGCTGTCGTTCTCTTCCCAGCCCATGATGAAGTCACCGTGGTAGCCGAATCCTGCGTTGTCATGGTCAGCCTTGGCTAAGCCTGTCAGTAAAAGGGAGGAGCACGTACCGTAAGGGTCACCGTTAGACATAACGAAGATGCCGTCGCGGTCGCTGAAGCTGTGCATGTCCCAGATTGTCTCGTAGAAGAGGCCAGGCAAGCGGACAGGGAAGTCCGAGGGACAGTCACCATTCATGACCAGGTCAGGGTAAGCGACATGGTCCTTGTGGTTATCGGAGTCCAGGTTCTTGCCGTCCCAGCACGACGGGAACATGAGCTCGAAGCGGATTCCGTCGGGGCAGTTGCTATCGATGTAGTCCTTGGAGGGCAGGAAGTGACGGTACAGAGAGCCCTCTGCTGCCTTAGAGTAGTCCAGGCAATTGAAACCAAGTGCCCGTTGGGCCAAATCAGCCTGACCGACCTGGTTCAGGGCCTTCCAAGACGACTTATCAGGGTCGGGCGCCTGGTAGTCACCGTCACCAACCGAGTAGTTACGGCGGTTGGTGTCTCCGGCAATCATGCGGAATCCCTGGGGGAAAGCCTTGATGTCGTCGCCGTTCAAGAAGTAGTACCTGAAAAGCGATGTCAGCCACACGATCGTAGGTCCGCAAAGGCGATACTGTGTCAAGGAATGCGCGCGTCTTGCACTACTTGGCGTGTAAAGGTCGAGTGACTGTGCCAAGTACGAAACAGGACAACGCGAGTTGAACAGAGGGCAGGACGTGAACTTACGCAAGCATACCGCCGACATCAGCGACGGCCTCATACTCGCCAGTAGAAGCGTCCTTGAAGTAGGGGATGGGAGTCCAGTAGGCCGACTTGTCCTCGGTCGCACCACACGAGGTGCAGTTGGCTCCAACGAGGGAAGCATAGTCGGTGGTCTCGCTAAAGCCTATCGTTGTTCGTCAGTCCTTTCGCTCTTGCAGCCTTGTCAAAAACTCGGTTGCCAACTCACCGCCAGAGCCGAAGATCTCGTGGATGTGATCAGCAGCGACTCCTGGGTTGACCAGAGGGTCGATACGAGCCTGTCCACTGACGCCGCGGCACTCCATGCGCCAGAAGGCAGAGGCCTGGCCGCCGAAGAGGGCGACCGTAGCTCCGAGGGAGAGGAGCTGCTTGGAGTTCATATTGATGTTTTTGCGTTAAACGCGAGATTGCTGTAATGTAAGGGTCAGCACCACGCCGATTGACTGAACAGAATCGAACAGAAACAAGGACCCAGATATGTAGAGTACTGCCAAGAAAAGACTGATGGTGATGCTGTCCAAAAAGGTGCTGTGTTGGCTGTCGCGTCAAGAGGATTGACAAACCTGCGATGCGAACGTATGAAGGTGCGCAGGTTGGATGCAAGCAGACTGCTGCAACTCAACAAGTGCCCTCTGATTGGTGTCAGGGGAGTGACGGGGGCGAGGGTCTGAGAAACAAGTGTATCGTGAGGGAGAGAAAATACGGGGCTGATGCTCGAGGGCGAGGGTAGTGGTGCTTGCGGGGGTTGTGTTGATTTCCAAGCTCGTCGGCGACAAAAGTTGGGTAGGTATGTGACAGCTGGAGGATGACGGCCAGCTTGCCAGCTGGCAGAGCTCAACTGGAAGCGAATGACACCTGAGAGCTTGATGGCAATGCGCAGTGCGATTTTCTTACAGTCCACTTGGCTGTAATAGAGTCTTTTGAGGCAGGATCCCAATCACTTTGAAGCCTGATGCCTTTTGAGTCTGGTGACCCCATATGAGGCACAGATCATCATGATCACCAGACGACGCTGGGTCCCCCTTCAACCACAAACATGAATGCACCCAAATTTCCAGCTCCATTTCATAGGGCAACAGGGCCAGAAACAATTCCAGTATCGCCAATGGACCAAGGTACTGACCTCGATGGTGCTGATTGTCGGGGACGGGCGCTCGCGTGGTGGTGGCTGACTCTGAGACAAAGCCGTTATAGTCCAGCCTCCCTAAGGCGCAACAATGAATATCCTTCCAATACGTCCAGACCCAAAAAGAAAATCCTTACAAGTCGTAATCCGGTTGATGCGTCAAAGTGATGCAATCCGATGATCGGTCGAAATGGTTCGGTAGGTAATTTCCAAGGCTGGTAGGTTGTAGCTTCCCGAACTGGATGTCCACTTGTTTGCGCCAACACTTGTCGAATGTATTCAACACCACGTCACGAGGGCGGATTGTCGTAAGAATATCGAATAGTCGCAATTCCCTTCTTCCTCAAAGATTCCGAAGTTCCAAGGTCTTGTGGGGTGTTCGTTGTCCGCGGTTTGCGATTCCCACCAAGTGCTTCGAGGATATTCCTTCAACCTTCCCAACTGAGTGATGCGATCAACACTTAGAAACGAATGATTTTTTTTTAAAGTTTAAGGAGAGTGGTTGGATTTACAAAGGAGTGTCCCGGTTTGCCGTCCGGTCGGTTGTAGAGAGCGTTGTGGTTGAGAGAAGAAGTCTGCCTCGGAAGAAAAGGGGGGCGGCGACTTGTTCAAGAGAGAGTGTGTATGTATTGTATTCCAGGTGTGGAGTAAGAGAGAGACAGGGAAGGAGGGGAATGGTAGAGACCGTCGGGGGAGGAGCTCCTGAACCAGAAAGTTTGGCAAGAGGGAGATGCCAAAAGGGAGGGACTGGGGAACAAGAAACGGAGGAAGGTGAAGGTGTAAGTCAGGGAAGGAGGGCAGGAGAGACACACTTTAGCAAACCCAAGACCAGAAACAACGGGGCGCAGGATGGGGCGATTTTCATTCCGTTTCGCGTAGTGCAGTGGGGAGTAAAGGAGACGAGACGAACACCTGCCATTCACACCTCGCAGAAGACATCGTACCCTGGCCGCTGCACTTGGGATCCGCAAGTGGGATGCCTGGGTCTTGGGTCTTGGGTGGTGCAGTGAGTGGATGCATGGGAGGCCGGCCTGCGAGCGGGACCCATCAGCACGGTAAACTATCCCGGACGGGCAGTTTGCCTCATCAAGGAAGGACAACGGGGTGAACGAGCGGCACTGTACTCCCACTTCCCTCGCAACCCATGGGCATGGGGATGAGGAGGAGGAGGAGGACCAGGAGGAGCCCACGTCGCACAGTCAGACATGACAGTTTACGGTGAACACACAGGAGGGGATACAAGGGAAGGGGGTGCCCAGGACAAGCTGAGCCACGTCGACTTGAGGCTGCCGCTATTGCGACTACTACCACTGCTGCTGCTGTCACCGTGCCGGGCGACATCGATCGTATCGCAATCGCATCTTATCGCCTGGTGATGCGTGGCATCGTGGGCTAGGCGGCTGGTGTCCACGAGATAAATTAAAGGTCTGCCCAGGGTGCTCTCAGGGTGCTCAGAAAGTCTGTGGTTGTGTTTGAAGGCCGGACAGGAACGGTAATCTGGTGTGGGAGGACCCCTTGATGGACAGGGACAGGGAACACCGTCAGGGCCTGCCCGTCGGGCAAGATCCTTAGCCGCTTGGGTAGATAGAGTTAATTGGTCCAACCGACTTCGGGACTTCTCTAACTCATACGACGTACCTGCGTAGCCGGGTACATGATCTGCCACCATGCCATATGTGTAAAGTGGTACGGGCGGGACATGGTGTGAGACGAGATGGCAGCTTAATTAAGTACATGAAGATGTACCTCGACTGCGGCCTAGGCACAGAAAGCTACTTCGGGGGTACGAAGAGGAGGCGCAAGAGGCGTAGTAGAGGCAGTCAGAGATCCCCCTCCTCCCCTCAATCATGGTCGCACGGGACCTGGCAGGACCAACCAGGCAGCATCTCAACGATCTTCCTTTCCTTCCCTGCTCACCTTGCTTGCTCGGCACAGCAGCTGTCACACATTGAAGGTGAGCGACAGGAACAGTTTCTCTCATTGGGCATGCAGCGACTCAGACGTGCCGCAAGAAAAGGGATGATGGGCATGGATTGTAGGCTGAGAGCAAAGTCTGTCAAGGGGGCTGGCGGGGTCGACCACGAAGATCTAAATTCCCACGACCCAAGGGAGCTGGGCGCTCAGCACTGGGCAGGCTGGGGATACAGGGGAGAGCAGCTGACGATCGCTGATCAGCACTGAGCACAAGCAGAGCACAATCACAGCGGCATCCACCGGTCTGCGATTCACAATTTGCAATCTACCTACCACCTCGACGACTCGCCGACCAGACTACATACACCAAGAGAGCAACCAAGTGCGCGTCATCAGCAGAGCTGTGTTGGTGCCAGTGCGTGCTTCATCAGACGGATACTAGACGGAGATACGACGATGGTCTTGTAATCTGTGTCTACCGTACTGTATTCTGTACGTCTGTGCCCGGCCTGTCTGACCACAATCTCACCTTCCCCCGCCACCAGCATCTGTAGATGGCTGTACTGGAGACAGGCTGTCTCAGAAACATGTGCTCACCTACTTTAGCTGCCAGCTTGGCTTTGTCCCCCAGTAGTGAGTTGTCAGACCAGACAGACTGATGGACAGACACAGACAAAGACGGCGCCTAGCAAACAGGCCAGGGGCTGTCCTTCCAAGGTCTGAACCTTGTTCCTTGTTGTTCCAAGTCGGGCGTTTCGATAACGATTGGCTCCGATAGGGCATCACAAGACGAACCTGTAATAATTTACGGGCGCAAAGAGATAGACAAGACAGAGAGGCTCAGGCTTAGGCTTAGGGTCATGCTCAACAATAGCATTGCCGGCGAAAGGTACAGGTTCGGATGATGTGCGTCAGCTCCTACGGTACACATGGGTGCGTCTAAATGAGAAAGGGGCATCTGTCAAGCCCGGCACAGCCAGCCCGGCCATCAGGGGTGAAGAAAAGGCTGTGCCAAGCTTTGTAAACGCGTTTCATAGGGCCGATACGGCCAATCACCAACACATCTCCCCTTTTTTACCCTTGCCATAAGCCCGGGATGGCTGTGGGGTGTCCCCTGTTATAGTCGAGGTGAGCGTGCGTGGGCAAAGCTGGGAGTGGGGAGGCCTAAAGTTACTCGCTCGGCTCAAGACCGATCTTCAGCATCACCATCACATCGTATCGTCAGGCCGCCGCAGCCTGCCATTCCCCATTTTGTTCGAGAAGGGGACTTCCCGAGGCTGTCGGGCGGTTTGAGCCCCAGCGCACTTGTCGCGCCCGCCAACCAGAGTATCCTCCTCTTGGCGATGGAACGCTGGCTGATTGACCCTTTTTGCCGCTCTTCGACGCCTATTTCCGGCACTCATTTGATGCTATTCTCATGCTCAGCGTGGAGCTAGCCCGTCGAGATGACAGCCAATGTCGCTACACAGCCCTCACTTCGTCCCCTGACTCGACAAAAATCGCTCTGCCTCCAGATGTCCCCCAGGCCTCTCCCTTTCCTGTCCCCATCCCCCTTATGTCATGCTAATGCCCTCCAGACTAATAATGGAGGTCTAGCGCCCATTTGCCTGCGGCTTAGACACAAACAATCATGCAACAAATGATGGCAGCCTCCTGCGGGCAGCGGTGCGACCTGCTCCTCGGCATGCAAAGTGGATACGCATTTGGCAATTATTGCACGAGCCCAGGACCCCTCATATTGCACCGAAATGAAGCATCCTTTTGCTTGCGTTGCTTGCGCAACACATGACAAACGCCCAGCATTTCTACGGCTCACAACAATAACACCAACAGCAACCGACAACAACCAACTTCCGCCCCTATTGCCCGCCTGCCCGGCTAACACCGCCGTAGGATCACAGGCGATATTTACTGAACCCTCCCGCCGGGGCGCATTAGTGCAGCCCGCTCGACAGCACGGAGCGCAAGGCGCCCAGACGTCGATTCCTCTTCCTGCCCAGCCCCGTCCCGGGTTCGGCGTCGCCAGAGAGCAGGATCGCCGCCAGCTCGCCCGCCCACCGCATCGACTGGGTGGGCAAAAAGCTTGGCCTTGCCCACGTGTGTCGTGACTCGCTCTCGCTCGCACGGAGAGTGTAGCGCACAAACCGTGGGTGATCAGCGAGGTGCCGCTCGAAACTGTGTCCTACATAGAGAGATGGCACCCGTCGTCGTCGCCGCCAAGTGGTGTAAATGACTATTTTGTGGTGCCCAAGCTCGCTCTGCTCGGCAGATGTTGCCACGACGGCCGGCAAGTTCCAGCTGCCGGCAAGTCCAATGTACAGCTCTTTGCTCATTTTGTGCCTATGTGGTGTGAACTGTGGGTTGATGCACCGCCTCTTCCTGAGTCGAGGTCGGGCAGCACCAGCCTTGAGGCATTTGGGATGAGCAAGCTTAGCCTGCTCGGTTAAGTCTGGCTCTCTTCGTCCTCGGCGTATGGAATGCCGTCCATCGATATGCATCATTAGGCTTCACGTTTTACTGCTATGAACAGGTGTACTGGTGCAATATCTAGGCACAGAGTATTCTCAGTGGGAGAGATGCTATTGGATGATGGCCGCACTATGGTAGTGGAGGCATTGTATTCCAAACACCGAACGGCAGGTGGCGAGGGGGCGGACAAGGAGGGGCTGCGATGGGACACAGCAACAGGGGAATCAAAAGGAAGTTTTCAATTTACAACAGGCAACTCTTCAGCATGGTGGTGACCGACCAGGAGGTGGAAACTACTACCACCACGTCACACATGTCTCTGCGGACTGGGGCATCCGTGTGCCACGAAAACACCATATCTGGTCATCTGCTCGTGCAGGCGTACTCGTACACAGCAGCCTCCACGGCTCTACGTTTTCCCTTCTTTCACGATGCCATATCGCTCTGAGTGTTTATTTGCTATCGTTGATGTGCTGGACGCTTTCTCACTACTCAGCCGTCTGCTACCGAACGCGATAGGAGGGCTTCCATTTAACCCGGGCTGAGAACCTTTTGTTCTGTTTCTTACCGGCCTAGCCATGATGCTACTCTTTTTTCCCCACACGTTCGTCTGTACTACAGTCTTGCTCAAACATTGCTATGAGACGGACTCATCTTGTAGCAGTCTGACTAGTATACCCGAACACTGTCTGGAGCCAACCAGAAGTGAGAGGAGAATTGCTATCGCCTCGCGCGATGTTAGATATAAGTTCAACCTTGATTAGGATATTCATTCACAGGGCGAACAAGCAATCTGAGAGTTCATGAACTGGAATTATTCGCCCCATCGGCTCACATCCCACCACGAAGCAAGGTTGTCAGAATCCTGGCAAGCCTTCACAACTTGCTGCTCCAGTTGTTCCATGCACTCCACTCTTGTAATTCTTCATACCCCTCGACAATCAACTCTGGTCTGTCTAATGTACCAGCGTCTAGATGCCTCCTATTAAGACTGAGCACGGTGCAAGGTCACGTTCGCCTCCCATGCGGCAACCCTCCAGCACAATCTCATAGAGCACTCTGTCTGCGATAAAAATGCAGATCATAGGAATCCGGGATTCTGATGGGCTCCAAGTGGTCCGCAGAGGATGGAGTAGATATAGGTAGTTACACTTGGGAGTAAGTCAAGAAACTCTCTTTTTGGATCATGCAGCCACATCTCACTAAAAATGGGAGAAAGCAAATGAGAACTTGGCGACCAAGTATGTGGCTCCAAAAGCCCAGGCAAGAAGAAATACTATCAGAGTAGCACAGCTCGTAGTGAGTCATTTGGAAGGGGGTTTGTTTGGCTCTAGCCAAGACGAGAGGGATTGACAGACCAGTATGTGGAGCAGAAGTAATGTGTTCAGCGGGAGTGAGCCATCATCCCACAGAAAGTTTCATGCCCGACAGGCCTCAACTGCATTTTATGCTTCCTCGAGGCCATGTGCTTAGTTCTGCAATAATACCATCGCGCTCAGCACGTCGAAAGGCCCTGGATTGGTGAAGTGATGCTGAGTGCCAAATCAAATTGATTCCAGTAGAGCGAGGCCTCAAAGACAAAACAAAAGAATTATGCAGACATTGAAAGTCCCAAACAAGGTTGATTTGCAGTAGCTGCCCATGTCTAAGCTGGGTGCGCCCTCAGGCTACCATACTACATGTTAGCACGCGCCAGAATCAGCAATGAACATGTTATCATTCCTTGAGGGCTCTCTATCTCCATAATCCATTATCACCGGTACCTGCCGACTCCGGGCCGACCTAATGCAGGGCTTGAGAGGAGTGTTTAGCTAACAATATCTATTGATGCCTGGCTTGCGCCTCAATGTCGCGTTCTCTGCATTGAATCAGCCCCACGGCTGACAGCTTTCAAAAACCAAGGTACCCGACCCCCGGCCCACACATATGCAGCCTCAGACCCCTTATGGACACCTCTCATGTCTATACATCCCTTTATGCTTGTAAATTCTCGATGGCAAACATCAGATTATCCTTTCCTGCGTTCAGAGCCCTGTTCTCGACCTCAATCAGGCAAAAAAGCTGCCCCACAGCCTGGAGATCAAAGCGCGCTCTGTTTTCCCATCGCGTATTCTATTCTATTCCAGCCTCAAATGAACATCTCGGCAGAAGATCTTCTACCTACTTCTGCCTTAAAAACCTATCACAAATTCGAATATACAATTCCTGCAATATGATGAGTCACCTCGCTGGTGATGGCCGTGGCAGACCAGGCTCTGGCGCTGAGGCTACAAGCGAGGCCAAGTATGCCGAGAGAGTTGAAGATTCGGATTTCAAATTTGAGTACGAGTTTGTAGAGGAGATCGAACGACTTGAGCAATACAAGCCTGGTGGCTATCATCCTATCGCACTCGGGGACACGCTACACAATGGCCGATACAGAATTGTTGATAAGCTTGGTCATGGCACTTACTCAACCAGCTGGATCGCAAGAGATGTCAAACTTGACAAATATGTTGCTATCAAGATATGTACCGCAAAAAGCAGCGACACATCTTACGAGGGGGAGATCCTTCGTCAGCTACTGGACTCCAATGACGAAAGAAGTATTCTCGTCTCCTATCTTTTGGACGAGTTCTATCTGGATGGTCCAAACGGCCGATACGCTTGCATAGTCACAAAGCCAACGCGAATGAGTCTCTCCGACGCACGTGAGACCTCTAGCTGCTATGGCCTTTTCCACATGCCGACTGCGTGCGCTATCATCGCCCAGCTAATCCACGCTGTCGCCTTCTGCCACGAGAAGGGCATCGCGCATGGTGACTTACACCTCAATAACATTATGTTCTGCTTTCCACCTACCACTCATATCGACACCCTCTCACAAGATGACCTCCACGAGAAGTTCGGCCAGCCTGCTGCCGAGCCTCTCAAGCGTCTCGATGGCATTCCCTTGGGACCCGGCGTACCTAAGCATGCTATACCAGGCGCATGGTTCGGTTGTAGCAGCGAGAAAGTCACACTTGCTGACTGCACTATTTCCCTTGCAGACTTTGGCGAGGCGTATAGAGTTACACCAGGAACAGAAGGGCAACGTCTAGAGTGCCACACGCCCTTGCGCCTCCGTCCGCCCGAAGCCAAGTTCGGTCCATGCGAGCTAGGCCCCGCCTCAGATGTCTGGAGTCTCGCATGCGCCATCTTTGAGATCGCCGGCACCGCCCCGTTATTCTTTGGGTCCTTCTTCTTGAACGCAGACTCAGTGACAGAGGATTGGGTTGATATGCTAGGCAGACTGCCGGACAAGTGGTGGACACGGTGGGATACACGGGCCGAAATGTTTACTGAGGACGGCGGGAAGTCAGATCACAGCGTGGACGATGTGCGCGGGTCGCTGGAACAGCGCTTCGAGCGGAGGTCGCAGGAGCTGCGGCGGAATGAGGGCATGGAAGAGTGGAGTGCCGAGGAGACGGCGTCGCTTCTGGGTATGCTGAAGGCTATGTTGGTGTATGAGCCTGCTGGAAGGATCTCTGCCGCTGAGATTTTGGACACCGAGTGGATGGTGAAATGGGGCACCCCAGCGTTGGAGGAGATGAAGAGGGCACAGGAGGCGGCGCCAGGCTCCAAATAAGTCGAGAACCCTGCCTCTGCGAGGCTGTGAACGCTTGAAAAAAGATAAATCTTCTTCGATGACACTGAGTCAAACTGTATGACAGCACTCGGTTGGAACTCGCGCCTGATACTACCAGGGTGAGGCCATATTGTCCGCTGCCTTGAAATAGGTAACGATCTGTAGCGAGGGGGGATATTTGAAACTATCTGGAGCAGGACGTCAGTCTTAAGCTTCTGGGGTTCTCTTACCCAGCTTTGGTTATGTGGAGTGGTCAGATCCTTTTTTTTTTTTTTTTTTTTTTTTTTTTTTTTTTTTTTTTTAAAAAAAATATTTTTTTAGTAAATTGTGTTTTTTTTTGTTTATTTTTATCCTTATATAATTTTTAAAAAAAAAAACAAAACACCGGGGGGGGGGGGTTGGCA